TTGTCGAAATTAAAAGGCTCGAGAAGTTGAGAAGCATGAACTGTTAGCGGTCGTTCTCCAATATTAGAAAATCCCAAACTAGAGTATGGTTATTTAGACCAAAACAAAAACACTTCAGAACAAGATGTAAAGTTCCTTTGCCCTCTGTCACATGCTAAATTATTGACAAACATTTATGAAAAGTAAAATCAAAACAGCACTGAATAAAATGAAGATACTAAAGTATGCTGAATACAACAAAAAAAATATATTCAATGTGTCTGAGAAACTGTGTTCTAAGAACAAAAATATTTTCGCAAGCTTCTTGTATTTGCACAGTCAACTCGTGCCTATAAAATTCATCTATATCTACGTAAGGATATGGAGATAACGAACAGTATTCAATCTCAAAGTCCATTAAACAATACAAAATAGGAGCAGAGCAAACACGGACCTCCAAAACATCAGAGGTGGGATCAGGTGCCATGGAGGAGTAAGCATCCCCTGCCGACCGGTCACACCCGCCGTGTGCTCCTTGTTATACAGCATTCCATCAACACTGATGACTACGCTAGCGCTGAGCAAACGGACCACTAATTTTCTAAATATGTACTAATATTTCCATTTCTATTTGTTTTCTCTGTGATAAATCTTCGAAAGTTAGTTGAAAGTTTCCTGATCATTCTACCGGAATGTAAATTTCGAGACCAAGCGATAGATCGGGAGCTGTAAATCTCATACGGCTTTTTTGTGTGACGTCAGTGGGCGGGGACTAATTTAAATCTATTAGTCTACATTTTTTAAAATTTAAATTTGCAATTTTATTTCACAATGAAATGGAAATATAAAAAATCACTGGCTGGTTAGTAGAGTATGCAAGGACATAAACGATAGTTTGAAGCGTGAGATAATTTATGCAAAACAGGCTTCGCCCGTTGTGTAAATTATCCCACGTTTACAGCTATTGTTGATGCCCTGATATACTCATCTTGCTAGACAGTGATTCCTTAAATATGTTCAATAACCCTACATGTCCTTGCGGTACGAAATAGTCTAATGAAGGTGCCGTTTTCGAAATGATTATGAAAATCATATTATATTATATTGTATGTTAACGTACATATTTGTGATTGTACCGAGTTGACTTAATTCGCATATACCATTTTCATTGCCTTAGATAAAAGAGTACTCGGCTTTTGTAGAGAGTAATTTATAGTACTCGACCTTTTACAGCAGAAAGTTTTGTCTTGCACGCTGTCCACTTACCGAGGTTTTCTGTTTGGGAATGTGTCACATGAGAGCTGAGTAATTGATCGAGTCAGATGGCCGAGGGCAATCCTAAAAGCTCCCGGTAAAACCAGACCCATGTAATTTGCCTCTCCTCGCTTCTTCAATAGATTTCACTTTGACACAGGACATACGAGCGGTGAAGGGACAGAACGTGTAATTAGATGTGTTATTTATCAATAAATCGAGAAAACTTTGTACAAATCATTTTCTAAGGAGGGCTGCAAGTGGGTCATTTATTTCAAGTGAAGTAGAAAATGGTCACCGTCAGGATGCGTTAAAATGTCGAGATGGATCAAGTGGCCGGATTCTCGTGCGCAGCACGTGCCGACGTGGTCACTATGTCCACAATTTTGACAGAGACTTTGCTACTCAATTATAATGAACCATCTTGAAAGATTTTTTTCTCGCTTAGAATTAATCCCAGGTTCGACATTTATCTAAAAAATGTTGCAATTGCGTCAGAATTCTAACAATATAATTGCATACAGGGGAACGTGCCGTTATTTAGATTTTTGGGGGTCGCTGTCGTTTCGGACTTTATTTTCCTATTAAATTAGATTTGGGGATTTATTTCTATTTGATTACCGTAATTGGTGTAGATGACGGTTAACTATAAGAGCAAATAAACGGTCGACACAGTAACACACAGTTGTTACACGGTGGCCCCGGTGAACCAGACAGGTGTAAGTTAAAACCTTTTTCTTGTTGACCGATATTCAAGGAGAAAACAATGTTCTGAAATTAATCACTACTAGAATCGCAACTGGAAAGAAACACAATATCCATTGCATCAAATCTGCCTCCATTTGATCGCCTCCGTCAATATGTACACGGATTACCCCCCGATATTGATCACTATTCACTTAATTCTCAAATAAAGGAAATTATCAAATAGATTCAATATTTGTTTATAAGATTGAAATTTTTTAAGTGTTTAACTTTTTAATTACCAGGTGAAATTTCAAGATGACACGATTGTCCCCGAACTGAAAGCAACCCGTGATTGGATGAAAGGGATACGCCCCGCACGAGACCGGCACGAGCAGAACGCCGAATTTTTTCGGTCGGATGACGGCGGTATTTATATAAGGAGTCTACGGAGGGTGAGAGGGGGAGAGGAGGTACTGGTATGGTACAGTGACGACCTGGCCAGACGGTGCGGAGTCCCCTTCCTATCTCTAGTCAACATACAAGGTCAGTTGTACTTAGTGTCCTATCCTTACAAAGTCAGTGTTATACCAAAAAGTTCCAAACAACTCACATGTACCGGTATATGTTCCATTGTCCTGTTTAGTCTAGGGACTAAAAAGACAAAATGTTTTTTTTTAATTATGTCTTTATCATGTTGCAAAATTAAATTTGTTAATATGTTTTATGAAATACCTGGTAGATGTTATCTACAATATTCTTCTACTTGTTTATTTATCAGGCAAAGAACGTTATGTTTGTGACTCTTGTGGCAAGGCATTTAAGTATCCGAACCCTCTGAAAGTCCATCTCAGATACAGATGTAACAAGAACGACACCATGACTCAGCAAGATCAGAAACTCTTCAGACCATTTCTGGACTCTTCTGTATCCGGAAGTGGACACAGTTCTTTAGATCAAGTGAAATCCGGAGTAGACCTAAGGCTTCATGCCAGCGCATTTCATTCTCCTAAATTTAGGACTCTTCACTGCCCTACAGCAGACGTTCAGTCATTTGATGTTCGGCACTTCCCGCCACTCTCATTCATTCCGATGTCTTTTTCTCCTCTTATGACTCTTCAATCACGTGACTTCCTTTACAGCAAATTTTTGGCGCCATATTTTTTACCAGCTAGCAGGGGAACAATATATGAAGGTTCCCTACACGAATGGCCCGATGAAAATAAAAATAGACAACCATGTAGTGCCTACAATGATAATGTTAACGGGTTCAAACTTCCGCTTCCCACGGACGTTGAGGGGGAGCCATTAGACCTGCTACCAAAGTCTTTTTTCGCCGACAAATCTCAGAAAGGCCATCTTTGTTTATACTGTGGAAAACTATACTCCCGAAAATATGGGCTGAAAATCCATCTCCGTACACATACAGGATACAAACCGTTAAAATGCAAGGTTTGCCTTCGCCCATTTGGAGATCCGAGTAATCTAAACAAACACGTGCGCCTTCACGCAGAGGGACAGACCCCGTACAGGTGTGATCAATGCGGTAAAATTCTGGTCCGGCGGCGCGATCTGGACCGACACATCAAATCACGTCACCCAAATGTCCCGGTCAAGAGCGAGGCTGAGGACGAGATTGTAGTCATCTAGAATACCAGAGATTTGCTAATTATACATGAGTGTCTTATTTATCCACATTTTGTGCAGTGTGATTTTTGCGTAATTCATTAAAGATACTTTTATGGGTAAAAAATATGAATATTTTATTGTGATATAACAGATGCTAGAGTAAAATTTGATTTAGAGTATATCATGTCACAATGTTTTTGCAATAAAATTCGTTAAGCTTTCTGTAACATTTATTGTCTATACAATCATATTTTTAGCTCACCTCAACCTTTGATTTAGGTGATCATCTGATCAGAATGAATGCTTGCTATGTTATAGATCTTGTGCAAACTTAACAACAATCAAATTTCTTAGACTCGGAGCTTCTGTGCCTATTTCAGGTCAAAGGCAAATCTAAATTCCGCATTGTTAATTTAAATACAAGTAACATTAAGAAAGATGGGTGATTATGTAACTATGTATACCTCCTAGTAAAAAGAGCTCTGTATGAAACAAGTGCCTTTTGTTTACTATATAATAATTTATGTCTAGAAAATGCAGTTCATGGTGAAGGCTTAAGTTTCTTAAATGCAAGTTAAACTCCAAGGTAAGAGATAAAACAGTTGTATCCAAGGAGAGGATATACTTGTAAAATATGAAAGCCCACGGGCCAACTTGAATTGTCACAGAGAATAAACGCTTAAAACTAACACGAAATGCTCAAAAGTTATGGTTATCACTTCAGAATGGATTGTGCTGAGGCCTTTACTTATTTCACATGTGTATTTTTTATGATACAAGGCCTTCACTTATGCACCCTTAATTTTTACCCTTCAATAGTTTGACCGACTTCGGAAAACTTTATCCTTCATCATGTTTTGTGTTGTTGATGTTAAGGCTTTCATATTTTAAATGTGTATTTCTTTTCAAAAGACCTTTGCAAAATACCGATAGTTCCAATATTTTATTCTGGACTTCGGAGTTTGACTCAGAGGCTTCTTTAAAAGAAAACTTTAACATTGACCTTAACTTTTGAACAGTTTGTTCTAGGGCTTACATATTTATCAGGTACATGTATCTATTCCTTGTGACAAGACCTTCCTCGATCATGCACGATTAATATGTGCCTACTCTGAATACTGAGTACTTCACAATCCTCTCTGATCTCTTCTTTGGGAAAACAAAGAGGAACAGACGACAATTGTACAGACATCAGTTGCAAGTTAGTTGATCAGTGAGTGGAACTTGGACCCAACTTTAACTGGTACATGTACTCATATTGGTATATAATAAGATTAAGAATAAAGTACATACTTTTCTCAGTAATTATTCAGATTCTTCTTGGAACATCCCAAGGAAATCTTTCAATTTGATGAAAATAAATCTATGAGCTGACAATGTCTAGGACACATCTATAAACATTTTATTTTCACATAATCATGATGTGATCAAAAATTTAATACATTGAATAAAATATCTCATTTTGAAGAAATGTAGAAAATGTACGCACATTTGAGAAAAAGTTTTTGTTTGTACAAGTTACAATGCTACAAATTACTTTGAGGGAATTGGCAAGAGCTTGCCGAATGCAAGGATTGTGCAAACTGATACTGTGTGTAGCTGCAATGCGCAGTCATAGGTGTGACGGTGTCCATCCCTCCCCTGTGGTACAAAGAAGGGTGGGGCAGGGAGCTGGCCCAGTTAGGATCATGGGTGCTGAAAAACGAGGGGCGCTGTATCGGTGCCATATGAGCATGTGGAACAGGATTGTAACCGGAAGTGAAGTTTGGCAAAATGTCTGCCGTCGTCGAGGACAAATGTTCTGACATCTGGGTTCCAGTGGCATTGCTACTGGAAGCACTACACCCCATATCATTTGTTATGTTTTTATTTATCTTCGGTAGGTCATCATATGACGTCACGCTGGTTGACAGATTTTCATTGGTAAGATTGACGGGGTTTGGTGTGGCGATTTTATTTCTTTTACTCAGATTCGGAGACGTATCTTTTTCCTCATCACTGGCTCTTGAAAAAGATTCTCTTTTACGGCTTTTTTGAACGCATGTGTTCCATTTTTCTTCTTTTCGTATGTTTTTTGCAAGTTTATCAGTTACAACAGAAGTAATTTTGATTGGTTCCTCACCAGGCCTTGCGCGCGGGTTAAATTCTATGCCAAGTGTAAAATGCCTTGTGTCCTCGTATTCAGCGGTACATGGCTCCTTTTGAGTCATACTACTGTCAGAGCTCCTCTCAGCTGAAAAAGATTCAGTAAAGTTTTGAAGAGAAGTAAAATGTATCAAGACAAATAAACACAGCTTTAATAATTTAGAAACATGGGTATTAACACTCAACACTGTATGATCTTTTAAGGATACTTAACCAATATCCCATGGACAAAAAAACTTGCCATTTTACCCGAAAATTTCTTCAGAGGAAGTTTAAAAGATTTTCTCCCTCGACATTTTCATGAAAATATTTAACCCATTACATTGACTTTGGAGTGGCACGACCTTTTAAATGAAGAATTATGAATAGCTTAACTCAAGAATACTCAAGACAAGTCTATCCTGGAGAGGTAAAACATGTGCGAACATTATACAGATGGACACCTGGCCATGGGTGATCAGAAATATAGCCAGGAGGAACCATGAGACACCAAAAGAAAAGGTCATCATTCTACGAATGCCTTACGAATCTCTTCTTCTTCTTCTTCTTCATCAAGGCGATACTGGCGTAACCATGTAAGTAGGTTATTCACGTCTGATCGGTCAAGTGTCTGAATTACTGCATAGATCGCCTTCTTAGCTTTCTGTAAAGGTGTATGGTTACCTGAAACATGGATCTGAAAGTTAGCACCTGCACAGATTTACCCTTCCTTACCTGGATATTAGGAATGGTAGGAATATATCGTATATCTAGTCCACCTACATGTATTACCATCGTCCATATTGGGAAACTTCTCTTATCATTAAGACCCTTCTACTTTCCGATTCTCAAGTTATCAGCGATACAGCATATTGTCCCGTGTCTTTCCAAAAGTGATAAAGAAATGTAGACCTGGTATATAGGTTCATATGTGCTCACAAGCCTTTAATCCGTTACCGTATACTGATATACATGAATCTAAATATTGAATTAATTTTTGACTTTCATTAATTATAATGTACCCTACCGTCGTTAGATTAATAGCATTTAGGTATTCATTGCAATATGAAGCGATTAATGTATAATTATTGATATATAATTCCTAATTAAATCTGATTTAAATTCAATAGATTTTTTTTTTTTTTTTTTTTTTTTTTTTTTTTTTTTTTTTTTTTTGCAAAAACGTACATTTCATTACTTGGTAGACTTAAAATGGTAAATTTAAAATGAAAATCGTTTCATACTGTAATTCAATAATGCTTAGAAAACAGCAATGTAGCTGTTTTAGCGCAAAAATTATCATTTCATCATTGTGCACATCACCCATCATTGTGTGTGATTTTGTTTGGTATACGTACCCTTGCCTTCATTGCTGACAAGGGAGTCGCTGTCAGACTGTGAGAGAGGACTCGCCGAGGCAGACAGACACACGGAACGGGAGGCATCCTCCGCGTCATTGATCGTCTCCGTCAGACTGTTTTCCTCTGTGGACGCCTCCAGTAATTCAGCTTTAGGTTTGATGGGGGTGAAGTTTGGAACTGGTGTAATAGGCGTGTATGAATACGGAAGACGATCATTCGTGGACGGAATGGAGAAGTTGGCGGACAGGATGCTCTCAGTTGATCCATCGAGTGTAGTACGCGGAAGTCCAGTAATGCTGCGGATCATGCGCACTAAATCACTCAGTTTATTGACCCCCATAGCACATGTTCGATACCAGCATTGCATCGGAGTTGGGTTGATGGTTGTGATTCCCAGGTAGAAAGGAGAGTTCTCGTGCTGCATGCTAGGTGGTCTTTTTTGGGAGTAAAGTTTATAAATACTTATAGGGTCTCTGTCCTTTAGTTCGGGTCTGCTCCAGATACACAGTTTTACGGCAGCAGCTCTGTTTGCTTTATAACTCTGATTTGATGCTGACATTGGTTGATACACTAGGTACTCATTTCCTTTACCATCTGTCTTTAACCCTATGTCTCCCCACTGTAAATTCTTATGATCTATGGCTTTTCTTAGTCTGAAGTGAACTATGATGACGAAGCATAGAGTGTTAATGACCGACATCGGAGTGTGGGGCCCCATCTCTTGCTCGGAAAATAATTGGTGTATCCGATCGAAGCCCAGTTTGCCAACAGGCTCGTTTGGTTTCTTGATGCCTTTACCGATTTCCCTGAGTCGTTGTTGTTTGTACTTGAGCGCCTGCCTGGTGCCAACAAAAGCAGCATCTCTGGTGACGGATGAGACGTAGTTCTTCATTTTAAGGTAACGTTCAATGCTACACAGCATCCCGCGCAGACTCGCGGGCTCGTAGTCGTTCCCATCATGTTTCTTCACAATGGTAAAAAATGTCGACAAATATCGGTCGAGTTCGGCCGCTGGAACATCCTCTGGGTTTCTGTTTTCGTCGACCGAGCGTAAATAACTGATGACGATCCGTACATCTGTGTCTGTTTTTCTTTGAGTGTTTTTATTTTCCATATACAATCTGAATTTATCGTAATTTTCAAATCCCGGGTGGTCGGGTTTCCTGAATCTGAGGTCGGTGCTGCTGGAATTCTCCTCCTCGCTGTCTATCATCAGGGAATCCTCGCTGTCGGATACATCCGGGTCCTCAGAAACCGGGACTGGACCGGTGTGATTCTTCATGGTCACCAGACTGCTTGCCATCCTTAGATCTGGGAATATGAACGCTAAGGTTTGGCGACCGGTGCTATATATCAGTTATCACGCAGGAATACAATGATAATTGTCTAAAGTGGAACGGAAACATCGAGGAATATTATGCACTTGAAATAATCTATATATTGACTCAAGGGTTGTATGGAATAGATTATAGTACATCGGTATCTCACCGCTATCATGTAATGGGCAAAAAATTACGGCGTCTTAGAACATGGTTATCTAAGTTCTGCAGAAACTAGTTTTAAAAAAGACCTTGTTACTAGGACACTTTAGTTGAGGGTAAAAACTTGCAAAATATATAAATCCCTAAAAATATTAGTAACATTAAAATATTTCCTTAATAAAAGATTCAAATTATTTTCAATATCATATTAAGAGAAAGTTATTCCCAAAATTTAATTTTGATCTTAATTTCTGTTGTAAAACGGGCTTTTGGAGCTTTTGGTTTAAACGCAAAATATTGTAGATATGGAGACTAATATTGTAGATACATTGGTTTGGAGCAAAATGTTGTAAATTTATACATTTGAATGGAGCAAAATAATCTAGATACGTTTATAATGAGCAAAATGATGTTGATACATTTGAATGGAGCAAAATAATGCATTTATGTTTGAATGGAGCATAATACTAGTATTATACATAATAACGTTTGCTTGCAGCAAAATTATGTTGATTCGTTTGTATGAAGCAAAATATTAAAGAAACGTTTCTATGGAGGAAAATAATGTGAATACGTTTGTATGGCACAAAATAATGTGAATAAGTTTGTATGAAGCAAAATAGCATAGATACGTTTGTATGAAGCAAAAAATGTAGTTACGTTTCCATGGAGCAAAATAATGTAGATACGTTTGTATCAAGCAAAATAGTGTAGATACGTTTGTATGAAGCAAAATAGTGTAGATACGTTTTTATACAACAAAATAATTTAGATATGTTTGTATACAGCAAAATAATGTAGATACGTTTCTATGGAGCAAAATAATGTAGAAATGTTTGTATGAAGCAAAATAATGTAGATACGTTTGTAAGAAGCAAAATAGTACAGATACTTCTGTAAACAGGAAAATAATGTTGATATGTTTGTATGAGCAAAATGATGTAGATACGTTTGTATGGAGCAAAATAATATAGATACGTTTGTATGAAGCAGAATAATGTAGATATGTTTGTTTTTCAGCAAAATATTGTAGATTCGTCTGTATGGAGCAAAATAATGTATATACGTTTGTATGAAGCAAAATAATGTAAGTACGTTTGTATGAAGCAAAATTATGTAGTTACGTTTGTATGAAGCAAAATTATGTAGATATGCTTATATGGCACAAAATAGTATAGATACGTTTGAATGCAGCAAAATTATGCGATACGTTTGTATGTAGCAAAATAATGTAGATACAACTGTATGAAGCAAAGTAATGTAGATACGTTTGTATGGAGAAAAATAATATACTAGATACGTTTGTATGAAGTAAAATAGTGTAGATACGTTTGTAAAAAGCAAAATAGTGAATATACGTTTATAAAAAATTAATTTAGATATGTCTGTATACAGGAAAATGATATTGATATGTTTGTATGAGCAAAATAATGTAGATAGGTTTGTATGAAGCAAAATAATGTAGATACGTTTATAGGAAGCAGAATAATGTAAGTACGTTTGTATGAAGCAAAATTATGTAGTTACGTTTGTATGAAGCAAAATTATGTACATATGCTTATATGGCACAAAATAGTATAGATACGTTTGAATGCAGCAAAATTATGCGATACGTTTGTATGAAGCAAAATAATGTAGATACAACTGTATGAAGCAAAGTAATGTAGATACGTTTGTATGGAGAAAAATAATATACTAGATACGTTTGTATGAAGCAAAATAGTGTAGATACGTTTGTAAAAAGCAAAATAGTGAATATACGTTTATAATAAATTAATGTAGATATGTCTGTATACAGGAAAATGATATTGATATGTTTGTATGAGCAAAATAATGTAGATAGGTTTGTATGAAGCAAAATAATGTAGATACGTTTGTATGAAGCAGAATAATGTAGGTATGTTTTTCAGCAAAATAATGTAGATACGTTTGTATGGAGAAAAATAATGTACTAGATACGTTTGTATGAATTTACCATGAAGCAAAATAATGTAGATACGTTTGTATGAAGCAGAATAATGTAGATACGTTTGTATGAAGCAGAATAATGTAGATACGTTTGTTTTTCAGCAAAATAATGTACATAGAAAATAATGTGGATACGTTTGTATACAGTAAAATAATATAGATACGTTTGTATGGAGCAAAATAAAGTTGATACGTTTGGATGAAGCAGAATAATGTAGATACGTTTGTTTTTCAGCAAAATAATGTACATACGTTTGTATGGAGCAAAATAGTATAGATAAGTTTGTATGGAGCAAAATAGTATAAGTTTGTATGTAGCAAAATTATGCTTCAGTAGATACGTTTGTATGGAGGGAGAAGAGACTTTGTTAATAGATTGCTTTTTTCCCTTTTTCTTATTTTCTACTTTTAAAAATAAATTAAGTAATAGTCTTTTTTGGAATTTTTATGGAATTCAGAATATTTGTGAGTGTTATTTCAGCAGAATTTTATTACAAGAGACATACTTTTATTTTTTTTTTATTATGTTGATGAATATTTCAATGTTAACCTTTTACTGATTCTCCATGGAAAAGCTATGCAGGGAGAAGATGTGCATAGGATTTGCTGATGTGCATAGGAATGTTGGTTTCACTGGTATCACTGGGAGAAACCAGCAGTTTGTTGCGAGTATGGATCCATTTTGTTTGCACCTTAAAGTTTGTTAACTTTGCTCAGAATTTTCTTGCATTCATGATTTTGATATCTATACATACTTATAGCGAATTTAAACATAGTATATCAAAGACACGTTGTTGTTTGTCGATCTTGATGACCGTCCTCAAATTGCGTAATAAATGTAGAATTTTGGATTGACCTTTACAATGATATCATTTACTGAAGAAAACACTCATAACAAAATGATAAAGGTCCTTATACAATATCGAACCAAGATAATCATGATATCAAAAAAGACACTTGTAATAATAACGGTAGTGACGTGTATGTTGGTAAAACAACTTCTGTTCAAGTTCTTTTACTTCAATGGGTCCGTGTTATCTTGTAGCGATGGGACAATATCAGCAGACGTCTGCGACGCGTTTTGATAATTTGTATATTTTCGTCTCGTCTGTTCCGGTAGTAGTAGCATGCAGAGAAGAGGTGATAATGTCAGACCATGGTGCTTGAGAACATTGTTTTAGGTAACATGTGTAACGCCATGTTATCGCTTGTCCTACAGGTAAACTGTACTTGTAAAGGACTACAACACAATCACGTCTTTTGGGCGGGAAAATCACAACCTCTAACTTCCTAGTATAGTTTTTTTTGCAAATCATTACTCCAACTGCAGAACACGAGAGAGACTCTTTGGCTGAGAACGTAAAACCGCGGTAGATGCTCGAAAAAGGTCATTTAACCGTCTCTTGATGACAATACATGCCGAATTCAGATCTTTTAAATTTACAAGCAGTTGCTGAGGGGGAGGGGGGGTCTCAATATGAGCAAATATATTATAGGAGCTATAATGCTCGAAGGCATTTATGACCGGTCAATAGGGGATGCTTACTACTCCTAAGCACCTCATTCCATCTCTGGAGTTTCCAAGAGTCCGTGTATTCCTTTGAGGGTGTGGGAACCGTATTTTCTTTGATTTTCCGATTCCATTGCCATCATGTTATCTTTAAAATGATATTTTCTTTCCATGACCTATAGTGCTATTAGTAAATAAATGGCTGACAACTCTTAGATTAATTTTTATCCTCAATCTTCATCTTCCCTTACTTCTGCAACAAAATACATTTATCACCTGCATACCGAGTTTATATATCTCGGTTGATTCGATACGCAAGAGCATGCATGCTCTACGTATGAACAATTTAAAAAAAGGCTAAATTATTGACAAAAAAATTGATGAATCAAGAATATCAGCAGTCTCGTTTAAATCCATCATTTGTAAGTTCTTTGGTCGATACATTGACCTTTTCATCAAATACAATTTATCAGTAAATATCTGACTTTATTACATTTTTACCCGTGAAATACTATGATTTATTCATTGAATAAAAATGATATCCTGTCACAGTGTGAAAGGATATCAAAATGATATCCTGTCACAGTGTGACGAATATCAGAAGGGCGGGAAAACTTTCGATTTCCCTTCCCATAACGAAGATTGCTGTAAAAAAAATCTTCCTTGACCTAATATAAGATAGATGAAAATAAATAAACCATTCTGACAGCGAATAAAACTGTCAAAATTACCAAAAATATGTTGCTAAATCCATGTTTACAGTGTTTTCACCTCACTTAGCTATGACGTCTCAACCACTCAACTATGACGTCACGAGCCTATGACTGTATATTACAAAAAGACAGAGACATAGGAAAAATCAAAGAATTTTTTTAAAAAATGTAATAAACAGAAAATTCAATGTTTTGTAGTTGAATATGGAATTTATTTCACTCGTGAGACAGGATTTTTTGATATTTTCACTCGTGCTTCGCACTCGTGAAAATATCAAAAATCCTGTCCCACTCGTGAAATAAATTCCATATTCAACGACAAAACATTGAATATCCTCTATGAAGTTTTTCATATACCAATTCTTAGTTCATTATTTATACACTGAATTGACGACGGATTTTCCCGTTATTTTCCGATCATGACAAGAAGAACACGGCGGATGTGACCGGTCGGCAGGGGATGCTCACTTCTTCATGGCACCTGATCCAACCTCTGATGTGTTGGAGGTCCGTGTTAGCTCCGCTCCTATTTTGTATGTTTTATGGACATTTGATCTTGAATATTGTTCGTTATCTTCATATTTCATGAAATAAGATACAAAATAGGCGGCGGGACATGCGTTACCAGGAACACTAGTTTTCGTGCTCTTGATACTGAGTATTTGAACCGAAACTTCATCAGTTCATTTAAAATACATGCCTCTTTAATAATATTATTGGTGATTATTTGTGAGAATATTTTTTTAAACTGATATTTAAACAAATGTATGAAGTGCTGAAAATAATCATGAGTTTTTGCTTCCTGCGTTATACGAGATGACTATCTATCTTGATCTCAATTTCTGGCCAATCAGAAGTTATTTTAAAATGAAGTCTTCAACATGTTCCAGCACAGTGAATGATGATTATAATTTACGACATCCCTATTGTAAAGAATTGTTTCAAAGCCACCATGCTCGTACATTCAAAAGATGAAATTTGATTCTAGAAAGGTGTGATATGTGGTGATAAAGATGCTTATCCGTACAGTCATGTCTGTAGATTATCGATATATTTAACAATAGCAGAGCTTTAAATAAAATAATTGGACGAATCGGTTAGAGGAAGTCTTTCCCAAGTATAAAGTTTATGTTTTCATTTAAACGAATGTCCACAAGAGAGAGAGAAAGAGAGAGAAGAGTAGAGAGAAACTGGCTTGTGTGAAGCTTCTTTTATACAATGAACGTTTTAAAAGTGACGGTCATCATTCATATTGTTTCATTTGTTTTTGGTGTAAATGAATTTCACAGCTGGAAATCTGAATCTGGACTGGAAAAGCCCAACTTGCTCTGTACGAATTCCTGTCTCCCCCGAGAGGCTGACGATTACGACCGATGCTGCGCCTGCGAGGGAAAACCTATCTGGCAGCTCGATCCAAGTATTAGTTATCTGCCCTTGTTTGTAGAGTACGTGAATACGTTTGGAAGATCGAATATCGTTGGAAATGACTCTTCTTCCTTTTATTGGCTGGTCCATGAAAATGAAAGAATGGGCAGGCTACCAGACAACTTGTGTGAATTTAACAACACACTGGTCACTCTGAAGCTCAAAGGAAACAGAATACAAAGTATTGAAGGAATTAACTGTTTGAATGTTCTGGACATTTTAGATTTAAGTGAAAATCCCATTTCATCTATAACAAATGAAACTTTCTCTGGTATGCCTAACTTGCGTGTTCTTCTTCTAGTCAATACGAACATAAAGACTGTAGGACCAAACACTTTCATGAAGGCTGGTACAGAAATTTTTTTCACGGATTTATCAAACAATAATTTCGAATCTTATGACGTATCCAATGTTTATTTTAAGCGTAGGGCCTTCTGTAACATTACAATGGCTAGCTGTAATATAACCTTTGCAAAAGCAGAAGGTATCTTACAACCAGGGGTGCAATATGGTGGCGGTGAGGTGGTTCTAAACAACTCTACCCTGAATCAACACCCCTTCCAGCTACTGTTCGGATCTAGCATCGAGTCGCTTCGAAATATAAACCAGTACGAACTAATTGGCAAAATGACGTATGAGAAACTTGACATCCCTTGCGATTGTAATTTTGGAGCGCTATTGTTCGGAGATATCGAGGTGTTTAAAAGATTTTATTACTTACCAATTGACGGTCTGTATACTTGTTCATCACCTGAGCATCTGAAGAATTTAAATGTTTTAAATGTATTTAATGATTCGTCGTTGTTAGACATGTTTGTATGTCACAAACAAAATTTTTGTCCGTCTGTCTGTACGTGTATAGAGCAACCTAGTAGATATCGGATGATCGTGGACTGTTCGAATCAAAATCTTACAAGTCTTCCAACGTATCTTCCTGAAACTATTTACAACATAGAACTGAACTGCAGCAACAACGCGATTACAGAAGTAATGCCAGTTAACTATCTCAGGAAACTCAGTGTCTTAGACTTATCCGGGAACCAGGTCACGGAGATATCTGACACAGTTCTTTCCAGGCTAGGAAATCTGGAAAGCCTATACCTCACGGACCACGGTCTACCAAAGCTCACGCGAGGATTTGCAGACATTGATGCTAGTAAGGTCTGGTTTGGACGAAACAGTGTGTCATGTACGTGTCAGGAAAAATGGATCAAAGCATGGAGATTAGGGTCAAAGGTCAATAGTTCAAATCCTCTACTGTGTCGAACAGATTCACATGGTATTCTTCGTGCTGAGATAACGTTTGACAATTGTATAGAAAAAGAATTCGACAGAACTTTTTTCACTCTGCTTCTTATTCCTGCTACAGCTTTAGTCGCCATATTTATAGCCAGAGTATTAAGGTTTGATGCCATCATGCTAAAAAGTCTTTTCACAAAAAGTAAAAACGTACATTATTCCTATGATGTTTATGTTCTTTTTGACGATACAAATTCAGATATTATTAAGTACGTGCTTGAGATCTTTAGATATCTTCAACACAATGGGTTCGAGTGTTTTGTTCCACCAATTCATGGAGACTACGCGGATGTTCGGGATGTGCAACTTTGAGAATATGAAGAAAAGCCGCTCAGTATTAGTGATCTTGTCAAAGCCCAAAGATGGTGACGACATAAATGAAGTGCTTTTTGGTATGAAACACGCATGGTCTCTCTTCTCCAGCAAAGAAATTGAAAATATTATTGCAGTTGTCTTTGAAGGAAGACTTGCATACCAGAAGAAACGCTTTCCGTTTTTAGGCGCTTTAAACCGATTTAATCGTGTTTTCAAAGTTACAAGCCGGAAGTACAGGGTCCATCAAAAACTTACAGAGGTACTTCCGGTACCCCGCCGTATTTAATTAAGCAGACAATATATATTTTTTAAAATCTTTTTTAAAAAATCATTTTTAAGGGTTCATTAAATTGCTTATGCTATAATGATGATATGTTAATAAAGAAACCATTTAAGGGGACTGCTTCTTGATCAATACATATAAAGAAATAACCAACACATAAAGTTATGCATCTCCATCCTTACATGATGTCATAGGCCATTATTGTTTCCTGTTTTCTCTGAAGTCGAAGATATTAATTTGGATCTGTCTGTCCGTCTTTTTGGGTGTATGTCGTTTTATCTGCCTGTAATACTATCGTTTCCGAACGCTATTCTCAAAAGTCCTTTTGCAATGGCATTTTTTCGCATTTCCAAAATAATTTTAAGGATTTAGATGTATAACAGGGCACTTCCGGTAAAAATGACGGCGTTTGCCGATGATTGCCGATGTCGTAACACTGTTTCTGTCTAAGAGTTATCGACCGTTTAAACAAGCAAAAAATCTTCGTCAACACGGCTTGATAGACGCTGGCATTATTCATGCCATCAGATGAGAAAAATATACTTAACAGAGGAAAGAACAAATGTTAGATTGATAGAAAACCATGATATAGTAGTTTTGTTAGACAAATTGCTGCATAAACAATCTTTTTCAAAGTACAATACATACTTGGGTTTTTCCATGTTCTAAAAATAGCACATCTTTCGATGTGTAGAGAAAACGAGGTAATTTTTTTTTATTTCTTTAAACTATGTAATATTTTAACAGATTTTCTTTATTTCTAGTCGTTTTTCAGTAAACATAGTAAAGAAACACATGGAAGTGTGCATCTATAATCATGTTAATTCACTAAACTAGACCGCGGTTACAGCTATATAGATCGGTACATGCACATTGTCATTTGTTTGCAAAAAAAAAAATTCCCTGAGTTTTCTCTGATGTAAAAAAACATATTCTGGACATAACATATGTTTTTTGTTGTATAACTACATGACTGTATACTAAGGTTGTGTTTCCAAAATGAAAAAAAAAATCTTCCAGGTTCTAAATTAAAGGTTTATAAAATACCCGTAACAGAGAGGAAATTAATAAAATAAAATTTAAAAAAAAAGAACAAAACTTTAAGGACTAAATAATTTCTACTATTATTTAAAAAAAGAAGAAAAAATAGGGAAAACACATTTTGGTTTTTTAATCTAGGCCACACCAATAAAATTTTTTGTTCGTCGGACCCGCGCGCTGGTACTTAAACAAAACTATAAAAATAATATTAATTTAAAATTTCCGCACCATAGGAATTCTGTGCTGTTTTCTGTTGCATTTCCGCTCTATCTATCGTACTTTTTATCTACTTACTCTGCAAATCAGAAAAAATATAATTTTTCCGCTCAATTTTTTTCATGCCCCGTCTAAAAAAATTGCCTACTAAAAAGTAATAATATTATTATTTAACCGCTAGCCCGCTCGTACTTTTTTCATCAAAAGTCCGACGAACAAGAAGTTAAATTGGTGTGGCCCTAGGTATTTATTTCATAGAGAAAAAAAATAGATGGGGAGGGGGGTATCATAATAAATATTTATATTAAATTGATTTCATTTTCATGATTTTTGCAATTCTCTGTACATATGAGGAAAAAATACCATACTTTTTTAAACTAATATAAGAACAAGATTACATGTACATTTTTTTTTCATCTCCCAGAATTGTTCTTGTACAAGTGTATAAATATGTTGTTTTTTTTTTCAAGGTTAAAAGGTCAAGGACATTGTTAAAAATGTCATGAGGCTTATTTATTTATGTTGTTTTATACACTTATCAATATATAAGTATGGCATAATCATACTAATAGTGTTGAGAATGAAAAGTTATATTTGTGTGTCAGCAAACGGATACTAAAATTGGGGGAAGGGGTAGTAAATGCTTAATTATAAAATATCCTGGTAAAAAATATTTTATGTATTTTATTTTTGTACAACATTGATTAGAGTCATTTTCTATCAAAGAAATTTTTAGCCCACTCTTTTCTTTTTTTAATTAAAAAAATTTAAAAATTAATTGTTTTTATAAGAAATACACACTTAGCATTGATTAACGTATTTTAATCTGGAAATTTTATTAATTAATTGTAACTTTTGAAGAAAAAGTCTTTTATTGTGAAGCGTCTGTGTTATTTTTGTTCATCTAAAGTAAAATTTAAGTCTGAAAATGAGTTTATTTCACAGAATTCCTTTATTTTTTCACTGTTTAAAACAGCGGGGGTATGATACTGAAAATTCTACTTTTATCAGATATGTCTGGACAAAACTTTATGTAACTTTGGAATTAAAGCCTCAAAACACTAAAGATAAGGAAATATAAAGTAAAATTTCATTCTTCAACAATGCTTGTTATACATCTAATACCTTAATTTGATTTTGGGGTAAAAAGTTCAAAGGTCAAGAGTAGTCAAGATAAGAATTCAAAGTGACACTGTTTGTTTCCTGAAGATATTTTCAGAGAGCATTTGAGAGTTTCACAACTTTTCATCTCACTTCACAACTCTTTATGTCTGTAAAAGACCACTATTGAATCTGAGATGATGGGATATAATTCATACAGTGTATATATAAGGGTAAATCAAAAAGTTCGCGAACTAACTCAATATCTACAAAACCACAAATCAGATTAAACAAGAGGCCCATGGGCCACATCGCTCACCCGAGCATTGTGGCTAGGAAAAAGTAGAAATATATAAAAGTGTAAAATCAAACGTTTGGCCCCGCCCTACCCCTAGGGGACATGATTTGAACAAACTTGAATCTACACTACCTGAGGATGCATCCATATAAATATGAGCAATTATGGCTTTGCTATTCTTGAGTAGAAGATTTTTAAAGAGTTTTCCTATATATTTTAATATAAAACTTCCCCATTGTGGCTCTGCCCTATGATTGGAACAAACTTGAATCTACACTACCTGGGGATGCTTCCACATATATTATTAGCAATTATGGCTTTGCTGTTCTTGAGAAAAAGTAATTTAAAGAATTTTCCTATATATTTCAATATAAAACTTTGGTCAGCCATTGCGGCCCCACCCTACCCCCAGGGGACATTATTTGAACAAACTTGAATCTACACTACCTCAGGGGATGCTTCCATATTTATTTATATAAATATTAACAATTATGGCTTTGCTGTTCTTAAGAAAAAGAATTTTTAAAGAATTTTCCTATATATTTCAATGTAAAAATTTGGTCGGCCATTCTGGCACAGTTCTACCCCCGGGGGTCATGATTTGAACAAACTTGAATCTACACTACCTGGGGATGCTTCCATATAAATATTAGCAATTATGGCTTTGCTGTTCTTAAGAAAGGATTTTTAAAGAATTTTGTATATATTTCAATATAAAACTTTGGTCATTGTGGCCCCGCCCTACCCCCGGGGGTCATGATTTGAACAAACTTGAATCTGCACTACCTGGGGATGCATCCATATAAATATTAGCAATTATGGCTTTGCTGTTCTTAAGAAGAAGATTTTTAAAGAATTTTCCTATATATTTCAATATAAATATTTGGTCGGCCATAGTGACCCCTCCCTACCCCCGGGTGACATGATTTGAACAAACTTGAATCTACACTACCTGAGGATGCATCCATATAAATATGAGCAATTATGGCTTTGCTATTCTTGAGAAGAAGATTTTTAAAGAGTTTTCCTATATATTTCTATATAAAACTTTGGTCGGCCATTGTGGCTCCGCCCTACCCCCGGGGTCATGATTGGAACAAACTTGAATCTACACTACCTGGGGATGCTTCCACATAAATATTAGCAATTATGGCTTTGCTGTTCTTGAGAAAAAGTATTTTAAAGAATTTTCCTATATATTTCTATATAAAACTTTGGTCAGCCATTGCGGCCCCACCCTACCCCCGGGGTCATGATTTGAACAAACTTGAATCTACACTACCTGGGGATGCTTCCATATAAATATGAGCAATTATGGCTTTGCTGTTCTTAAGAAGAAGATTTTTAAAGAATTTTCCAATATATTTCTATATAAAACTTTGGTCGGCCATTGTGGCCCCGCCCTACCCCGGGGTCATGATTTGAACAAACTTGAATCTACACTACCTGGGGATGCTTCCATATTTATTTATATAAATATTAACAATTATGGCTTTGCTGTTCTTAAGAAAAAGAATTTTTAAAGAATTTTCCTATATATTTCAATATAAAAATTTGGTCAGCCATTGTGGCCCCGCCCTACCCCCGGGGGTCATGATTTGAACAAACTTGAATCTGCACTACCTGGGGATGCATCCATATAAATATTAGCAATTATGGCTTTGCTGTTCTTAAGAAGAAGATTTTTAAAGAATTTACTATATATTTCAATGTAAAACTTTGGTCGGCCATTGTGGCCCCGCCCTTACCCCCTGGGGACATGATTGGAACAAACTAATCTACACTACCTGAGGATGTTTCCCCAAAATTTTTAATCTTTCCTGGCACAGTGGTTCTTGAGAAGAAGATTTTTAAAAACATACCACCAAATTTTCACTAATTCTGAAGATATTTTCCTTGAATGAGAGGCGTGGCCCTTCATTTTAACAACTTGAATCCCCTTCACCCAAGGATGCTTTGTGGCAAGTTTGTTGAAAGACCACTATTGAATTCTTGAGAAGAAGTCGAAAATGTGAAAAGTTTACAGACAGACAGACGGACAAAATGTGATCAGAAAAGCTCACTTGAGCCTTCGGCTCAGGTGAGCTAAAAATAATTTGGTACACATATAGCCACACACAAGTTCTATAAATAGCATATGCTGAATAAAGTTTTGCTCCTAGTTTGTGACGTCACAATATGAAAATGACGTCACAATGTAGGTCACTTGTGACGAAAAATGGCTGTCTCAGTCGTACTTGTTTAACAAAAGGACTGCAAAATTTATTGTATATCTTAAAAATTCCTTGGAAGTAGCGTATAATAGCTTGTACACACTTTATAAAGACAAATGACTTCCTATAAATTCAATCAATGATTGGATTGGTCATTTTAGTAAAGGAAGGCAGATGGTTATAAAAATGATACTTGTTAAGTTGCCCAGCGAAAGCAAATTTTAAAAAAAGATGTGTTTTTAATTAAGCAACCTGCTATCAAAGACTTTCAATTTACACTTTGAAAAATAGTTGAATATTTTAACAATATTATAATTATTAAATACCTGAAATATTGTTTACTTTGGATTTAAAACATATTAGATATGATAAAAAGGAGGCACCCATTCTCTATCCACTTTGAATAAACGTCTCTTCCGAGACAGAAGATTTGGGTTTTAATAGTCGCCATGCATGCTTATTTTTCGAAATGATATTCGTATCCACCCATTCTGTTGCCGAGATTTGACCATTTCTGACAAATGAACTGTTCTTGTTATAAAAATTAACTTACATGGAGAGAAATATAAAACTCAGAAAAATCTTTCGGCGTTTGTGACAGAACGCTACGGAGGGGGTCACGTGACCGCCTATATCACGTTCTTCGCGCATGCGCAGAACGGTGGTAGATGTGCATTAAAATTGGAGAGGACTAATTTAAAATACAATCAACACTTAAACCAAATATTGTTTCTTGTATGGGAGTTATTCAATTAGTTCGCGAACTTTTTGATCACCCCTCGTACTTTCTTTCTCAATGTGTTACTTTCTTTTATACATTTTATACATACGGTGTCGTAGCATCGTTTTTGAAAGGGGTGCAGCCATAGAAAATATTTTCAACTTACCTAAAAGATCTTGACAAGCAAAAAAGAAAAAAGGTAAAATTGTACAAACTCACAAACTCCAAAATCCTATTTCGTGGGGAGGAAGGGGGCAACTTTTTTTTAAATATCAACTTTCTTACCCAAACATACTATATTACCTTAATTTAACTGCACAGCGCACTGCAACAAAAGTGGGGGGGACTCTTAAATTTTACTATATAGTACAAAGTTATGTCTGTACCATGTTGTAAATTTTGAATTTACTACGGGGTGCAAAATTTACAAGTAAATTCCAAATTTAGAACATGATATCTGAAAAATGTGGGGGCCTGGCTCCCCCTGATGCTGCGTGCCTAGCTGTACATATATTTCAGGTGTTTACTTACATTATACTTAAATGTTGAATTCTCCATTTGCATATTTTTTCCACTTCTTCCGTCCTCTTTTTTTTTCCTGAATGCAATTCTATCTTCTTTTTTTTTATTCATACAAAATTTTATTCACATAAGTGAATGGGATTAGGCAGCAGGCAAAGCCTATTTTAGTCCTAGGCCTCTCCCAATACTAATTTTAGAGTATAAGTAGATGAAAATAGTTGATTCACTTGCAGCACACTTACTTTCTGCCACCAAATCATTCAGCTTGTCCGCATTGGTCAATCATATACGGTCCGGATCATTCTCTCTCTCTAATTTTAAAGGCAAGTGTTATTTTTTTTCTTTTTTAGTACACCTGAGTCAATCAGATAACCCATTTCTATTTCTTTTCGTTCGTCGTCGTCCGTCGTGGTTTTTTTTTAAACCGCTTCGTGGGTAGCTATTTAGTTCATTCCTTAAACAACTTTGTAAATACAAATGTACGCTCAAACTACAGTCAGTGGCGTAGCATCGTTTTTGAAAGGGGGGGGGGAGAAGCCAGAGAAAAAACATTACTCACCCGAAAGAAGTTGACAAGCAAAAAGGGGGGTTTAAGGCAAGCTTTTTTCAATACATACTTCTTTCAGTATCAAATTTTCTTCATACAATTACTACATTACCATTATATCAGTTTACTTTAGCCAAAATTAAGTGGTGGGGGCAGCCTTTCAATGAACATTTCAATAGTAAAAGTTGTGTTTGAAAAAAAATGGGGGCAGCCCAGTTGCTACATGCCTGATAGTTTTATAACAAAATGTGGATAAATAACTTTGGAGGTGAAAAAAATCATGGGTCCCTTAATTTAGTGCAGATCTCATACTATGAAAAGTAATTCGTCAACATATACATGTATGTAATTATTTTGTTTGTTTGTTTGTTTGTTTGTTTTTGGCTTAATTCTTTTTCCTAGATGTTACTCTGTAAAAAGAGGGGAAGTTTTTGAAGATTAACTCTATATATATTTTAAACGATAACTCATAAATCGGATCTTTGTTGGTATTTTTTACAATTGAGTATCGTTTCCTAAAAACAGAACTTAAAAAATCAATTATTTTAATTTAAAGCTATATATGGCGTAACTGATCAAAAAAATATATTTTTGAAAAATACAAAATTAAGTAAAGAAATATAGTTAATACATTCAAATTAAAGCTTTTCATATAACTCTGAACACGGAGAACACCTCGTCTCATCTAAAAATACAATTTTATCTTCTCTGTAATGTGTTATTTAAATCGTGTGTGTAGAATCAAATTTAAATTGTGATATCTTTATAACGCAACTGACTTAGATTTTGTAATTTACGAAAAAGTTCTATCTTTATATAAAGTAATGATACAAATAATAAGTTCTCATAATTTTAGTCTAAAAATTTTCATTACACATACGCCATATATGGCTTTAAAATATACTGGTCTAAATAAAGGTTTGTGTGTGTATAATCGGCAAAAAAAAAAAAAAAAAAAAAAATGAATTTCTCAAAAATTCACTAACCTATAAATCTGTGTTTCAAATGTTTTAACCATATACATGTACAACTTGAAAAATTAGTTGAAAGGTATATCCTTTAAAACAGACCGTCTATCAGTGTTTTCAGTACTTTGATTTTTTTTTTACTTTAAAGTTTTGCGAAAACAAGTTATTTAACAAAGTAAAAAGAAAATAATCGTATTTTGTTACACAAATTGGTGTTTATGTCAAAACAGGAGTAATTTTACTTCCTTAAAGACCTAGCTAGTCAAAAAAAATTGCCTTTTTGAAAAATTTCAGATCCACTCCTGGCTTCCCAACGCGCATTGTTATGCGCATAACTTTGTACATGACTTCCTGTAAATCCAGCTGATGGATTCGCTACCTTTTAGTCACCTGAATGGTGATTTAGACTATGAGGTTGTACTATATACAGACTATTCTTCATTTTTTATATTTTCGATTGAATAAGTTTGTTATGCTATTACTATTTCATGATCATGATGATGTGTATTGTTAGGGAAATCTGGAAGGAGTGGGGGGGGGGGGGGTAATAAGGTCTGACTGAGCATGGACCAAAAGCAGAGCAAAGAGTGAGGATACAGTTCTTTTTTCTTTATAATTAGGTATATGTACATTGTACACATCTTCAATAAGATGCACATGCGTGAAGGTTAAAAAAAGAGTAGAACTGCTATCCATAAATAATTAAATTACAGACAGCATGTACAGGTTGAAGTTTCATACACTAGGTATGTATAGGTATGAGGGTACTCTCTTTATTGACATATGACAGGCGTTTACCTTCAGCCATCTCAAGAGAAAAGGTATGAGGTCTTTATATGATTGATTTGTTGGACGTCACCTGAACTTGAAGATGATGGTGCCCAAGGCTTGCAGCTTTTGACGTGATATCCTTAGAAATTAATTTCATGAAAAATAATTTTAGCATATTAAGACAACTCCTGCAGCTTTAAACATCAGCTATTTCTGTGTCATCATTACTGAAAGACAAATAATTACTTACGACGAATGCCGATGTAGCAGTGATGTTGAACTTTAACAATTCTTATGTTTGACTAACGGACTGGTCAACATTGAAATATTAGACCGGTGGAAAAAATTATTTTGTAGGAATTTTTATTGGTAAGAAATTTACAAAATTATTTATAAGAGTATTAATAATGTGTAATAGTTGGCTGTGTAAGATGCAGTTGTTATTAGTAATGTAGTACCTAATTTCTGATTGTTTGATATTTGTCATTCTGTAGACGTTGGCATCAGACGTTATGTACGAACTGATTGATGATGTAACGCTGGGATTGTGTTTTGAAGTTCATCGCGCCTGTAAACACGGCACGCTTTTCCTAGGGGATACTGATCCCAAGTAAGTCAATTGAAATTCCAGGTTTTTGAATTTGATAGGCAAAGAAAGTGTACATTATGTAATTTTCATTTTCTTGAATTTGCAGGTCACAAAGAGAGCATGGTATGTAGTTACTTAGCTAGAACATTCTATTGTTAAAATGATATTGTCCCACGGACCCGGTTTAACCGGGTCCATGGTGAGGGCTTGTACCGAGACACAGTTAGATCATTCTAACTAGTAGTTACTTTATAACTTGCACAGTACAGAATTGCATACGTACAACACCTACAAGCATAATTATAACCCCTTGCTACATCATAAAGAACCCAGTGTTGACCTTCTTAAATAGTAGCTTACTCTTGTGTGAAATTGATTCCATTCAGGGAATTACTGGTATTTCATAGAATATCGGTCACTGTCTGTTTATGTAAGGCGTCTTGAGTTTCATCTAATGACTTCCGGATTTTCAAATTCCAGAAATTTGGAAAGGGGTTGGGGGGAGGAGGGGGAGACTTCAGTTATTGTTCACAAGGAGTTATGCGATTATACACAGAACTGGTGGATCGACCAGGTGTGGACGTATTTGGACAGGTGCCAACAAAGAAACAGTTTGAGTGCGTGTGTCCTAACTGTCAAAGAAATCTGGCTGCATCCCGCTTTGCCCCCCACTTAGAGAAGTGCATGGGGATGGGGAGAAACAGCTCTCGTATTGCCAATCGGCGCCAGGCTGCCATGGCGAAGGAGAACGAATCAAGGTTTGTACCCTAAAACATGGATATTGTCAATTTGAAATTATCTACAGTAAAACACGTTTAGTAGGAACACGGATATAGCGAATTCACGGATATAGCGAAGTCGTTCTAGGTCCCCGGCAAAATTCTTAACAAATCTTTGTAAAATTGTACGGTTATAACGAACTCTGATATAACAAATTTACGGATATAGCGAACTGATTTTGAGTCCCATTGAGGTTAAATATAATGAAATTTATATCTTTTATAACGAACTTTCAAAGGTCTCAAAATTTGATAGGTTGAACTGACTTTATTTTCTTTTAGCTTTTGTATATAAAATTCAATTAATAACAAAACCTTAGTTATCTAAGGTATGTTTTGTAATATTTGCTTCACTAACATGTTTGGTAGTAATACTTGAGGGAAAACATGCATATTGCGAATTCGCTATATATGATTATACGAAATCGTTATACTGACATAACGAATTACGGATATAGCGAATAAAATTCACTGGTCCCCAGGACTTCGCTATAACCGTGTTTTACTGTATAGTGTTAAAGTATTTCAAATGTAATGCTAGTATTTTAAAATAAAATATCACCCGAGGCTATTTCGCCTGCGTTATATAGGGTCCTCACTGGTTCATTATTTACTTGTATAATTATTATTTTCAGTCGTATGTCAGTGTTGGGGGATGACAGTGCTGATGATGATAACGATTTAGACTGGAGTTACCATGTCGACAGAAAGAGTCAGTATCGTCATTAACTGAGCTTTATTTAGGATCCTCTTAGATACACATATTGAACAAATTTTGATGTGTTTCTTGTTAGCTTTCTTAGTTTGGTTTTCAAAACTTCATTTAAAAAGATTGAATTTTTTTTCACAGTAAAAAAATTAAAGAAGGACAAAAGCACTCATTCCCCTCGAAGAAACAAATTTAACAGATTTCACAGAAACGGTAAGACAGGCAACAGTAAAATTAATGCAACTCCTATATAAACCAGACATGCTTCAGCAACTCTGGATGTTGTATATATAGATGTACTGTACTTGTAATCTACAAGCTGGTTTATGTTTGATTGACAGGTGACTCCAGTTCTGACCGGTCTGCTACACCTGAGCCTGGCCTGACGTACGAACACCTGTCTCAAGGTATCCCCCTCACCTGGGGAAACTTGGCATTATCATGATATACCTGTTCTTCACTTCATTGTATCATCAGTTTTGTATGGAATGATCATTGGCAATCATTTACAGATTGAAATACTGTATACAGGGAAATTTTCGCCCCTGTCACTAATGGGCGAATTTAAAACGGGGCGAATTCAAAGAACACAGTATAAATGCTTATACAGAACTGGGATTGGGCGAATTTAAAATCAGACAAATTTGTAAGCAAGTGTAAAAGGGCGAAAATAACACAGGGGCGAAAATAACCCTGTATACAGTATATGTCATTAAGTTTCATGTGGTTTATGTTTGATTTTAAATTCTTGTAGAGGAACGGAAGCAGATTTTATTTAATGTAAGTGGACAGTCTTTGTTAATATCTTGAATCATTCTCAGTCAAAAGTAATTTTACATTGATATGATTAAACGGGGTCTTTCAAAGAATATCTTGACAAAATAAAAAAAACTGCCGATTTTATTTACTAAGTGCTTTATTGGTTTATACTTGTCTATGTTTTACAGACTTGTGGTGTGATATCAGAACACACAAAGAAAATGTGTGCCAAGTAAGCCAGTTTTACACCATTTACATCTGGAAAATTTATCACAACAGCCAGTATATTCTAGATATATATGTATATTATTAAAAATAAAATAAATATCTGTGATAAGTACATAAAGCTGTAAATCAAATGAAAAATAATTAACTGTAAAGGAATGTGAAGAAAATCAGAAATAATTGTCAAGCAGGACATTCAGTAATTGGAAGAGGCAACAGTTAATTTTTCACACTTCAGTGATATCAATCCAGTACACCAGTATTAAATTGTATGCTGTATTTTTATGTGATTTATAAACAGTTAACATAATTATTTCAGATCTCAGAAATGTCACCAACACACAGATGATCAGAGATTAAAAGTCAGGCAGTATCTACTGGGACAGTCGTAAGTTTCTTCTAGTTATGTGTTTAAGGCTGTTTTTAAAACCTGTATACAGTTTTTAGAGGTCGGATGAGTGTCCTGTCAGAGTTATGGTTCTTTACTTTACTGAATTGGTATTGCTAGTAGAGAGAAATTTCATAGGAAAATGTCCTTCTCAATCATAACGGTATTATAGGGTATTATAGAAATATCAAATTGATTTTAACTTTGACCACAAACTAAAGACAAACTAAGACGAGGACACTCCTATAGACATAGACAGTCTGTGTTATTATAACATTAATGTCTTCTATGTCTAGGGTACCAGTAGACACCCCTATATACATAGACAGTCTGTGTTATTATAACAGTAATGTCTTCTGTGTCTAGGGTACCAGTAGATGAGGACACTCCTATAGACATAGACAGTCTGTGTTATTATAACAGTAATGTCTTCTATGTCTAGGGTACCAGTAGATGAGGACACTCCTATAGACATAGACAGTCTGTGTTATTATAACATTAATGTCTTCTGTGTCTAGGGTACCAGTAGACACCCCTATAGATAAAGACAGTCTGTGTTATTATAACAGTAATGTCTTCTGTGTCTAGGGTACCAGTAGACACTCCTATAGACATAGACAGTCTGTGTTATTATAACAGTAATGTCTTCTATGTCTAGGGTACCAGTAGATGAGGACACTCCTATAGACATAGACAGTCTGTGTTATTATAACAGTAATGTCTTCTATGTCTAGGGTACCAGTAGACACCCCTATGGATATAGACAGTCTGTGTTATTATAACAGTAATGTCTTCTATGTCTAGGGTACCAGTAGACACCCCCTATAGACATAGACAGTCTGTGTTATTATAACAGTAATGTCTTCTATGTCTAGGGTACCAGTAGACACCCCTATAGATATAGACAGTCTGTGTTATTATAACAGTAATGTCTTCTGTGTCTAGGGTACCAGTAGACACTCCTATAGATATAGACAGTCTGTTTTATTATAACAGTAATGTCTTCTGTGTCTAGGGTACCAGTAGACACTCCTATAGATATAGACAGTCTGTGTTATTATAACAGTAATGTCTTCTGTGTCTAGGGTACCAGTAGACACCCCTATAGACATAGACAGCCTGTGTTATTATAACATTAATGTATCTATGTCTAGGGTACCAGTAGACACCCCTATAGACATAGACAGCCTGTGTTATTATAACAGTAATGTCTTCTATGTCTAGGGTACCAGTAGACACCCCTATAGACATAGACAGTCTGTGTTATTATAACAGTAATGTCTTCTATGTCTAGGGTACCAGTAGACACCCCTATAGATATAGACAGTCTGTGTTATTATAACAGTAATGTCTTCTGTGTCTAGGGTACCAGTAGACACTCCTATAGATATAGACAGTCTGTCTTATTATAACAGTAATGTCTTCTGTGTCTAGGGTACCAGTAGACACCCCTATAGATATAGACAGTCTGTGTTATTATAACAGTAATGTCTTCTATATCTAGGGTACTAGTAGACACCCCTATAGACATAGACAGTCTGTGTTATTATAACAGTAATGTCTTCTGTGTCTAGGGTACCAGTAGACACCCCTATAGATATAGACAGTCTGTGTTATTATAACAGTATTATCTTCTATGTCTAGGGTACCAGTAGATGAGGACACTCCTATAGATATAGACAGTCTGTGTTATTATAACAGTAATGTCTTCTATGTCTAGGGTACCAGTAGACACCCCTATAGATATAGACAGTCTGTGTTATTATAACAGTATTATCTTCTATGTCTAGGGTACCAGTAGACACCCCTATAGATATAGACAGTCTGTGTTATTATAACAGTAATGTCTTCTATGTCTAGGGTACCAGTAGACACCCCTATAGATATAGACAGTCTGTGTTATTATAACAGTATTATCTTCTATGTCTAGGGTACCAGTAGACACCCCTATGGATATAGACAGTCTGTGTTATTATAACAGTAATGTCTTCTGTGTCTAGGGTACCAGTAGACACCCCTATAGATATAGACAGTCTGTGTTATTATAACAGTAATGTCTTCTGTGTCTAGGGTACCAGTAGACACTCCTATAGATATAGACAGTCTGTGTTATTATAACAGTAATGTCTTCTGTGTCTAGGGTACCAGTAGACACCATTATAGACATAGACAGTCTGTGTTATTATAACAGTAATGTCTTCTGTGTCTAGGGTACCAGTAGACACTCCTATAGATATAGACAGTCTGTGTTATTATAACAGTATTATCTTCTATGTCTAGGGTACCAGTAGACACTCCTATAGATATAGACAGTCTGTGTTATTATAACAGTAATGTCTTCTGTGTCTAGGGTACCAGTAGACACTCCTATAGATATAGACAGTCTGTGTTATTATAACAGTAATGTCTTCTGTGTCTAGGGTACCAGTAGACACCCCTATAGATATAGACAGTCTGTGTTATTATAACAGTATTATCTTCTATGTCTAGGGTACCAGTAGACACTCCTATAGATATAGACAGTCTGTGTTATTATAACAGTATTATCTTCTATGTCTAGGGTACCAGTAGACACCCCTATAGATATAGACAGTCTGTGTTATTATAACAGTATTATCTTCTATGTCTAGGGTACCAGTAGACACCCCTATAGATATAGACAGTCTGTGTTATTATAACAGTATTATCTTCTATGTCTAGGGTACCAGTAGACACCCCTATGGATATAGACAGTCTGTGTTATTATAACAGTAATGTCTTCTGTGTTTAGGGTACCAGTAGATGACACTCCTATAGACAGTCTGTGTTATTATAACAGTATTATTTTCTATGTCTAGGGTACCAGTAGACACCCCTATAGATATAGACAGTCTGTGTTATTATAACAGTATTATTTTCTATGTCTAGGGTACCAGTAGACACTCCTATAGATATAGACAGTCTGTGTTATTATAATAGTAATGTCTTCTATGTCTAGGGTACCAGTAGACACCCCTATAGATATAGACAGTCTGTGTTATTATAACAGTAATGTCTTCTGTGTCTAGGGTACCAGTAGACACCCCTATAGATAAAGACAATCTTTGTTATTATAACAGTAATGTCTTCTATGTCTAGGGTACCAGTAGACACCCCTATAGATAAAGACAATCTTTGTTATTATAACAGTAATGCCTTCTATGTCTAGGGTACCAGTAGTCGACAACCTTTATTATTATAACAGTATTATCTTCTATGTCTAGGGTACCAGTAGACACCCCTATAGATATAGACAGTCTGTGTTATTGTAACAGTATTATCTTCTATGTCTAGGGTACCAGTAGACACCCCTATAGATATAGACAGTCTGTGTTATTATAACAGTAATGTCTTCTATGTCTAGGGTACCAGTAGACACCCCTATAGATATAGACAGTCTGTGTTATTATAACAGTAATGTCTTCTATGTCTAGGGTACCAGTAGATGAGGACACTCCTATAGACATAGACAGTCTGTGTTATTATAACAGTAATGTCTTCTGTGTCTAGGGTACCAGTAGATGAGGACACCCCTATAGATATATACAGTCTGTGTTATTATAACAGTAATGTCTTCTATGTCTAGGGTACCAGTAGACACCCCTATAGATATAGACAGTCTGTGTTATTATAACAGTAATGTCTTCTATGTCTAGGGTACCAGTAGACACCCCTATAGATATAGACAGTCTGTGTTATTATAACAGTAATGTCTCCTGTGTCTAGGGTACCAGAAGACACCCCTATAGACATAGACAGTCTGTGTTATTATAACAGTAATGTCTTCTATGTCTAGGGTACCAGTAGACACCCCTATAGATTTAGACAGTCTGTTTTATTATAACAGTAATGTCTTCTATGTCTAGGGTACCAGTAGACACCCCTATAGATATAGACAGTCTGTGTTATTATAACAGTAATGTCTTTTATGTCTAGGGTACCAGTAGACACCATTATAGACAAAGACAGTCTTTGTTATTATAACAGTAATGTCTTCTGTGTTTAGGGTACCAGTAGACTCTCCTACAGATATAGAAGTCTGTGTTATTATAACAGTAATGTCTTTTGTGTCTAGGGTACCAGTAGACACCATTATAGACAAAGACAGTCTTTGTTATTATAACAGTAATGTCTTCTGTGTTTAGGGTACCAGTAGACTCTCCTACAGATATAGAAGTCTGTGTTATTATAACAGTAATGTCTTCTATGTCTAGGGTACCAGTAGACACTCCTATAGACATAGACAGTCTGTGTTATTATAACAGTAATGTCTTCTATGTCTAGGGTACCAGTAGACACTCCTATAGACATAGACAGTCTGTGTTATTATAACAGTAATGTCTTCTATGTCTAGGGTACCAGTAGATGAGGACACTCCTATACACATAGACAGTCTGTGTTATTATAACAGTAATGTCTTTTGTGTCTAGGGTACCAGTAGACACCATTATAGACAAAGACAGTCTTTGTTATTATAACAGTAATGTCTTCTGTGTTTAGGGTACCAGTAGATGAGGACACTCCTATAGACATAGACAGTCTGGATGATGTAGACAGCAGTCAGTCTTTGAGAGACAATCTGTGGGAGGGAGGATCCAACGCGTCGTCTCCAGCTGACTCTACATCTACTAACAATAGTAAGTATCACAAATACATAAAACAAGACTTTCCAACAACAATATCACAAATGATGTAAACATATCTTTATTGAATTTATAGCAAGATTTTTTGGTTTCTGCCAAAATGAAACGTATGGAGTTATCGAGCAGTATTGAAGATCAAAAGTCTTTTTAAAATTAAACAATACAAAATAGGAGCAAACCAAACACTGACCTCCAAAATATCAGAGGTGGGATTAGGTGCCATGGAGAAGTGAGCATCCCTTGACAACAGGTCACACCCAATGCATGTTCCTTGTCCTGATCAGTCATGCAATAGACAAGGAGAAATTTGTTGCTGGAATCAGAACATGGGACTCTAGCAATACAAACCAGGAGCTCTAACCCTCCAATTCTTGGTGTATTTGTATCATTGACCACCCCTTGACTTTTAGATGTTCTGTTCGAGATCAAAGAATCTGGATAATGTGTCATCAGAACAGAGACAGATTAAAGAGGAAGAAAGGAATATTGATTTTGTACTATACTGACCAAAGCTTGATAAGCTCAATGTTTAGAACATCTGGTTAGTAATGTGGGGGTCCTGAATAAGCTATACTGACCAAAGCTTGATAAGCTCAGTGGTTAGAAGATCTGATTAATGATGCAGGGGTCCTGGATAAGAGTCACTACCCAGCATTTATCTTTTTCCTTTCCCTTGTGTGCTTTGCAACAATTTCATCCACTTGACAAAGTGCAGTTTAAAGTAATATGGGTACATTATGGGTATATGTTTGTCCTGCTATCCATTATTACTGAAATGTTGGCAGCATAGAAGCTAAAATTTCATTTTCGTTTATGAATTCATTGCTGATTATTGTCATGTTTTAGGTACTAGTTCCAGGAAACGACTGGTAACAAAGAGTGGTAAGTCTAAGAAGAAAAAGAGTAAATATGGCAGTGATGCTCGACTGAGCCCGTTTGATTTTGACTGATGTGATGGAGGGTTGTGATCCAGATTTGTGGACTACTTTATAGTGATCCAGATAGACAAGTGTCTGTCTGTCTGTCACTGTAATGATGCAAGAACTTTTTACTGTAAGAGTGCCAATTATAGTGATCCAGACAAGTGTTTGTCTGTGTTATGGTATGAAAACTTTCTACTGTAAGAGGAGTGCTAATTATAATGATCCAGTCAGTGTTATGGTATGAAAACTTCTCATCAGAGATTCTGTTAACTGTTGTCTCTTTCTATTGTTATTGTTACAATAAATCATATTCAATTATTCTTCTGTTTTTTTCACAGAGGTTAAGAAACTTTTATTTAGGCACATTGAATGCTTAACAGTGACCAGGAAAAAAGAGAAAAAAAATCTATTCAGTATTAAAGGTACAGTCAAACTACATTATCTCAAACTGGATGGCACTTGGAAAAGGTATTAAGGTTCAGCTGTATTCATGTAACAAACATTATCAAGAAAAAACCAAAAAAAAAATATTTTTGATACAAATTTAGATATATTATACAATTATTGCTGTTTTTTTTAAGTCAATAAGATGATATAGACACCTGAGGAGTACAATATTCACTGAGCCCCAAGGACGAAGTGAATATTGTACTTCGAAGGTGGCTAAATCATCGTATTGACCGCAAAAAACAGCAATAACTGTTTTATTATATGATTAAATGATAGCAAACTTCTACAATAAGAATTTTCAACAAGAACACATCGTAAAAAATAATTCCTTATATTGACCTGCAATAATTCCTTGGATCTCAGCCAATCAGAGAGAAGGAAATTATTCAATCATATAATAAAACAGAATATAAAAGGGCACAACAAAGCGGAACATCATCTCATATAGAGCAGAGATAGTGTGATTATGTATCCCCATAGATCAGCGTCTATATCTCGCACGACTTGTGATAGACTTGCTCAAGTTTTGAATGGGTCCGTTGAATGCACAGGACAAGAAGAAAATGATAAATTGGTATAAAACTCAAAAGTTTTGAAAAGAATTTTTTTAATTAATTTCAAAGTGCGTTAACTTAGCAACAAATTTACCGCACTTTGAACAAATTGTCTAAATGTGTTATTTTGCAAAGTGCGTTGTAACATGCGCGCTTGTATTGTATTTCCCGAGTTTATTAGTGTAGGTCCGATATGGTTCCAACCATTGCGGGGTCAACAACCAGATAAACTTTTTATTTATTTTTTTTTTTGTATCTTTCATACATGGAAATAGTAAGAATTCATTTGTCACGGAGATTTAGCGGAATCCATAAAATGTAATGCATAACTAAGATCATAACAAATAAAAGCTCGCAGTCTTGGGGTCGTAAAAACTAGGCCTACTATACATAGGCTAACCTCCCAGATCAGTAACATCAAGGCCATAAAATATATGATCGTGGCAATTTAATTTGAAAAAGTTCAATTTTACCTTTAAAAAAATAATAAACGAAAAAGTTGCGGATCTGTCATTTTGTAACAGTACCTGTTAAAAAAATAATAAACGTAGGAACTATTTAATTTCACAAAAAAGTTCTCAGTCTGGCTGATGACGTAGAGCGTTTCCAGGGTTCAACATTTCCACCGCGTCCTTGACACTTACTGACTGGTGACCTCCTCACTCCCTACGAACGGGTTGATGGTGCTTACGTCCCAATCGCTGCTCAAGGTCACAGAATCCTGCAGGTCACATCATCAATCGGGCTTTGGTCGTCTGCCCATACCTCTTTTCCCGCCAAAAAAGTTCTCAAAACTCTCGTCTGGCTGATGACGTCAGCGTTTCCAGGGTCCAAGATGTCGGTGTCTATGACGATGAAGTCGGCGTCCTTCCCTGTTTTCAGTGAACCGACAATATTTTCCTGCCTCATGGCGAAGGCAGCGTTAATCGTGTACATTTCCACCGCGTCCTTGACACTTACTGACTGGTGACCTCTAGAGATGGCGTTCTGAATCCCTACGAACGGGTTGATGGTGCTTACGTCCCAATCGCTGCTCAAGGTCACAGTGGCGCTTGTATTGTAAACACTCCGCAGGGGGATAAAATCAACTGCGCGAGCATTGCCAATAAGAGATCTAATGTGGTCTCTTGTTGAAAGTTTAGTGAAGTCCCCAGCGACTTGAAAATCCGCTATTATATCCAAATTCTTGAAACGTTTGATATCATTATATTTTATTTGTTCCAAATGTGTAATTCGGTGACGCGTTCCTGCAATATATGCGTCATCAAATGCATTTATGGCTTGATGAACCCCACGGTCACCAATGGCGTGGATAAGAAAGTCAAATCCTTTGTCGTCCCCAAATTTCTGGAGCTCTTTTGCGTATTTTGTCAGACGTTTCTGATCGAAGATGTTTATGCCTCGGTTGTCTGGGACTCCGGGTAAGTGCAGGTTTTTCACGTACGGTTCCTCCATAGCAGCCGTTGTACTGTCCAGGAGGCCGTCCATGTAAACTTTAATCTGGTTTTTCCGGAGAAAGCAGTTCTCGTTGTAGTCGGAGTGCATGTCTTTGAGGGTTTGGATCTGTAGGCTGTCTTCCTTTTGTGGGTATGCCCACAGTGCCAGATTCGCGCGTACCGTCAGTTTCCCTTCCCTACACGTCCTCTCCCACGCCTTGTCGTGATTCCGGCCCCAGTAAACCCGGGCGTCACTTACGGAAGTGATTCCATTCTCGTTCAGATTTGACAATCCTTCTATCAAACCTTCATAATTCAGTTCTTCCAGTACAGGCGTGGGCTCCATGGCTAACTCCATGATGGACGTCCCCTCGTCCTCCAGGAGAATTCCGTTCGGCTCGTTGGTCCCCTCCTCTCTCATGATAACTCCACCGGGCCTTTCCTTGGTCTCGCTGGTTATTTTGGCCCTACGGAGCGCCTCGGAGTTTACCCACACGGAATGCGAAGTTTCTTCTATCATAATAACTGGAACATCAGGTAGAACTTCGTCAATGATTTCCCTCGGAGGTCTCCCGCCTTTATCTATATGTTCTATGATACTTGTGATAGAATGCCCGCCACCAAGAATCCATTCTGTCCCAATTTGTCTCGGTGCACAGGTTCTCAGAATGTCTTTCATTTGTTCGGGGTCTGTATCTGTCTTTAGTTTACACGTGTTTCCTACCCGTGAGGCGGCCTCGAGGGGGTGTATATGGACGTCGTGTATCCCGGGCAGTACTGTCGCTCCATTCAGGTCAATTACGGTACTTTTGCAGTGTAAGTGTTTCAGCGCTTCCCCTGTGGTTCCCACCATTTGTACTTTCCTGTTCTGTACAACAAGAGCTGCCTTGGGATTCTGATTCCAGGCCTCGCCGTCTACCGTGTATATTTTACCGTTAATGTAGATGGTGTTTTCCTCAGCATTGCTGCGATGGAGAATGGTCTCTTTTTGTTCTTGGTCACAGAGTTCCCGTTTCCCCAGTAAACACTCTATCCTCTTCAGCAAGCGATCTTCTCTGCTTACAGAGTCCGGAAGACTCTTTCCCGATGCAGAAAATATGCAGGCAAGAAAAATCGTCCACACCTTGAAAGCTTCCATTTTTTGTCAGGTCAAAAGAAAGATGGGAGTCAATATATATATTATCTAAAATTGCATTAACAGAAAACTGGTTTTATTAATTGTCAGAAGGAAAATTGACAAAGTCATAGACCTGGTCAACCATAAAAATTGCTTTAACGTGTTCTATGAAGTGCGACAGACCGGGTATAAGCAGACGAAACCGGAGATACCAGGGCAAACCATGTAATAGATTTGAATAGGCCACTCTCACAACGCAAGATTGTGCAAATTCTATGCATATGCACAATTACTTTTTGCAAACGTTTTATAATTTGATGTGTAAGCAACAAAATTAAAAAATTTCGGACAAAGTTTTCTGCTGCGGTTTAAACTGTATACATGTCCTGTCTGCACAACATACTTACCCGGTACATGTATTTATGCAGACCTTCTCTGGAAGCATCCTAAATTCAATATGTTACCATGCAACAAACGTTTTTATGCACTCGTTAACGAAGTGTCTGGGGCATGTCGTTTTTGCCCTGTCCATATCCATCTGCATGTCTAACCTAGCTTGTCCTTGGATGGGGCCATGGCTTTCATTTAATTTTCACATGTGCATTCCTTAATGTGACAAGACCTTTCTTTGAGTACCACCAAATTTGATCTCTTAACCTTGGAGTTTGCCCTACCTTTATAAAAGAATTACACATTTTCTAGTATCAGAGAGTATATAGAATTATGAATTTTATAAAAAGGGAAGTTTTAGCTTAAATTTTGAATTTTTCAGTCGTAATACTTTGTGAATTGTGTGTCATATAAAAATATTTTATGTTAAAAAAGTATTAAAAAACCTTTATGGTACGGAACATAAAGGGAGGGGTCGCCGTTCCCAAGCACCTGTGCTTAAATTATTATACTAGGACATATTTTTTCATTGTATTTAGGGAACAGGCAAAATTTATCACAATGATTGGACTCGGGTACAAATAGACATATATAGAATAATAATTTTTTTCAGCGAAGAAAACTCTGGGACAAAAACATTTTAGCATTAATATTATTTAAAGTACTCATGGAACACAAACTTTTTTCAATGAGTTTCAGTACGTAACCCAAGAAAAATATACATTTTATTCAAAAATATATTATTTTTAAAATAAAAGTCATATCATTTAAATCGAAACAAAGGATACAAACGGCAACATAAATCTTGAAATTAATGGAAAAATTAAAAGTCTAGACCAGACAGCAGTACAAAAAGAAATTCGATCTAATTTTAAAAAAGTACGTGTCAAATTTAAAAAAAACTAAATACTTGTTCCAAGCCTTAATATTTTTAAAAATGTTACTGTCCTATGATTACATCTTGATGTTAGATTAGAGAGATTATTGAGAAAAAACAAAACGAAGGAATCTTTCGGATATGTTGTGAGAACTGCCAACTTCAAATTGGCGGGAAAACGTATCGTACCTTCGGAACTCCTCTGCTAATTGCTAAGGAAACGCCGCCATATTGAATGTAAACTACGAAAATATTTTGGGTCGTTTGCTTTAATTTTACAGTCTACAAATGAATCAGTAAACTGAAGGTAAGTGCTTTTTAATGATTAACAACATGCCTTATCAAGATTTAGTCGAATAATGTGTTTAAGTCTTGAAATATTGAAATTCTATATATCGCCTCGTATATAGGCCTAGCGATCGGTGCCCGAACGTCATTTTCTTCTGCTTCTGCTTCTGCCATGTACTGCCCACAATCAACTAGTTGATTATTATGGCATGTGTGGTGCGCATGGAGTTCCAAAATCATAAAAATTTAAAAGGTTAAAAGGTTAAAATATTAATTATGATTCATGGCATATAGGTGGTCACCTGAGACCTAAAGGTCTCAAGTGTTTTTGCCATGACAATCTCTGGTGGTATAGGGAAGAACGAGAATTTTCTAAAGTCACTTTTACAAGATGGTAATTGGTAGGCTTCTTGGTGAGTATGTCGTGATCGACGTAGTGGTGGAATAAGTCGATCATGCTTGGTAACGGCAACTTCATCATGAACGATACATCTGTCTTCTCCTCAAATGCTGTCACTGTGGAGTAAACATATATGTAGGAGACGAAAAGTTAATTCATTGTTATTTTTCTTTTGCTAGGAATTCAATTCTCTTTGGAATGATAATGTTATACGCCTAGCGCTAGAAAAGTAGTAGGCCCCTAATTTTTTTAAGGAACTTTTTCGTGAAAATAGCATTAATGTAATAAAATCTTCATCGTGGATTCTAAACATTTGTAAAGGTTTACATGGCGTCAAGAATGAGCAGAAGTTCCCACGGTGGGAAACCCTTTTCTGCCAACAGAACTCGGGTAGACACCCCCAGTAAGACCACAGCGGACGGCCAAAAGTACCCCGAGATCAAACAGCGTGGGTTCTACTCTGATATCATAGGGACAGAGGCAAATGTTACAGTAAGTAAAACAAAAATACTCAGATACCATAGGGACAGAGAGGCAAATGTTACAGTAAGTAAAAAAAAAAAACTGACCGAAATGACTGTCCCATACAGTTACATAAGGACTAAAGGAGTACCCAAAAGATAAAAAATTTCTAGTTAAATTCTTTTTAAAACTGCCATTTTGAAAGATTGTTTGTTTTAAAAAAATCAATTTGTTTGCACAAATCAGTACAGTTATGATCATACTTAAAAAAAACTTAAATGATTCGATCAGTGCTTAATATCATAGTTTTAATCTGTATTGAATTTACTTGAGATAAATTACTTTAATGATATTGGCATAAATTAAGTTGATCATTAAAATCTGAGTCTCGTCGTACACTGATGTTTGTTTGGAATTTTTCCAGGATGCTTTAGAAGGCCCCCTGACAGATCACGACACATTATGGAATGTTGCCAAAGAAAAACACACACCAAAAGGTTCAACACAAAATGTCTAATCTGATTTGCATTCAAAATGATTATACAGTTTAAATTTAGACTTAATCAATAAACATAATGCACATTGTTGCAAGTTACGTAACTTTTCCAATAAGTTCATTGATTAAATCATTATTTTATACAATGCATTTTATTAATTCTTTTATTCCTAGCAAAAGAAAAATAACAATGAATTAACTTTTCGTCTCCTACATATATGTTTACTCCACAGTGACAGCATTTGAGGAGAAGACAGATGTATTAGAGACCCTGAAGGGCCATGTTTATGGTCCCAGCACAGAAATCACAGCTATATCAGTAAGGCTTTCTTCATTATGTCTGTTATCAATATTTCAACACAAGTTATGAGGAGAAATTGCTTTGTTTTATACTGTAACATATAATTAATCATCTGTATCGCACATCTTCAGGATTTCCCCATTCTAGCATCAGAACCCAAAGTACAGCTTCCATACTATACAAAGCCAGGAGAGTGTCCCAGAAAGATAGAAACCGAGAGGTCAGATTCTGCTTGTGGATTTAGATTGTAAAATTATGTGGAAGTATGAGACGATTTCATATGAAGGTAGCAATAGTCTGATCATGAATTTAAAAAAACAAATTATAAATGCTATTTGTTCTGTAGGAGGAGACGATTGTATGATACGTTGGACTTGAAGTCCCTGTTGAAGTCCGAGGGTATCAGGACGGACCAGTTAATGCCCAAAGAGAGTCAGTTTCCTGTCAAGTTAAATGTGGACCCTAACGACCCCGCCCCCTTCCCTCCCTACCTCCCCCTCTACCTGTTTGATGATGAGGAGTACGACATCAGGACACCCTTGGAGTGGATCCACAAAGGGCACGATAACGGCCACCGGAAACCAGTCCCCGGGCAAGCTCTGCTGCCCAGCAAGGACTCGGACAAAGAGTGTAAGTATGGCTGACATACAGCAGGAGGTTTAATGAGTGTCTCACCTACATATTCTCTTCATCATTGCTCTTTTTGATAACATTACTATCTCGGTGTATAAGAAGCTTCACAAAATGACTTTGTCAACTTGTGAAAATTAGGGCTGGAATTTCTTGAGACATGCAAACTTTGATTTTACTGAATGAAATAAGATAGATTTTGCTGTTATTGACAGTGGACCCAACCGACCCTAAGATTGTGTACGACTGGTACGAGGTTGGAGTTCTGGACTACAATGATGAGGACAAGTGTTACCTGGTACAGAAGGTCAACAGTCAAGGTCGTGTGGTGGACGGGTCAGGGAAGCCCGTCATTAATGGAGGAGTACAGCCCGATGGTGAGGACATCACTCAATATTCTAAATCTTCCTTACCAAACATTGCTATTTCTTGAAGCATTCTGAATGATTTAAATTTTTTTCTTATTTGCATCATGTACAAACAAAATATTAAAAGTAAACTTACCTGAAAAATTATATACAGTGTATTTACAATATATTTTTCAAAATTACAAAAAAATCAAGAATCATTACTAAACATTAAAGGTTCCCGTCCTGAGCTCCCAGGCCAGTACTGGATTCCTCGAGTGAGGCTGATGTTCAAAGGAGAGGATCCAAGAGTTTTCACCAGGAGAGTGGTGGATGCCTTCAAATTGAGAAAAGAGTCTGAGGCATTGATTCGTTACAACCTGTATGTGGACTGTATGCCAATGGAGGGAGTGGGTGAACTTGACCAGGCCTCGCTGAAAAGGATGATAGAGGCCTCCAGGGATGTCCGGGGCCTCAAGGCAGATAAACAGTAAGTAACTGCCAGTTATCCTTATTATAAACCAGCCAGGTGTATTTATACCTGTATTAAGAGTAACGAAGCTTACAGAATGATGTTATATTGTTGTTGTTTTTGTTGCAGACTGGACGATTACCTTCAGGTTCTGGAGAAGGAGGTCAACATTGATTTTTGTCGCTCCATGAACAGGATTATTTTTGACAAGACGGTGGAGTCTGATCCGTTTACATTCGGATTCGTTACACAACCAGGAGAACCAGAGAATGTGGTCGCTGAGAAGGGTAGGTAACTCGTTATTCTGAGGAATTACACTGCCTTACACACTGTATTATCATCCTCACTCTTTTTAAGTGCTCTTTAAGAATTTGATTAAAATATTGACAATTTTTTTATTGGAATTCTATGTATTATAATGATTCCTTCCTTTGACAGGTTGTATCGTTGACATCCCTGAGTACCCGTTTGACAGTCAGTACGACGACTTCACGTTTAACTCGCTGTTGACCCGCGAGGAGAGTATCTCGGCGATTGGGATGGTCAGGACGGAGTGTAACAAGGTGGTGGTCATGTCACTGTTCCACATCCCCACCACCAAACCCATGAGGTTGGAGGAGTTTGAGCAGACCCAGGCTCAGGCTACTTCACAGGTACAGTAATAAAAACATTATCATAAAAAAACAGTTTACAGGCACAGGCCACCTCACAGGTACAGTTATAAAGAACCATAAAATACTGCGTTCAGGAACCACTCATTACAGTAAAATTAAGAGCATTAAACTTGTTTAGTGAATGGTATTTCTCTTATATTTTAAATAATGAATTTTAAGAAGATGAAGAGGTAGACTCTCTCATGAAGATTTTTTAAAAATATGGATGAAAATGTGAATCATAAAATTATTTTTTTGTACAAAGTATAATTATTGACCAACAATTTATAGTAAATACAAGCTGTAGTTTTGTTGCAGGTTTCACTGTTCCTGAAGGACAGCTGGATCAGCACGCTGAGGAACGCTATCAGGACCTCCCTCCGAGACGTTGGCAAGGGCTGGTTCAACATCCACGAGAAAAATTTCCAGGTGTATGAGATTTCCAAACTCAAAAAGCTCATGGAAATGGTCAAATTCATCATGCAGGTAAATAACGCTTTGTATTACACACTACAGTAGTTTATCTGGTTCTTTCTGGTAAACTTCTTTGGAAAGAAATTGAAATTTTACTCAAGTCCACCTAGCTGGAATATAGATTCTAATGAATGATTTTCTTTGCCAGGATTCTATGCGCTACCTGATTCAGGACTCTCTCGTCAACTTCACTCAGATGATCCTGGACGCTAGCCACTCTACACTGAAGCTTCAGGAGGACTTTAAGTGGGGAGACGATCTCATAAACAGTACCTATAAGTAAGTAATGTCTGTAGTAGAACCCGCTCATATAGGCCGAATAAATGATAGTACTGGTAAGACATATCTTATTGGTAGTATCAAAAACAGTAAGTTCCACAGTAAGTTAGCATGAACAAATTAGTGACTTAAAATTTTCTGAGGTTTTCACTTCTGCAAAATTCAGAAAATGGATGCATGTTTTGGTTCTTTGGATTGCGTTGACATTTAATCTCTTTGATCAATTATTTATGTCTTACATATTAAGGAAGTTTATAAACTTGTACCTTTTTCTTCAGACCCAAGAGGAACGCCCTGTTCCTGGTGGACCTGATGCTTGACAATCAGGGGGCCCACTACAGCACGAACCTTAACAGTTTTGAGACCATGTTAGTGGGGCTGTTTGATAAGGCTATCGGCTCCACCCAGAACGTACCCCAGCTGGAGAAGGTAAGATCACAGCTCAGGGACGGGTTGTTTTAAGGAAGATTAATAGAGATATCTTAATACAAGAGGTGAATTTGTAGCTCTGTGAATTAGTAATTTTAAAACTTGGGGAATCCTGTAGAGTGATTGTGTTAATGGTTCAAGTCAGTATTCCTGAATTCAATGTATTTTGACAAATGAACATTAGTACATAACATGTATTTCAGTCTTTGTAGATGTTTAGATTGCTATACTTGTAGTACATATTGGAGGATATTTTCTGGTCTGGGACCCCCCTTTTGGAGTCGGTGGGAGCCCCGTTGAGAAGGAGGCCATTAACCAGGCCCTGATCCCAATGAAGGCATACGCCAGGGAGTACGAGAGACATCTAGAGCTGATGAACCTGGACATCAACAAATACATAGCGTAAGTCAACAAATACACAGCACAAGTCAACAAATTAGGGCTGTCACGGTTAACCGAAAACTCGGTTAACCGCTCCGAAATGGCATTCGGTTCGGTTTTTTATCTATAATACTAATTTGTTTGCAACACGCGTTGTGATTGGTTGTTTATTTCAATGAAGGGTTCTTTAACCAATGAAAATACAGGTAACATCGAATACATGTAAACATGGCATACACATGTGGAAGGAAAACCAAATCACAAGTAATTGTTTAGTCAACCACGTCCCCTACTTTCAAAAACGTGAAGTATTCCCACACTTGTGATTTGGTGATAACTCTAGTCAATAACTATATTTATTTTATTTTATTTTAAACAAGAAGTTTATTACTTTGTTATTTTTTGTTACATTTAACAACTTGTTCTGTTGAATAAAATGGATAGAAATTTGTGTCCAAAATAGTACTTTCAAAATGTCCTTAATCCTTATTATCCTTTGATATATATAAAGATGTTTTATTTAAATTCTCAAAATGAAAACCGAGGAAAACCGAGTTTATTTTCGAGAGACCGAAAAATGTCTGAACCGTGGCAGCCCTACAACAAATACATAACTTAAGTCAACAAATACATAGCGTAAGTCAACAAATACATAGCCTAAGGACAGGTCCTTGTTAATTACAATGTTAATGTGGTCATAAGTACAGAATGTCTGATATTTTAGCCTCTTTTGAAAAAATTAAACTAGAGAAGTATTCAGTGGAACATAGGTTTGTTTACATCAGAATGTACTTATCTGCAATTTTTATTAGAATCTGATGTTAATTAAAAGTTTTTAATAGGTTTTTAATAACCTTTTTTCGACAGTGCAACATCCTTTGCTTTGACAATGAATCTTAATTTTTTAGGTTATTGCTGTGATTTAATCAATGACTTTGATAAATGTATCCTAGTAATACTTTTATTTTATCAGTGACTATGAGAAGAAGGAAGGCACCACCGCGGTGGAGGTTAAACAGGAAGTGGAAATGCACCTTAAGGAGAAGGACATTATTGAGGCCACGATCCCCAGTAACCTGGTCATCGGTCCATTCTGGGTCAACACCGAGTCCGTCCGACAAACTCTGTCCAAAAAAAGGAAGAACCTCAGCAATGCTATGTTAGAACTGCTGGCCAGAAAACTCCGCGCTCAAGCCGACGATGTAAGTGTCTTAGTTACTCTTTGTTAGAACTGCTGGCCAGAAAACTCGGGGGTCAAGCCGACGATGCAAGTGTATTAGTTACTCTGTGTTAGAACTAATAGAATAGAAACTCCGCTATCAAGCTGACGATGTAAGTGTCTTAGTTACTCTGTGTTAGAACTAATAGAATAGAAACTCCGCTATCAAGCTGACGATGTAAGTGTCTTAGTTACTCTGTGTTAGAGCTTCTACTTTAGAAACTCTGGAGGCAAGGTAGTTCTTCGCTGTGATTTAAACTTTTTTTATGTGGTTTTTCATTGACTTCTTTCTGTTTGGTGAAAACGTTTAAGTTGTATTAGAACGTTCTGATTTAATGACAGCTTGTGAGGAGATCAGTTGTTCCTCTCTTGTTGTGAGTATATTTCCCTGGTATAATTATATGTTCTGTTTTTTTTTTATAACAGGCCTGTGAGGAGTTTAAGGAGATCAATCGTAAGCTGTACAACAAACCAAACTGTGTGGAGGAGTTATCTGACATGAGGGAGTGGATGAAGGGGATTCCCGAGAGGCTCCAGGAACATCAGGTACAGGCCACTTTAAGGCTATTTATAGAATCCTGTTGGTAGTAGTCAAATATCAGTGTTGTTAAAAAGAAAACTGTGTTTTATAGTCCTACCTCTGATCTTACTATATGTACTTCATATGAAATCTGTAAAATATAATTCTGATTTTATTTTTCCTACGCAGGAGAAAATTGACAAAGCCATGGATGATTATGAGCTCATAGAAGAGTTCTACTACAACTTGTCTACAGACGACTTCAATGCCAAGTAAGACTTTTATTACAACCTCAGATATTAGTCTGATGATAAACTGATAGATATAGATTTAATTACACAGATTGCCGAGAAATATATACAAAGTCATGTATAATGTCTATTTTATCAGTGAACGTTTTCTGTTTATAGATGGACAGCGATTGGCTGGCCCCACAAGATCGAGCGCCAGATGGAGCAGACCTATGAGCAGCTGGATCAGGATGAGGAGCGATTCCGTAAGCTGCAGGGATCTGACCAGGCCAACTTCAATGACCGACTGGACACACTACAGGTTAGGGGCAATAACAACATTCAAATCCAGTGTACTGGGGGGTTTGTAAAGAATTAAGGACAGATGTTCCTTAATAATTTATAAATTTTTCCAAGATTTTGTCATTGAAGTATTGTTACTTAAACATGTTTTCTCACAAAAAATTGAGGTACCTTACCAGGCATTTGTGCAAGAGGGTAGTTTTTCTTATATAATCCTTTTGGGAAAAAAATAATTTTCCAATATAATATTTTCTAGTGTTTGGATTTTTTAAAGACGTTTAGAAACTGGTTTTGACATCAGAATGTAATAAAAATTTTGAAGATATACAAAACAGATATTGAGGAACATCTCGTCTGACTTTAAAGAAATATCTATCTGTATTGGACGGACCTGTGTAATGTGACGATCTGTTGTAGATGGTGGTAGCGGGTATGGCGGCATACACAGACATCAGTAAGGCCCACGAGATCGCCAACGAAGTCAGGAGGGTCAACAAACAGCTAAAGGAGGCCCAGGGCCTGGCCCAGACCTACAATAATAGAGAGAGGCTGTTTGGTATGCCTGTCACTAATGTAAGTACCCCCGCCTCTGTCGGGACTTGATGATGTGCCTATAATCCGGTGTCAGGTCTTAATTTTCAGGGGACCCCGTCCGATCTCAGATTCCTTTCCAAGGGTGCCTGGTTTTGTCTACTGTCATGGCAGATGTGGCTTTTTGTGGCTTATTTTAATCCCTTATACTTAATAATAATTTATTTTTTTATCTTTAGGGGTAGCCTTATAATGTAGTTGTATTTAATTTAGTTTTTCGTAACATTAATTATTAAACATAAACACAACCCTCTCTATTTTTTGGTATCATTAGGATAGGATGCAAAATCATAATGGGATTTATTGAGGGTAGGGACTTAGAAGTATCAAATGTATCTTAATTAAGGGACTTAAAAACTTGTAAACATGGAGAGAGGGGTTTATTTGGTTGGTGGGAAGAGTTGTTAAGGTCTAGACTCATAATTCCCCTTAACATTTAGTTTGGTAGAGCAACTTAAAATATTTCTCTCAAAAATTGAGACAATAGTAGATTTTTAGTTATGTGGGGCAATTCCTTATAGTAAACAAGAAAAAAAAATGGTATTTATTAAATCTAAATTCTTGTACACTCAAAATTGGACAATCAAGAAAAACTTCAGAATATAAATTGGCCACAACTCTGTTTTAATCACTTTCCTTTACAAACTTGTTCATTTTTTTTGGTCATTTACTTTTAATATGAAAAAAGTGGGAGTAAAACTCGGCAATTTTTATAATTGATTTATTTAATTTCTCATCATTGTAATAAATTATATACTAACTTAGTAATGACCTAGAATACATACATTTAACATTTCTAGGTACAATGTACTGATAGTGTCAATTTTAGTTTATATATTTTGATGAAATATATAACACAACACCCTCAGTCATTTTTGAACCACTTTTAACCCTTGTTGCTGATGAAATGTCTTGTGTTTTAATGCAGTATGTTGATATTTTCTTTGGCTTTAGCATGTTTAGTTTTAAATTATCAATGAATTAAATGGCTGTGATAGTCCTTTGTTAGATACACAAAAGTTATAGACTCCTGCCTTTATTAATGTAGATTAAGCATTTATTACATGTATTCCTAAAGCTTGTTTTAAGACCGTAAGATTATTACCAGTGAAGATGAAGCATGAGCACTTGTTTTGATATTGAGCACATGTATACATGTCTTACTTTGTTTGATTTTAATTCATTTTAAGTAAACAACATTTAGAAATCCTTGTTTTGAAAATTGTTACAAGATACAGTCATTTTTATTTATTGAGAAGTGATTAAGTGAATGTCATCATCCTTGTAAATGAAAAAAAATATACATAGCTTTCCTGCATGCATTCTCTAAATAAATATTTTAAAATTTGATTTATTATTGGACATAACGGAATGAATGAGTATTGAACATCAGCTTTATGTTATGTTTATCAATGATGACTGTATTTTGTGAGAATTTAGAAGAATGTCTCCCTGTAAATTACCTCCCCTTAGTTTGCATGATGTAGTTTGTTTATTGTTTTTACAGAGCACACTGTATTTTATGTAGATGTGATAGTTGCAGCTTTGCATTTGTCATTATAGTACGAAAAGCTGTCCAAACTTGTTAAGGAATTTGAGCCGTTCCGTAACTTGTGGCTGACGGTTTCTGATTGGTTACGTTGGCACGAGAGTTGGATGAATGATCCGCTGAACGCAATCAACGCTGAAGAGGTGGAGAAAAACGTCAACGACGCGTTCAAAACGATGCACAAGTCCGTACGATTCTTCCAGGAGATGCCCAGTAAGTACTCACAGTCTCACTGAAACAACAGGTAAAATAAAATGTAATGTATTCAGGTAAGTGATGATAACATTTATTTGCCTCTATCATCTCTCTCTGTAAATTAGTTCTAAAGAGTGTGACATGATTATAATAATATGACCATTGTTTGTAGATGTCCAGTTGGTGGCCTCGGAGATTAAGGGCCTTATTGAGGACTTTAAGCCCTACATTCCTCTGATTCAGGGATTGAGGAACCCGGGAATGAGAAGCAGACATTGGGATCAGGTACAAGATTATTTATCTGTAGCTGGCTTCTGGCATAGCTGTCACTTATAGATAGACTGTAGTATAAATGTGAATTTGGTGCCTGGCAGCCATTGAATTAAATTGATTTTTTTTTACCTTTATTGGTAATTTTCCTAATGCTGTTTTGCTTCAGTTCCTCACAAACTATTTGCATTTAAAAGAGATGGCATTCAGAACAATTTTACCACACTGATTGTCAAATGGTCATTATGTGTTTACATTATTTTGTATATTTTTGACTACAGTTGTCTAATGACATTGGATTCCCTGTGAGACCCAAGGCTAACCTGACCTTCAGTAAATGTCTGGAGATGAAGTTACAGGACCACATGGCTACCATCACCAAAGTAGCTGAAGTCGCCGGGAAGGAGTACTCTATAGAGCAGGCCCTGGACAAGATGGAGAAGGAGTGGGAGAACATTAAGCTTGAGATCAAGCCGTACAAGGACACAGGTACCTACATGATCCGGACCTCCGAGGAGACCTCTCAGTTACTGGACGACCACATCGTGATGACCCAGTCCATGTCATTCTCACCCTACAAGAAACCGTTCGAGGACCGCATCAGCAGCTGGGAGAACAAGCTGAAGACAACCCAGGACGTTCTGGATGAGTGGATCCAGTGTCAGAGATCGTGGCTGTATCTGGAGCCCATCTTCTCCTCGGAGGACATTAACAGACAGCTGCCTGTGGAAAGCAAGAGATACCAGACCATGGAGAGAATCTGGAGGAAGCTGATGAAGACCGCCAAGGACAACCCACAGGTAGATATTTAGGATGTTGTGATGTGTTTCAAAATCTTCAAGGCTAAAGGCATGAATATACCTCCAGTCTATGTAGATATTTATAGATTTACATTTCTGTCTCTTCTGTATTGAAATAGTGCTGAATTTAAAATGACATCTCTATTGACATTGGTAGGTTATTTCCCTGTGTCCAGACAACCGACTCCTGGACAATCTGAGGGAGTGTAACAAACTCCTAGAACAAGTACAGAAAGGTCTGTCTGAGTACTTAGAGACCAAGAGGAACGCTTTCCCACGATTCTACTTCCTGTCGGACGACGAACTGCTCCAGATTCTGTCCCAGACCAAGGATCCCACAGCTGTACAGCCTCATCTCAGGAAATGCTTCGAGAATGTTGCTATGGTAATGTGTTTATTATGAAATTAGTTTATACTGCTTTGATAACAATGTGCCAAATGATGCCATCATTTTTTTTATCATATAAAGCATTAACCTCCACTAGTGGAAGCTTAGTTATAATAAACATTTGTTTTTGTAACTACCAGTACAATTGCTGGCTTAAGACTTATGTTCCTGATATGCCTTTGTGTTGTTCTTGTTTAGTATTTGTCTGTGCTGTGGTATTAGTTTTCAGATTTCCTGACCCCTTTGTCTGCGGTATTTGACATTGACCGTTATTCTGTTTACAGCTGAAGTTTGAGGAGGATCTGAAGATCACCAGGATGTACTCGGCTGAGGGTGAGGACGTGGCCTTCATGGAGACGCTGTACCCCACAGGGAACGTGGAGGACTGGATGTTAGAGATCGAGAGGTGCATGAGGGAGAGTCTGAGGATCATCATCAGGGACTCTCTCAAAGACTACAAAGAGGTAAACACGGATTAGGGGAACATCTCAAACATCAATATAGTTAATGATGTAAATAGGGACTCACGCAAAGACTAAAAGAGGTAAATTCACTCACAGACTACAGAGAGGTAAACTCAAACATAAATATAGTCAATATCATAAATAGGGACTCTCTCAAAGACTAAAAAGAAGTAAAACACAGAGAAAAGGAACATCTCCATAATCGATATAGTTAAAAGCATAAATAGGGACTTCCTTAATGACTATAAAAAAGATGGAAATTCCTTAGTGATTTCATATGGTCAGGAATTGTCTAAAACTAGAGTATGCATTGAGAAAAAATATTTATGATGCAGGTATTTATAAAATAAAAGGACAAAAACCTTTGACAAAATTCCATGTTAAATGATATTTTTGTGTTCAGACAAAGAGAACTGAGTGGGTGTTGAAGTGGCCAGGTCAGGTGGTGATCGCTGGGTGTCAGACGTACTGGACCTCCGAGGTGACCGAGGCGCTGGAACAGAACTGTCTGAAGGAGGGCTACGAAAAACTGCTGAGTCAGCTGGACGATTTACGGAACCTCGTCAGGCTCGACCTGAAGAAGATTGAGAGGATGACACTGTCCGCTCTCATCGTCATAGAGGTGCACGCCCGTGACGTGGTGGCCAAGATGGTGGAGGAGAAGGTCTCTAACGCGAACGACTTTGAATGGATCAGTCAGCTCAGGTAAAAATGTGTGCTAGAGTATTTACTATTGATAATGGTCTTGTTAAAACTTTAAAAATTGTACTTTATAAACTGTAAAAGGAAAAAGGCCCTTCCTTTAATGTTATAACCTTCCCTGTAGTTGGTACTCTTTTCTATTGGTACTTTGTTATTCAGGTACTACTGGAAGGAGGAGAACTTGTTTATCCAGGCTGTAAATGCAGAGTTTAGTTATGGATACGAGTATCTGGGGAATACACTTCGTCTGGTCATCACACCTCTTACTGACAGGTGAGTGTAAATTATATATATACATATACATATATATATTATGAATATGAATCCTTAGACATCTTGAAGTATTTTCCTGGTCCCTTAGAGTCAGATATTACGAGGTTTGATTGTAAATGTCAACTGAAGGGATTTCATTTTCAAGTTGTATCTGATGATTATATTTAAAGAATTGTATATGACATAAGTTATAAGCTATTGTTAGCAAGGACACTGTACATGTATGACTGTCTCACAGTTTCCATTGACCTTGCAGATGTTACTTGACCTTGACCGGTGCCCTTCATTTGAAGTTTGGTGGAGCCCCTGCTGGACCAGCTGGTACAGGAAAAACCGAGACAACTAAAGTAGGGCACACTTGTATACACTGGGTTATAATGCCAAATTAAAAAATAACACAGGCCCACTTATTTTTTATGTGAATCACAGAAATGGCAGAGCATTATTAGAAATAGATAACTTAGGTACATTTATTTGCAATGCCTGTTTTGTTTGTAGGATTTGGCCAAGGCTATGGCGATTCAGTGTGTGGTATTTAACTGCTCAGATCAGCTGGATTTTATGGCCATGGGAAAGTTCTTCAAAGGTCTAGCCAGGTAGGAGATCAGAACCAGGTCTTTATAACAGATAAACATCAAAGATCCTGGAGAGGGAAATTCAGAAATTTAAAGATTAATGTTGTCGCTTTACATATTGAGAAACACATTTCACAATCACATTTATTAAGCAAATATGTAATTTTACATTTGTTCACAAAAAACACAGAAAATCCCCATTATGTTACATGTGCATACTTTTAAGTTTAAGATTATTGTTGACTGATTTGTGTTGTTAACACTATGAGCTGGTTTCAGTGCGGGAGCCTGGGCCTGTTTTGACGAGTTTAACCGTATCGATATCGAGGTCTTGTCTGTGGTAGCCCAGCAGATAACCACCATTCAGAAGGCTCAGCAGCAGAGGGTAATTCCCTTACCGAGTGATCTCCCTTACTGAGTGATCTCCCTTAGACTAGGCCTGGCTAGGGCTTCCTGCCTCTGTAGACATGCTTGTATTCCTCTGACAGCCTCTGTTAATTGTCCCTGTACCGTGTTAACAGTCTGGTAAACTAAGACATGCGATACCTGGCTAATTTAATGGTACAGGTCTAGTACTAATCTTAGTACACATACTCTCTCTTTATAGGTGTGTGGCTTTATACCCATACTAGTAATGCCATATATTGCCTTTATTTCTTCCAGCTATTTATAGTAACAAGAACTTTATCTTTCAGTATCCTGCTGTTTAATATTATCAGTCTCTTTTGTAGCTAATGATTTACTGTATCTGTACTTATGTGAGCTGGATTCAAATCATGGTCGTCAGTAAAGTCAGTAGTGCACTGACAACTGATTATTTACAGTATGGAAAAAAATATTAAAGCAAGAAAGTGCTTATTTGTGATAAATGAGCATGAAACCATAAGTGGCCAATTTGTTTGATTTAATATAATACGTTTTGTACAATGAGTACACATACAGTGAATCTACCTGAACTATCACTGATCACATTCTCATTCCTCATTCTCACTTATAAAGTTGTTTCCTTGGAAATTATAAAGGGCTTTTTACCGGTAGGGACTGTTGTGAAAATTAAAAACAAAAACATTTCTTTTTATTATGGATTAAATTCCAAGGAAGCAACTCGTAGATGTCTCCTTTGCATGACTTTTGAGAAGTTCCCTGGTGCTTCTGTGGAGGTCACATGACTGTCATGTGCCAGGGGACTTTTCATTCACTTCCTGCCTATTTTTCCCCTAAGTTCTGGTGCATGGGCATGCTTTGATGAGTTCAACAGAATAAACATAGAGGTGCTGTCAGTAGTAGCCATGCAAATTATAACCATACAGAAGGCTTTGGATGCTAAGGTAACCGCGGGCGAACTTAACTCCGATTACGAGCCTTCAGCTTCTCTTACATTCAGATGCAGCAATAATATAATGTACTATACAGCACTAAGTTATTTAAAGATAATTAATCATGTAAATGAACTAATCTTTATGATTTATGTATGAAGATTTAAGTAAGCTCTGACAAGATGAATCCAATTAAAGGTAATTTAGATAAGGATCTCTGAATTTTACAAGCAATGGTAAATGTTTATACCTGTGTGTGCGTGATTCCTGCCTATGCGGTTTTGACTTTGTGTGTGTGTTCGTAGGTGGACAGATTTATCTTTGAGGGGGTGGAGCTGATGCTCAAGCCGTCGTGTGCCGTCTTCATCACAATGAACCCCGGATACGCCGGCAGAACAGAACTCCCCGACAATCTCAAGGTAAGCCTGCAGTTAGTACAGTAAGATCTTCATAACATGCTTCCCTGTGTTAGTCTGATTGTAAACATGATTCTACATTGATTGTTTCTTTAACAGGCCCTGTCTTGGGGTTTTAAAGATAGCCTTCAAGTTGATAGTTTTGAGGTTTTCTTATTTAACAGGCCCTATTCAGACCAGTTGCTTTGATGGTTAAGTCAGGATTGGTTATTTTGATCTTTTCTTTACAGGCCCTGTTCAGACCAGTAGCTATGATGGTTAAGTCAGGATTGATTACTTTGATCTTCTCTTTACAGGCCCTGTTCAGACCAGTAGCTATGATGGTTAAGTCAGGATTGATTATTTTGATCTTTTCTTTACAGGCCCTGTTCAGACCAGTAGCTATGAGGTTAAGTCAGGATTGATTATTTTGATCTTTTCTTTACAGGCCCTGTTCAGACCAGTAGCTATGATGGTTAAGTCAGGATTGAATACTTTGATATCTTCTTTACAGGCCCTGTTCAGACCAGTAGCTATGATGGTTAAGTCAGGATTGATTATTTTGATCTTTTCTTTACAGGCCCTGTTCAGACCAGTAGCTATGATGGTTAAGTCAGGATTGGTTATTTTGATCTTTTCTTTACAGGCCCTGTTCAGACCAGTAGCTATGATGGTGCCAGACTATGCCCTGATTGCTGAGATCAGTTTGTTTTCCTTTGGTTTCTCTGATGCTAGAGTTCTGGCCAAAAAGATCGTCACCACATTCAAACTGTCGTCAGAGCAGCTCAGCTCCCAGGTACGTGTAACACTGATATAGGTCTTCTTACACAACTCCAAGATTATCATATAAATTATGGAGATGATACAGTAAATAATATTGAAATCTTCCGTAAGGTATATATATTTTGATGTCTGTTGTATGGATTTGTCTGTAGGATCATTATGACTTTGGAATGAGAGCTGTGAAGTCTGTCATCTCGGCTGCTGGTAACCTGAAGAGACAGTACCCAGACATGAACGAGGTCAGGCAGCTGGTTATTGCATCAAGATCTATACAAGTCAAATTTTCTTAGTGGTTAAAATTGAAATAAGCAAATTTAAAGACAAAACTTTATAATGACTGTATATATTATATATACTTTTAAGATTCACCATGTTGCCAGTCAAAGTACAAAATGTAAAAGTTTTTGGTTGAGACTTAATTTGTTTGACATCTTGTTTATATCAGGAACTGATTGTATTGAGAGCCATTAGAGATGTCAATGTTCCCAAGTTCTTGGTGGAGGATCTCAAATTATTCAGTGGCATTGTGTCTGATCTGTTCCCCAACATCAAGTATGTACAGCTTTTACTGGTGTTCTCATAATATTGATTGGGAATGCCTCCTAGTTTGTCTTATTTATCTGGATCTTCTTTCTCTTATTCAATGATTCCATTCCTGATTTATATAGAAACATGATTAAAATCCCCTGATTTTGATGACAACAATAATTCCTCTTATTCTTCTATTTTTTCCCCGAATCTAGTAAAAACACAGAGGAGTAAGTCGAGGTCTTACAGTACATTGTAGGTTACAGTACATTGTAGGTTACAGTACATTGTAGGTTACAATACATTGTAGGTTTGACTGTAGGTGTGAAAATAGGATGTAGATATTTGATAAGTTATTCATACTTGTGTGCATTTAAAAAATCTTAGAATAAATACAGATGTTTTATAGAAAAGTTTGAATGAGTTTCTTTCTTTGTGTGAAGTGTGGTATAGAGGACAAGATTCACTCTATTGTTCAGTAATTAAATGCTGTTATGTTAGGAAGGAGCCTATGTGTGAAGTATGATAGATAAGATTTACACTGTTGTTGTATATCATGTATATAATTGTATATGATGTTATGTTAGGGAGGAGCCTATAGACTATGGAGCCCTGGACACCTCACTGAGAAAGATGTGTGTCAAAGGGGGACTCAAGGACGTGGAAGGTAAGGATAAATTACTTTAAAGAAAAAGGTTCACTTTTGCCTTATTTGGCCCTGTGAATTTCTGAAAAACTGAAACCGCATAGTTTTAGTTAACAATGCATTAAATATCACTTAGATCTATGGTGACTGCGTATCTTTCAAAAATGACGTCATTTTCTGGCTAGTCAATGCATTATGACGTCACAAAATGCGTCAATTCCCTCATATTCTGAAAAAGTCTACAAAAACGGCCAATTTTGAAAGATATTTTTCGATATTTAATATAGAGCGCAACCTCTGATCTAAAATATGCAACTAGTAAATGATAGAACTGTTTCTTAGGTTTTATGGACATGTTTGATTATTTAGATCAGAGATTGCGCTCATATTATTTTTCTTCACTGAAAGTACTCAATTATACCTGTTTACCTAAAATTTCAAGAACATTGCAATTTCATAAAGCCAGTTCTCCTAGACCTGGACTTTTAGAAGAAAATTTTTAATAGGATATGAAAGCACCAAGTCTTTATTTTATTTTAATGCTTCAAATAGAAAATCAAGTGTTGATCAATCAACTGGTATATCTACAGGGCCATTTTATGCATAAAGTGAACCAACTTCTTTGCAAACGCATTGCACTTAGTGGTCTCAGAAACTCAGCCACAGTGTCCAATCCTGATCTTAGTTGACTGGATTTAATTAAAGTAGTACTGTTGTAACTAATGTATCATTGAGAATTGTTATAGACCATTCTGTCTGCCTTTTTAACATAGACTGATTATATACTTTTTTCTCCAGGTTTTATCAACAAGTGTATCCAGTTGTTTGAGACCACTGTTGTCCGACACGGACTCATGTTGGTCGGGCCCACCGGCTCTGGAAAAACCAAGGTCAGTGAAACGGTGATTAAAAAAAATCATTTACGTTAATTGGAGGTACCTCACTGCTGTTGAAGTTCTATATTTGATTCTGCTGTTTTTCAGTGTTATGAGGTTCTTAAGAATGCCCAGACATCTCTGAAAGGAGAAATGTCACCGGCGGGAACTGAGTTTGAGACGACCTTGACCTACATTCTGAACCCTAAATCCATCACTATGGGTCAGTTGTACGGAGAGTTTGATCTGCTTACACACGAATGGTGAGGTTTTATGAACAATCAAGTCTCGTGGGTCACTGTGCCTCTTCCAATCTGTTGTACCACTGGCAAATGAATTGTTCTAAGGAAATCAAAGAAATATATTTCTGTTTAATATCCAGATGTTCTTGCAGTTTTGTTTAACCTAGGTTTCTTTGGGTAAGTTTTGTAGGAAATGTTTTGTACACTAGTCCAGACTAACACTGAATAACTGCTAACTTTTCCAGGACTGACGGTATCCTGTCTACACTGATCCGTATCGGGTCTGGAGCTACCGACCCTAAGAAGCGCTGGTACATATTTGATGGCCCTGTTGACGCGGTGTGGATTGAGAACATGAATACTGTGTTGGACGACAACAAGAAGCTGTGTTTGAGTAGTGGAGAGATCATCAAACTGACAGAGGTAGACAGATAAATAAAATGGTTGTAAGCAAGGAAAAAAAGTCTAAGAAATGAAAATTAAGTTAGAGAAATGATTTTTTACAACCAAAAAAATAATCTGAGAAAAACTTGGTTTTCTTAATTTCTCATACCATGAATTCTTAAAAAGTTACAAAAATTTTTTACATATTTTGTTATATATTTTTTTAAAATCAGACTATAAAATAACTTGTTATACCTGCAGCACATGACGATGATGTTTGAGGTGCAGGATCTGGCGGTCGCCTCCCCTGCCACTGTCAGCCGCTGTGGTATGGTGTATCTAGAGCCCAGCTATATTGGTCTGCCTCCGTTTGTGGAGTGCTGGCTCAGAAAACTCCCCGACGCTATCTACCCGCACAAGGAAAAACTAGAGGGACTGTTTGATAAATTCATGGAGGTTTGTATCTGTAAATCTTCTCAATTTGTCAGCTTATTAATTTATCCAAAGTAACTGTTTGGAGTAGCATATTGATTGGATGGCAGGAGGAGTAAAATTATCAGTAGTTTGAAAACAGAGTAACAAGAATTGTGATCATATTTTAAGCCCGCGATCAGATAACAGGTTTATGATATCTATTTTTAGCTCTATGATTTCTGTTTTGAGCTTGGTGATTTCTATTTTTAGCTCTGATTTCTATTTTTAGCCTGCGATCCGGTTTGTCCGTAAGGAGATGAAGGAGATCGTCCCCACCGTGGACTGTAACCTGGTCTTCAGTCTCCTGAAGTTGATGGACTGTTTCTTCCAGCCCTTCGTCCCCCAGGAGGTAATGTCTACCGTGACCCCCACTCTCTCATCCTACCATCCTGTGTGTTCCCCATCCTAAACACCTAAAACCTGTTTGATAGACGTGTGCTCATATTTAAACAAAAATTGAGATAATTTTCTCTTTTTGATGCTGGCTTTATTGAGTTGCAGTATTTCCTTTTGTTTATCAAGGGCTGGTCCACACTTCATTAACTTAGCTCTCATCCACACACACACATTGTCCAAGGTGATTCCTAGTCTACACAAAGTAAAATAAATTCACACTTGTCAACTCTGAGTAAAGTAAATATATGACATACTACAGATAAACTTACTGTAAATACACCATAATCAAGTTACACTGTAAATCCTACAATACAAGTTCTGTCAAATTATTTACGTTAATGATTTCAGGTTGGATACAAAAGGAAATTAAAAAACCTAAAGGACTAAATGTTGTAGATGAAAAAACTTTTTATTGATTAATTTACTCCATGTGGACTGGCCTTAACTTTTAACTCCTAATAATAACTGTAAATTTACAAGTCAATCTTTTGTTTATATTAACATTGCTATCTTTAATCGTGATAATTTTGTTTTCAGAATTTAAATCTTTCTTTATTATTTTGTTTTGTTACAATGGATCCTTCCATGTAATAGCATTCACTTTTATTTTATGAAGTAAACTTGCATGTAAAGTTAATGAATCTTTCTTGATAATTATATAATTATCTATTAATTTCTTATTGATTTGACATTTACATGGAGGGCTCCAGAGCTGTTTTTCTAATCAATTAATCCTACTTCTACATATAACAGCCAGAAAAAAGAAAATGGGTAAGCCATGCATGCCACCTCTGTAACATATTAAGATCTCTGTGTATATATCAGTCTTGTCTTTCTCACAGCAAGGGCAACACTCAATGAGACACAAGGTATCTTAGCCAGTACATGTACTACTATAGGAGTTACTGAACTATACAGCTAGCAAGTCAGGTGTACTGATGTTAACTCAGCCGTGACCGTGTAGGGGACAATGTACCACAGCTAGCAAGTCAGGTGTACTGACGTTAACTCAGTCATGACTGTGTAGGGGTCAATGTTCCACAGCTAGCAAGTCAGGTGTACTAACGTTAACTCAGTCATGACTGTGTAGGGGTCAATGTACCACAGCTAGCAAGTCAGATGTACTGACCTAAACTCAGTCAAGCCAGTAAGTCAGGCCACCACAGCTAGCAAGTCAGGTTTACTGATGTTAACTCAGCCGTGACTATGTAGGGGTCAACACACCACAGCTAGCAAGTCATGTGTACTGATGTTAACTCAGTCGTGACTGTGTAGGGGTCAATGTTCCACAGCTAGCAAGTCAGATGTACTGACCTAAACTCAGTCGTGACTGTAGGGGTCAAGCTAGTAAGTCAGGCCACCACAGCTAGCAAGTCAGGTTTACTGATGTTAACTCAGCCGTGACTATGTAGGGGTCAATGTACCACAGCTAGCAAGCCAGGTTTACTTATGTTAACTCAGCCGTGACTGTGTAGGGGTCAATGTACCAGCTAGCAAGTCAGGTTTACTGACAGCCTGACTCTATAAGGGTCATTCTACCATAGCTAGCAAATCACGTATATTGACGTATGTAATAATGTATGCCAGACCATTTGTACTGTATCACTATGTCTATTTCACATGCTCCAATGTCCAATCTCATATTGGGCTAAAATATCAAGAATACAATCAGCTGTTTCATCTCTAATTTGAAAATTTTGAGCCCTTTAGTTTACATCTCCAATAAGGAACAATGGAGAATATTTTGTAGCTTCATGTAATATAAAATGTCTAACCACTTTATTTGTACATGTAAATGTTTCTTTGCAGCATGTCCAACAAACTTTTGCATGCCTCTGTGTATCCATCACTTTAGTGTATTTCATGTGTAGTTGCAATGATATATTTAGCCTGATATTTATCCCACCGTGGCTCGTATTGTAGCATTATAGGTGTAATATTTGTAGCTGATAAAAAAATCACCAAAATTTGTAGCCAGATAAGAGAAACTCAAGGACTTAGCTAGAATATAAAACAGAGTAACTCAAATAATTTAGTTACTTATTCATTTGAATTTTTCAAATTGAGTTCCTGGATTTTTTTTTGTTTTAAATCATTCATTTATGACCTTGATCATATCACAATTTCTAAATGATCACTTTTCCCTTTATAATTTTCTTAAGCAAATTTTGAAAAAATTGTTAATCTTCCCCCATCCATCCCCAGTCACCCCCACTCACCCCCCCCCCCCCCCCCTCCATTAAGAGTGTTTTAATGGTGCTATTTCTTTACCTACCGTTTGTCAGGGTTTACTTCTGGGAGAGGAGGAGGAAAATAAAGTAAGACAAGCATTGCCTGTATATATTGATACTGTTCTACAGTTTTGTATTGTTAATGTTCATTAAGTTCTACAGTTTTTTATTTTTACTGTTCTACAGTTGAAACCTCTGCGTAACACCTTTATAACATTATTGGCAGAGATATGAATTTTATTTTAGGTTATTTTACATTGTTTATGTTTGATTCAGTGCAGAAGCTTTTTCAAATACAAATAATATAATCATGACAGTGGAGTTGGATTGTTCATAATTATATAGATATTCATTTACATTTAAATGTTAGAAATGATTCCGTACATTGAAAAAATAAATTTTCATTTCATTTTGGAGTATTACTGATTAGTTCATTTTAATTTAATTATTTCTGTAACGTTAACGTAATCAATTTTATTACATTTCTAACACTGATCCATATCATTGATGTCACAATACTATAGTTCTGATGACACATTTACTGCTGTCACTATAATTTTGTGTCCTATCTCTATATACAGGGAGACAAGCCGATTCCCCAGGCTCGACTGGACCGCATCGTGGAACTCATTGAGCCGTGGTTCTTTTTCTCCCTGACATGGTCCATTGGTTGTACCGGGGATAATAACAGCTGGATCAAGTTCTCTAACTGGATTCGTGAACAAATGAAGAAAGAAGGGGTCAGTATATACTATAATGGCTTGTAATTGTATCAAAATCATCCTTCATATTTTTTTCAAAGGTTTTATTTATTTTTTTCTATCCTTATATCTTTGTTATTAATAGTTATACTGACTGTGTACTTTTTTGGTCAAATTTTGGTGAGGAAATTCTAAATGGTATTTTTGGAGGAGTTGTTTGAATGAAATTAAAGCTTCACTACAGATTGAAGTATAAAGAAACTAAATTTCACTTGACTGTCTTGTAATGTTTAGTGTGAGTTGCCATTCCCAGAGGAAGGGATCGTGTACGACTACCGTCTGGATGACGCGGGAATCAGTAGCAGTGAAAACGACGAGAATCTGGACGAGGAAACCGAAGTGAAAAAGGTAAACAAGCGGGGCATGGTAGGTCAGCAACGTCAATGACACACAACTGTACCCCAACAGTAAATGTACAAATCAGTTAAGAATATATATAAAATTTAAAGAAATGTCATCTTTCTTACAGCTTTTTGAGGAGGATACTCTTTTTTTAAAAATAAATTTCTTCTTTTCGAACAAATTGAAAAAAAATTGAGTATGTTAAGCTGCAATGTGTAAATTTCTAGAAGAACAAATCAAGTGTGTGAGTGGAATTTGATTTTTTAACTGTAACAATTTTTTAACAACTTTTGACAACCATGGAACTCCAGTATTAACTTCTGTTATAGGTGGCGTGGAGGAACTGGTTGTATGGTGTACCAGAATTTACCATCCCCGCCGACACCAAGTTCTCAGACATCATAGTCCCCACCATAGACACCATCCGCAGCTCCCATCTCCTGGAGATGCTCCTCAAAAACAAGAAAAAGGTAAACAAACAAAAAAAAAAAAACAAACAATAGAGAATGTTCCTCTTGAGTGCCTCAAAGCTTTGGGCCTCAGTGCATTTATCCGGATCTTGACTGAAAAATATCTTTAAAATATCTCTTGAGATATATCCACAGCATATTATGTTGCAAGGCCAAACTTAATATCAAAAAGAAAAACATGGAAGCTTTTTAAATTGAATTTCCTCTAAAGCTTTATAACAGTATTTATTTCCTATCTAGCTTGTAACACGAGCTATGATTGGTTACAGAGTTGGTTGTAAATTTCCGTACACCCAACTTCAGCCGGGGTAAATAAAAATGTGACTCCACAATGCATAGTTTCTCTATGATAAAAAGCAAATAACGTGATGTCACGATGCACTGTAGTACGTAGTTATATTATAATCGATAAATTGAGACACAGTTGATAAGACTCTGATGTTTACAAAGAATTTTTATGGATACATAGGAAATAAATTTGTTATCCAGATCCTTCGGCCTCAGGGTGTATGGAATAAAAACCTGGGTAAATCCCTGTACACCTTTGATTGAACCTGGATAACTAATAGTATACTGAATTGTTATTTCTAGGTGTTGTGTGTTGGACCAACTGGTACAGGTAAAACACTGACCATTGCTGACAAACTGACCACAAAGATGCCCAAAGAATTTCTCCCAGAATTCATTGTCTTCTCTGCCAAAACCAGCGCTAACCAGACACAGGACTTGATTGATGGCAAGCTTGACAAAAGGTACGACGTGAATGGATTAAAAATCTTGCAATCTCTACATATTTGTTACAATAAAAACAGGCCTGGGAGTTTTTTATTGGCTGTTTTGTTATTTTTGTCATGAAGCTGTTATTTTGTGTTGATTATTGAGAGTAATGTCTACCATTGTTTACAGGCGTAAGGGAGTGTTCGGTCCACCCCTGGGTAAATACTTCATCTTCTTCATTGACGACCTCAACATGCCGGCTCTGGAGGTATACGGGGCCCAGCCTCCAATCGAGTTAATCCGACAGTGGATGGACTTCAGTGGATGGTACGACAGAAAGGCCATAGGTCAGTATCTGTATACACAGGGGTCATATGTTAGTGTCATATTAAATAAAGGTCATAGATCTGTATCATAACAAATAAAGGCTATAGGTCAGTGTCATAATAAATAAAGGTCATAAGTCCATTTTATTACGTAAATTTTGGTCATGTCTGGTATGATAAGGATTAGACAAGATCTGCTAGGTCCTGATGATTGTCCTATTGTTATGACAGGTGATTTCCGTAACTTGGTGGACGTGAACTTCTGCTGTGCCATGGGACCACCAGGTGGCGGTAGGAACCCCATCACCGCTCGACTACAGAGACATTTTAACCTCCTGGCCTTCACAGAGATGGAGGACCCCAGTAAAAGGAAGATCTTCGGAACCATCCTCAAGTCCTGGATGCGTAAGTCTCTCGCATTCTGTATCTGGGAGATACACATAGTTCTTTGTTGAAGAAAAGTTTATTATTTGTCTAAAGTAAGTTTGGTAGACTTAAACAATCTTCTGAAGATTTTAACTGTATGTATTGTATCTGTACAGCTAATAACTCTGCCCAGCACACTGATAAGATGGTGATTTAACTGTATTTATTGATTCTATTTGTACAGCTAACAACTCTGCCCAGTACACTGATAAGATGGTGGAGACCTGTATCGGGGTGTATAACACGATCATCACCCAGCTCCTCCCAACCCCCGCCAAATCTCACTACACCTTTAATCTTCGTGACCTCTCCAAGGTCTTCCAGGGAATCCTCATGATGGACCCATCCAAGATAGAGGTATGTCTTTTACAGTATTATATGTATGTGTTACTTTGTACGGAAATCTAACATGAAAAATACAGATTTGTTAAATATCATATGTATTCATGGATATAAAAAAGATAGGGTCGTGAGATAGTATTTTGCTTTTGTTTATTAGATTTTTTTTACATAAAAAGAATAACTTTTTAAGACAGTTTGAAGCTCTCTTCTTCTACCCATTTTTTAAAACAGTCTGTTCTAAAGCTCTAAAACTTGTACTTAAAATTGATCTCATGACCCATAAATCTTCAAGATAAAGGAAAATGTTCAGACATGCAATTAATGTAATATACAGTCACAGTGAAATATGCATAAGATGAGAGTGTTGTACAGATATGATTTTATTTTATTGTCAATTGAATGGCCTGTTTTGTAACAGACTCCAATTGTAAGTTTGAACATTCATTAGTTTATATTGCCACAGATCTTTTTTATATTGAAGTTCTTTGTTATTTTACATTTTTGTAACATTTGATGTTCTATTTTTTCCCAATGTTGACATAAGATTGATCAAATTGAGGAATTTGTGAGTTATGGTGTTATGCTGTTCTGAGTTTGTCATAGATTTCTGTCAGGATTTGATTAAATCTAGAACTGTAGACATGGTAGACAATGAGACTTATACTTCTCAAAATTAGTTTTATCTGACTAAATAGGACTATAGGACACTTAGTTGTAGATGTATCAAAAATTATTTAGAAGTTTATGTAAATTATTAATTATAATCTAAATACTATTTGACTCGGTTATAGAAGTGTATTGTATACATGTCGTTTAATTCAGATAAGTAATTGTCTTTCCCTTGATTTTCAGTCCATCAATGACGTGTTGAAGCTGTGGTACCACGAGAGCTGTCGCGTCTTCCAGGATCGTCTCGTTAATGACGAGGACAGGAGCTGGTTTGATAACCTCATCAAAACCAACATGAAGTCTGAGTTTAACGTGGAATTTGATGACGTCGTGAAGCAACAACCACTAATATTCGGAGACTTTATGTCCCAGGGCGGCGATCAGAAACCTTACGTGGAGATTCAGGATCATGACAAGGTAACAGAAGGAAAACAGTCATCAACTAATTGTTAGAAGATGGCATTTAATTGTAAAATTACATCAGGTAACCTGCTCTGACAGATTTAATAAATTGAATTTTGATGTTGGTCCTCTCTGTAGATGGTGAAGTTACTGGAGGAGTACCTGGACGACTATAACCAGATAAACACGGCCCAGATGAAGCTTGTCCTGTTTATGGATGCCGTGAAGCATGTGTCCCGTATCAGTCGAATCATCAGACAGCCCCTGGGTAACGCCCTTCTGTTGGGGATGGGGGGCAGTGGTCGTCAATCTCTCACCAGGCTGGCCGCCCACATGTAAGTCAGACAAGTGTCATATTTCCTCAGGATAAATCTGGATCCATGCTTTCATCTGATGAATGTTGTATTCTCTTTTTGTGCAAGCTATATTAAAATGATTGCATAACCAAATTTGTTGTTGTAGCAATGAGTATGATTGTTTCCAAATTGAGCTGGCTAAGAACTACGGTATAGCTGAGTGGAGAGAGGATCTGAAGACGGCGATGATGAAGGCAGGTCTGGAGAACAAGCCCATGGTGTTCTTGTTCAGTGACACTCAGATCAAGTCGGAGTCCTTCTTAGAGGACTTGAACAATATTCTGAATTCTGGCGATGTGCCAAACATTTACGCCTTTGATGACTTGGAGAGTATTTATACAGCGATGAAGCCAGTGTGTCAGGACATGGGATTACAGCCTACTAAGACTAACTTGTTCTCACTGTACACAAAGAACGTTCGCAGTAACTTACACACGGTCATTACCATGAGGTCAGTTGCTTTTGGATGAGGACTGTGTCTTCAATTTATGAACTCTCATAAAAACAGATATAAGGTCAAAAGCTTTGACACACCTAACGGTTGACAAAATTAGAAACATATTTTGTAAAGGTGGAGTCTGTGTTGTTTGTTATTACAGCCCCCTTGGTGAGATTTTTCGCGCTCGTCTGAGACAGTTCCCTGCCCTGGTTGACTGCTGAACTGTTAGTTAGATCTTTTGAGTCTGTATTGTTTGTTTTTACAGCCCCCTGGGTGAGATTTTCCGCGCTCGTCTGAGACAGTTCCCTGCCCTGGTTAACTGCTGTACGATTGACTGGTTCTCTGAGTGGCCGGCCGATGCCCTGAGGTCCGTGGCTCTGCGGTTCCTGATGGACATCCCAGAACTGGACACTACTGACCAGATCATGGAGGGACTGGTAGGAGCAGAATGTTTTCTGTGGTCTTTTTCAATTGATGTTAAAAAAATTAAAATGTATAAACATTTATTTTGAATTGAAAAATAAACAACTGTTACAGTAAAATGTGGATTCTTTAAATAAGACTGTGTCTTTAAAAGAAATTTAAAAAGATTTTCTAATATTCTTAGAAACAAAACATGAACATTTATATTATGTGTTTTTTTCTGTGTAGGTGGTGATGTGTCAGGAGATCCAGATGTCGGTCTTTAACCATTCACAGAAATTCCTGGCCGAGCTTTCTCGTTATAATTACGTCACGCCCACCAGCTACCTGGAGCTGCTGGGAATCTTCTCTAAACTGGTGGGGATGAAGAAGACGGAGCTCAACACGGCGCGTAATCGGCTGAAGACCGGTCTGGACAAGCTACTGACCACGGCTGATGAAGTGGCCAAACTGTCGGCGGAGCTGGAGACCATGAAACCACTGCTGGCCGAGGCGGTGAAGGAATCGGTGGCTACCATGGAACAGATCTCCAAGGATACGGTGAGGGCGGGGCTTAGTTTGTAATTCATAACGTAGTTACAGGTGTTGATGAGTTAAATGACATTGTTAGAGACAGGAATCATTGTTGTATTTTTGTGTGTGTTTAGGTTGTTGCTAAGGAGACAATGGAGGTGGTAGAGAGAGAGGAAGCCCAAGCTACCATTAAAGCTAAGGAGACCCAGGCCATTGCTGACGACGCCCAGCGCGACCTCAATGAAGCTCTCCCAGCTCTGGTAAGACATGTCTAGAAATCTCCTTTTTATAACTGCTAAAGCATACTGCAGAATTACACCATGATATCATTAAGAAGATAGTCACATGGATCTATTGTCTTAAAAATTCTAGTGTAATTTCATTCAATATAATTTCATATTAGATACAAGTTTATTAGAAATTTGAGTTTTCCTTTAGATTTGTCACCTTTGTCACCTACATGATATTTAATTTCTATTGACAGGAAGAGGCTGTGGCCAGCTTGAAGTCGCTGAACAAGAACGACGTGGTGGAGGTCAGGGCCATGACCCGACCCCCAGTTGGGGTCAAGATGGTGATAGAGGCCGTGTGTATCATGAAGGAGATCAAACCAAAGAAAGTGGCTGGGGACAAACCCGGAGAGAAGATCAATGACTTCTGGGACCCGGGCAAAGCCCTGCTGTCTGACCCGGGCAAATTCCTGGAGAGTCTGTTCAAGTTTGACAAGGACAACATCCCTGATGATGTCATCAAGAAGATCCAGCCCCTGATAGACAATCCGGACTTCACACCGGCTGCCATTGCCAAGGTGTGTAGAACCACTATATAACAAGCCAGCTGATTGCTTTCACTTCACCTCAGGTTTAATCTGCATTTACACGAGAGAAATCAAGAATCAGAAGGCACTCATTTACTGTTTCAAGATATTAGCAATGCAAATAGCTGCATATCTTGGAATGATTTTGTTAAGCAAGCCTGTTGAATGACGTACTAGTAGTTTTCTGTAGACTGTTAATTGTTAATTGTTTTGTAGGTATCCAAAGCCTGTACCTCTATCTGTCTGTGGGTCAGAGCCATGCACAAGTACCACTTTGTAGCCAAAGGTGTGGCTCCCAAGAGAGAGAGGCTGGCCAATGCCCAGGCCGAGCTGGCGGAGACACAGGCCATTCTAGAGGCGGCCAAGATGAGGCTCCACGACGTACAGGAGGGGATCGCGACGCTTCAGGCCAAGTACGAGGACTGTGTGAGGAAAAAGGATGAACTGGACCAGAAGTGTACTGAGTGTGAACAGAGGCTGGTCAGGGCTGACAAGGTACCATCACCTCTACACAGGATTTAGATGTCTCTGGCTCCCAACTCTATATTCTAAGATTTCTTATACAAAATTACAGATCCTTGTTTTTCCCCTCACTTGGATTTAAACTTATTAAACTTCATCCAGAAAATCCATTTTAGTTTCAATTAAATTAAACTATTAAACTTGTTTCAAAATGTGAGGGCTGAAATTTCAAATAGAGAAAGTTAAGTTGATTGAGACTTCTGATTTATTACAGCTGATTGGTGGATTGGCGGATGAGAAGGACAGATGGAAGGAGTCGGTGGAGAAACTGGAGTCCATCATTAACAACTACGTGGGGGATGTACTCATCTCCTCCGGATACATCGCTTACCTCGGGCCCTTCACTGTAAGATCTTATCACAACAGAATAAACAGTCATATAGTGGTATCTTAGATTTATTCAGACTGAAAGTAAACTTTTGTTTTTAGGGTAAGTACCGGTCTGACATGCAGGAGGAATGGGTGAAGAAACTTGACGAGAACAAAGTCCCTCGTACCGGGGAACCCACCCTCATCGCGACCTTAGCTGACCCCGTGAAGGTCCGCAGCTGGCAGATCGCGGGGCTCCCCAAGGATAACCTGTCTGTTGAGAATGGTGTTATTGTGAAATACTCCCGTAGATGGCCTCTTTTTATTGACCCCCAGGGACAGGCCAATAGATGGGTCAAAAACATGGTGAGGTTTAAAAAAAAAACAAGTACATAGGCACTTTTGTCAAATATAAAATTATCAAAAAAGGAAAAAGAAATGTACAATTTAAACTTGATGCTCTGATAAGGAGAAGATATATAGATATTTTGATGATTTTGTTTGTACAGGAGCGTGACGCGGGTCTGGACGTCATTAAGCTCTCAGACAAGGACTTCCTCCGAAGTTTGGAGAACGCCGTCAGGTTTGGTAAACCTTGTCTACTGGAGAACATTGGGACCGAGTTAGACCCAGCTCTGGAACCTATTCTATTGAAGCAGGTTGGAATTTTTCTACAGTTATTTAATAATCTGCACATCCTCTATATTCTGTGTACGAGTGTTCAAGTGTATCAGTTCTTGGTTTACTTCTTTCACTCTCTATATACAGTAAAAGTAAGAGAATTACTGTAAACCTCTTTTTCAGACCTTTAAACAACAAGGCAGTATGGTGATCAAGCTGGGAGATGCCATTATTCCGTACCACGATGATTTCAAGTTTTACATCACCACAAAACTTCCCAATCCCCACTACACCCCTGAAGTGTCCACGAAGGTGACCCTCGTAAACTTCACTCTGTCTCCAAGGTAAGTTTGTTGGATTTCAACTGCAGTACATTTTTCTTACCCTACCAACTAGATCTAATATTTCTGTCACAAATCTATTATGACTTATCAGGATTTTTCTGTGACTTGATGACATTAAATATTAACGATTCTGTATATTGGTACTCATTTGTTTGGAATCTCTAACTATTCGTCTGTATTTACAGCGGTTTGGAGGACCAGATGTTGGGTATCGTCGTGGCTGAGGAGAGACCTGATCTGGAGGAAGCTAAGAATCAGCTGATCGTCAGTAACGCTAAGATGAAGCAGGAGCTGAAGGAGATTGAGGACAAGATCCTGGAGAGACTGAGCTCCTCCGAGGGCAGCCCTGTAGACGACCTTGACCTCATAGCTGTACTGGAGGCCTCCAAAATTAAATCCCAGGAAATCAAGGTAAATCTCAGAATTCAATTACAGTAAAAAATGGGACTCTATCACAAGTCTTAGTTATCATTTTTGATGATTTCATCAAGTATGTACAATGTACATTTTTCTTTCTTAAATGATTACTGTAGACAACTTTAATTTCACATGTCTAAAATTTCACAGTTTGTTAGACAGTTACCTTTCATGGTGGTTTAAATGTCATGGAGAATCGCTTATAAATACTCAGTTGCTATGCCTGTTTTTAGGTAGAAATGAAGTGAAATGATAATCATGATTGTTTAAAGTTTGCGGAAAATTCTTTAATCATGAACATAATGAAATTAAAAACACTGTAATGTATTCCACATCTGCAGTATTATTACTACCATCCACAGGTTTGGTAACTGTTTCGAGCTGTTCTGCAGTTTGGTATATAATTTCTTATTTTGTTCTGCAGGCTAAAGTGATGGTGGCGGAGCAGACAGAGAAGGATATTGACGTGACCCGCAGTCAGTACATCCCCGTCGCCGTTAACACCCAGATCCTCTTCTTCTGTGTGGCGGACATGGCTAACATTGACCCTATGTACCAGTACTCCCTGGAGTGGTTCGTCAGTATCTTTCTGGGCGGCATCGCCCACGCCGAGAGGGCAGGTAAAATCCTATTCACCTTAATATAAATTTTTGTATGCATAATTCCTCTTTGATTGAACATTGACATTTAATTACATGAGAATTGAATGGGAATGCTAAAATCTTTAAAAGGTTTGAATGTTTCTGTCTAAACCAGAAAAAAAGCATACACATTTTCCTTTTAATCCATGACTGTTGATTAGAATATGAACATTAAAACTTGTCCAAAGAAACTTTTGTTGGAAGGAAATGTAAATATGTACATACTGTTCCATAATAATCATGTCGATATAAATGTATTATAGGACCAGAGTTCTGTGAAAAGTTATAAAATTTCTTTCTAACAGAGGCAAACAACATCAAGCAGAGAGTTTTGAACATCAACAACTTCTTCACCTTCAGCCTGTACAGCAATGTCTGCCGCTCCCTGTTTGAGAAACACAAGCTCTTGTTTGCTTTCCTACTGTGCTCTAGAATCAAACAGCATCAGGGAGAAATTGACATGGTTAGTCAAATCTGTCTTCGAGGATAATAAATATACGTAAAATTGACAGTAAAAGGAAATCACAAAATCCATGACATGAAAAGTTTTACCGTATAAGCAGAATTTTTAGCGATGATTTATTTTTGGCATTATTAGTGAGGGTGCTGAGATCGCAAAAATTGAATATCGCTAAAAATTCATTGTGTTTTATTTGTAATAGCTTCTTTAGTGCTTTAGTTTAAAAATCGCTAAATTACATCTCGCTAAAAATAAAATACAAGTTTTTATGAACGAATCGCTAAATTTGCCTCTCGCTAAAATTTCCACTTATACGGTATGTTTGTATCATCTGAAATTCTCTCAGACAGCACTTGCATGTTATGCAGCTTTTTTATTGTAAACTTTTGTGTATTACTTAACGGTGAGGCTCCTATTTGTGCTGTTGTAGGATGAGTGGCGTTTCCTCCTGGCTGGAGGTACCAGTAAACCTAAGGAGGTCCCCAATCCTTGTGAGGACTGGCTGTCTGACCGCTCCTGGAATGACATCCTGACCACCGGCGTCCTTGAGAAGTTTGCCAGCTTCCCAGAGGAATTCAAAAACCACGCCGAGGGCTTCAAGAAGATCTTTGACAGCCCGGAACCTCACCGCGAGGACCTGCCCGGGAAATGGAACACGGACCTGGACTCCTTCCAGAAGCTGATCGTCCTGAAGTGTCTGCGACCAGACAAAGTGACCAACGCCATGCAGGACTATGTGGCTAACAATCTGGGTCAGAGGTTCATCGAGCCCCAGACTGCTGACCTACATTTAGTGTTTAAGGACTCCTCCCCGACTACCCCCCTTATCTTCGTGCTGTCAACAGGGACTGACCCGGCAGCTGATCTGTACAAGTTTGCTGACGAGATGAGGTTCTCTAAGAAGCTGTCTGCCATCTCCCTTGGACAGGGACAGGTGAAGAATTCACTGCTGTCTGGCCTTTCACGGGGCTGCTTTTACTTAGCATTTTCAGTAAGATAACTGCCTGTCCCTTTCCATTTGATGATGATTATGACTCTGTTTTACTGATGTTTGACAGGGACCCCGCGCGGAGGCCATGATGAGGAGTGCGATGGAGAGAGGGAAGTGGGTCTTCTTCCAGAACTGTCACCTGGCTCCCAGCTGGATGCCCAGTCTGGAGAGACTGATAGAGCAGATTGATCCAGACAAGGTTAGATCAGGTTTATCAGCCACCTCTCACCAAAGGTGTGCTAAATATAATTCTTGTGATACTTTTTCAAAAAAAAATTCAAACAAAAATTAACCCCACCCCCTCCCAGAAATCAATGATTGATCAAAGTAAAACTTATAGAATGCAAGGTAAAAAAAATTGCCAATATTGAATCACTGTACATTGATGACTTGTTTGTAAGGTTGCAAAGTTAAATTATCTTTGGATAATACTATGTAGGTCCATTTGTCTATTATATATATTATTGTCTTTTGTTGTGTAGGTCCATCGTGACTTCCGCCTGTGACTGACCAGTATACCCAGTGATAAGTTCCCGGTCTATTGTATGTTTTATTGTTTTCTGTTGTGTAGGTCCATCGTGACTTCCGTCTGTGGCTGACCAGTATGCCCAGTGATAAGTTCCCGGTCTATTGTATGTTTTATTGTTTTCTGTTGTGTAGGTCCATCGTTCCCCTGGTATGCTACATCCTACAGAACGGATCTAAGATGACCGTGGAACCACCCCGGGGCCTGAAGGCTAACCTCCTCAAGTCTTACTCAGGCTTCACCGACGAATTCCTCAACTCCTGTGGGGATAAGGTAGGACTCAAGCAGCTGCCTGGTGATTTATTTAAATTGGATTTTATTAAGCTAAAAAAAAAATGAAAATAAATTGAAAAAAATATGTTAAAGTTATGATTGAATTTGAGTTTCTCTATCAAATTTTGTAATCTGATTATAAGAAGTGAGTTATTAATTGGACTAATTGCTGTGTTGATTTAATCAGCTGAAATCTCCTCGGGTAAGCCCTCTGTACACAGAGTAGAGGGGTAGATCATACAATCAGTCTCCACATTATCAAGCCTACACCAATCAAAAAACAGCAAACCAGCTTTACGTTTTATACGTTATGTTGCTATTTCTGTGGACTGAAATTGAAGAATATTTGGGAGGAGGCAAAATGCAAAAAAATAACAAAAAAAAAAACAAAAAAAAAAATTAAACAAAACAAACAAAACATTCCTTGTGTTAAATACGACTCAGTATTAAGTTATAAGCTTTCTTGTCAGAAAGAAAGACTTGTATTGAATTCTTGACAACATTAGAATATACTGGTTTCTTGTCTTTTGACCAAATCAACACATTATGAAATACAAAATCTAGCTCTCATCTTAAGGTTCTCATATTTCTTCTTCTCTCCTAATTAGTTAAGTACCACCTTCACTGTGTATTTTATTGCATGTTGATATTTTCTGCACTGATATAAAGCACACTGCATGCATGGCATTCCCAGCAAGAGTGACTGCATGTTTATTATAGTCAATTGTACACGAAGTAGGTTATTTTCTTGATTTGATATGCATGATCTCTGATTTGTAAAGACAATTTTCATCATTATTCAACATATTCTAGGTGTGTAACATAGAACATAATTAATTATAGATGCATGTAAAGAATATTAAGGCAATCATACATCACATGTCATCATTAATTACAGGGAATAAAGAGTTCAGGTGTTTATTTTTCATCTTTGCCATTTTTCTGAAAATTTTCGGGTGCCTAGTGGTTTTGGTGTGAAGGTTACTTTCAAGTAATGCATTTTTGTACCAGAAAGTTGTAAATTATTAATTAAAAGTTCATATATTTCATCACATTTAAATATAAATATTTTATCATCGTGTGTCTTGAAATGATAAGTTTATTTTGTTTTTCAATTTCTTTTATTAACCTGTACTAATTAATGTTTATCTTTTTCCAATCATCATTATGTTTTGCATGCTATGCATGAGTGGCACCTCTAATGGTTGTATCTGTTGTGACACTTACAAGCCTCTGACCTTTGACCTTCTACTTTCTGTTTTACAGACGATTGAGTTCAAGCATCTGTTGCTGTCCCTGTGCTTCTTCCATGGTGTGATCATCGAGAGGAGAAAGTTTGGAGCCCTTGGGTTTAACATTCCGTACGAGTTCACGGACGGCGACCTCCGAATCTGTGTCAGTCAGCTCAAGATGTTCCTCATGGAATACAAGGAAATTCCATTCAAGGTCAGTGTTCCCATTCAAGTGTGTTCAAGAATTTCATAGATCTTCAGTATTATTCTTGTTCAGCTGCTACCCCTACTGATAACATGTCTTAACTCATACAGAGATATAGATATCAAGTCTAGCAGCTATAGTTAGCTGCTACAATCTTGTAGCAGCCCTGATGCATGCTTAAAAGACAATGTAGAAGAAATAAAGAGTTTTAAATTAATAAATTAATTTACCTTGATAAACTTTTGACCGAGTCCCATTCCTTTTATAACCTGCAGATTCTATTTTTGTGTTTGTCAGGTGCTGGTGTACACCGCTGGACACATTAATTACGGAGGTCGTGTGACCGACGACTGGGATCGACGCTGCATGATGAGCATCCTGAATGACTTCTACAAACAGGAAGTCCTCGACGAGGAATTCAAGTTCTCCGAATCGGGCATTTACAAGCAAATCCCACCATCCAATGACCATAATGTAATTATGTGATACATCTCTGAGCATGTGCAGTAGGCTGTTGCCGTAAGCAACAGCTGTATTTCTCTTTCATGCCTTTTTCCTGTAGATGTATCACCGTTAACTTATGGACATTCGGAGTGCGAGATGAGCGCGATTGTTGTTTGTGTGTGCTCAATAAGTTAACTGTTTCCCTGTTGTGCTCCTGGGTTTCTTTAAGGACATACCCAACATACATGTACACAAACTCACCAACGTACTTTTCATGCTGATAATTTTCTATGATATTCTCAATTTTAAATCAGTCTACCATAATATGTTCTTATACAAATAATCAGCATACATAACCTGCAGTTTTGACTAAATAAAAAGTGATGAAAATGCTAGTATTTTTAGAAGAAGAATTAACATAGATATAGTTTTAGCTGGTATTTTCACAACTTTCTATTGGCATTTTCTAAACTTTTGATTTAGACGAGATAAACAATACTACCAGGCATCATTAAATCGTAGAAAGGTCCTTCAATAATTGGAACTTTTCAATTAAGCATAGAATAAGAAATTTATGTTGCATTGCGTATGTCCTTAAATGCATTTACTAACACAGATAAAATGTAATTGTAAACTCCCCATTCCATACTAGATGGTGCTGTGTTGAGTGATGTATGTGTGTGCTTTGTGCTTTTTTAGGTTTTGGGTCAAATGACTATTTTTTAGCTTTGCCTAGAAATGTCAGCTTCAATATAGAAGTTCTGAATTTTCTAGTCTTACTCCCAAAGCTGATCATTCTCTTGCTTGATTTATGCTTGTTTTATCTGTAATTCTGCTTTTGAGCTAACAACATATTAATCAAGTTCACTAATTGTACCATAGTACACACGGCTTGTTCTCCAGATGTTTTTATTTGATTTTTCCACAAATTAAAATTAAATTTTGAAATTAAAAAAAGCCTACTTTGGTAACCTCTGGAGTGCAGCCTTGTGTTTGTAGAGTGTTGTAGTGGTCCTCTGTCAATATACTGAAGGGCAGAAACCATCTCTTCAGTCAACAGCATACACTCTATACTCCATAGCTCTCTATTTAATCTATAGCCTTATGGAAGCATAGACTCTATTCTCTGTATATAGCTCTGTTTTCAATCTATAGCCAGAACATAAACTCTGTAGCTCTTTATTCAATCTATAGTCAACAGCATACAATCTCTGCTCTGTAGCTCTCTATTTAATCTATAGCCTTATGGAAGAATAAACTCAATACCATGTATCTCTATATTCAATCTGTAGCCTTAGGAAGCAAAGACACTACACTCTGTAGCTCTCTATTCAATCTATAGCCCTATGGAAGCATAGATAGCATAGACTCTCTCCTCTTATGGAAGCATAGATGTCTTGAGCTCTTAATTCTGTAAATATTCAATCTATAGCCAGAACTTACTTACATGCTTCTCAAGGAAGCATAGATAGTATGGTCTCTGTACTCCAGCTTTATTTGATCTGTAGCTCTTTTCAGTCTTTCTCATTTGGCAGAGATAATATTGTAGACTGTATTCTTTCAATTCAGTATGTAGCACATTCTACGTACATGCTTCTTTTGGAAGCATAGCTACTAGCATAGACTTTATACACCAGATTCATTTAATCTATAGCACAAATTCTACTAGTCCTATGTCATGAAAGCATAAATAATTTAGAATCTATACTCTGTAGCTGTAAATCTATTGCAACATCTCTACTTGCATACTTATTATGGCAGCATGAACAGTATTCACTTTATACTTCAGACAGATTGTATTATCTTTCAGTACAATAGTCAGTTAACATTACATGGCGTGGGTCAGTTGTCTGTGGGTAGGAGAGCTGAGTGTAGTTCATATGTCCTTGACCTGAGAGGTGGTCATTTATCTGACCTTCTTTATATTGACATGACTGACCAACCAATACTCAGTCCTGTTATTTTATTCATTTATAGCTCGGGCTCAGTAAAATTTGAGTGAAACTTTAAGAAATCTTGCAATATAACTTCTTCCAAATGCACAGGTTCAACAATGCTTGATAATCTGAGAAATCTCGGAATGTAACTTGTTCGAAATGTTCAGGTTAAACAATATCTAATTAAACTTTCTCAATCTTCTATAGAATGTTACTGTGTTCTCTAACAGTATTGTGTATTTCTCTCCAGGGATACATGTCATATATAAAGAGCCTGCCAATCAACGACACACCTGAGATATTTGCCCTACATGAGAACGCCAACATCACCTTTGCCCAGAATGAGACCAACGCCATGTTAACAGGCTTGTTGTTGCTCCAGCCCAAAACCTCGTCAGGGGGAGGCAAATCCAGGGAGGAGGTACGCTTAACATTACACACCTTACAGAAATCTTACTGGGATCTAAATCATGAACCATCTCCCATGTTCCCTCGAGGTCAAAAGTGGGCAATGCTTTAACAGTTGTTTTATGGCTTACTCATTAATATACTACTTAAAGAACTCATGATCTGAAGGAAGATGCTTGAGAAAGCATCTGTCTGGTGTTTAAAATGTTGGAATATTTTTAAGATATTGATTAAGCAGAACTTGATGTAAGATTTAGAGTTAACCTTAAGCTCAAGCCAATATAACATCTGGAGTTGCATCAGAAACAGGAAATCAGTTTAGAGAGATTGAGTACACCTGGTTTCGGATTATAGTACAAAGAACGGGTACACCTGGTTTGGGGGTATTTTAAAGAGAATGAGGTCACAGGATTGTAGTACACACGTTTTGTTCCTCTATTACTCATGTGTTGGTATTGTAGTACACATGTGTTGGGATTCTAGTACACACGTGTTGGTATATTGTAGGTTATGGAGGAGACAGCCAAAGAGATCCTGGAGAAGGTCCCCAAACCGATCCCCCTGGACCCCCTCAATGAGAAGTACCCCGTCATGTACGAGCAGTCCATGAACACGGTGCTGGTCCAGGAGGTCATCAGGTAGGTCACCCTCCAAATATACAACTGTCCTTACACTCAGCAGAGGAAGTAGAGTTACCTCCCTCAAAAAATACAACACAACCCCTAACACATCTCATAATCAGCAGTTACTACTACAAAGCACACCTCACTTAGGCAGAGGATTCAGATTTGAAGATTTTACAATGATTTGTAATTTTGACTAAATTCTAAGAGTTTTGGTCATGGGATCCAGAGTTTAAGGAAAATGAAACATGAAATTGTGATAACATTACAATATTTTTCCTGATTGTTATATAAATGTTTTGTGTGATGGTTACAGATATAATTGTTTATATGTCCTGATTGTTATATAAATATTTTGTGTGATGGTTACAGATATAATCGTTTATCTGGGAATTCTTTTTTTTTTCCATTAGTAGAATCCTAAGTCATGATATATCTTTTTAAAAATCTGAATCCTTAATTTTTATATTAATATGCAAGATCTATTTTTAAAGATTTTTTGTAAAGGGAGTTTAGTAACTGAAGGCCCTCAAATTTAAGGTGATTTCACGCAATGTAAACAAAGGATTATTTTTTGTGTGACAACTTTTGAATTTTGTATCTTTAAAAAGAAAAAGACTTTGGGGATATAATTTGACAAAAGTTGAATTTATGGACAATTATTTTTCAAGAGAACATGGCCAACAGCTTTCATAAAATTGTGATAACATTATAATATTTTTCCTGATTGTTATATAAATGTTTTGTGTGATGGTTACAGATATAACCGTTTATATGTCCTGATTGTTATATAAATATTTTGTGTGATGGTTACAGATATAACCGATTATATGTCCTGATTGCTATATAAATAAATGTTTTGTGTGATGGTATCACAGTCCTCTTTATTAACGCTGTGTCCACATATGTGAGTAATATCATTAATGTGAGAACTTTAGGTCTCTCGTTTACATCAAACCTCCTACGCTGATGTTTCAGAAAAGTATCTTTAACTTTGAATTTTTCTATAGGCGTATCCATCACTGAAGCCTCTCGCCTCCTGGGTGATAGATCTGGTCGCTCGAATGAAATTCATCAATGACTGGATAGACAATGGCATGCCATCCGTAAGTTAACTGTATTTATCACAGGCAGAATTCAGTGTCAGTTTAGTCAAGTGTTAGATTCTACTTTCTTACAAATCTGTGAGTAAAAAATTAAATTTTATGGTATTCTTGAAATTCCAAATGATCAATAATTTGTTTGCTAGCTTGATTATTTCTTAAGAAATATAAAGTTGTGTTTCTCAGTGTCAGGTCTTTGTGATGGGCTGTTTCATTTTCTTGTAGTTCAGAGTGTAAGCATTTTTTGTGATAGGGTTTTTATTTCACTGTAGGTGTACTGGATTTCTGGCTTCTTCTTTCCACAAGCTTTCCTGACAGGCACGCTGCAGAACTTTGCCAGAAAGAAGGTCATCTCCATTGATACCATCTCATGGGATTTCAAGGTAAAAATTCTGTACAGGAGTTGTGGCCCTTTCACTAAGTCACCTTTTGTATCACTCTGCAGTCAAGATAATAGGATTAGCAATAGATTAAAACAAATGATGAACAAAACTATTAATGAATTATTATACCGTTTATCTGTTTTTTTTCCCTGTGTTGGAAATTTTGCGAGAAAGTGGTAGATTTGTATGGTTTTTATTTTGCCTAAGTTATTCTTTATGACTGTAGTTTTTTTTTTAAATGGTAATGTTTTTATGTCACATTATAGCTGACATAATTTCTGCATGTTTTATATTTTGCGAATTAAAATTGATTGCAAAAAAAAAAAACGAAAAATAGATCATCGCAAAAAAAATAACCCAGATATATGGTAAGATTTTTTACATTTTCTGGGAAAGAAAGAATTAATTGCTATAGAAGTGTTTAACCTTATGTGAATCATCACATAAAATGAAGACAGTGTAAAGAATTTTCATTATAATTAGTTAATGTTTTACATTGTGTCACTACAGTTCAAGTTTCTTTATCATTTATTTGTTTTGTTTCCACAAACTGTTTCCATTATTCTAGGAAAACTTTGACTTATTTGAATATAAATCTACATCTGTAATATTTCCTTGAAAGGAAGAAATGGTGCACAGTTCACCATTTTGATAAGGTTCTTAGGTGTCAGTTTAAGTTCAGTCAGTAGTTTTCATTTGCTGTGGCAGGAATTTTCCCTAATAAATCTTTAATTTTTTCATATATATTCTTTTTTGAGTAGAAACATCAGAGTAGCATTATCAATACAGGTCAGAAGTTTCCTTGAGTTAATCTTATCTGTGAACCATTAGGTGTAAAGGAAGACATTATATAACTCCCACTAGTGACCTTTATCTCAGTCTAGCGGGGTCATTAGAGTCTAGCAGGGTCTTTATATCGTGGTGACACGTGTGGACAAACCATAACAGTCCTGGCCCAGGCACTTCTGATCCCTAAATTGGTCCAGGGCACCATCAGTTGTGTACAGTGATACTGATGTGAAAACTTAATAGAGACCATAATCAGCACACTTAAAGCGTCAATGTTTCTTGCTGTCGGAAGGCAAAGTTGAACTTTTAGTTTGACTTGTTTTTGTTTCAGGCCTATAAAAACAAGCATCATCAGAAAATCTATTATTTACATATTTTCATTTTGTAAAACATTTAATCCTTGCACGGTTAAATTTATCACAGTCAGCAAATTATCAGTTTAGCATTTGGAGAAGTTGGATGTTTTATATGTAGAGCCACTTATCATTGTGTCAGACTGAAGGCCTGGGGCGATACTGGAATCACTGTCACCTGAAGTGACACCGTACTAATTATCAGGAAGTCAATCCGTGCTCCTCTCCCCTTACACTTTACAGTAATGCTAATTATTTCAGTACTGATATGCAAAAAATGTGAATTTTATATAGGTTATGCTATTAATTAAATTATTTAAACAGACATGTAAAATCCTTTAGTTCAGGTATACCTGTACAATTATTAAAAAGGTCAACACTTGAGAAGCATGTTTACAGGTGTGTGTTCTAAAATGTTAACAAGCTTAAAATCTAAAAAGACATGACAGTTTGTATATCTCTAAATAAAATGAAGAAAATTAATATGCACGTGAGCGTCATTAACTTTGACATTGTCGGACATCCTCTCAAGACAGATTCTCTCTGACTTCCTCTTCATAGATCCTGCTAACAAATATATTTTCTATCTTGCCAATGTAACATGGGGATTGGTTTGGTATAAATATAAGCCCCCATTAGTATTAGAAGAAGTCCTGATATAGCGGGCGACATCTGCAGTATTCTGGGATTGTGTGTGTTGATTGGTCCTACACTCCCACTTTGTCGGATTGAGTCCCCAGCTGATGCAGTGTCGGTCCTTCTAATGGTGACACATGGCCCCTCTCTATAGCATGCCACAGTCTCGTATTGAGTTTCTGTCAGCCCCTTGACTTTCATATATCATTCCTATTACACACTGCCTCTTTTGTATGACATAGTGTAGCAGATGCTGGACATTGATTTCAGGTAATCGGGAACCAATTTTAGCTTCACTGGACTGTCCAGGAATATTGTAAAATACAATTAAAAAGAATGTACAACATTTGACATTTAAAAAATTGATTTATTATTTTGACAGATCCTCAATGTAAGTCAGTAGATACAGAGTAGCTGGTCTGACAGAGGGACCACATATAATGCATGCATGTTCAGGATGTATAATACACTATATTACTTCTCTCTCAGCAGTTTGTTGAACTATATTGTATCCTAGTTTGTATATAAATGGCCTTGTATTAATCAAGAGCTTCGACAAATTGTACATCTGTTCTGTAAGGCCATCCTTAAGAAATTGTTTGTTTGGAATTGCCACCTGAAGGGTTTCAGACACAGGAGGGAGGGAGGGAAATTATTTTTTTTTAATTGAAGATTTTAATTTTTGATAAAAATCTCAGTAAACAGTAAATACATTTTCTGACTTAAAAAAAAAGTATCTACCATCAACAAAAAACCTAAGTTAACATAGATCTGAAACTATATTTCATTGTTTTGTATGGTGCATGTGATACACATCATGGGCAAATAAATTGATGAAATAAAAAAAAATCTTCTTACTTTTGATCAATAAAATTTTTTGAGGAGGGGGCATTTCAGTGAGGCGGGAGGCAATTCCAAACAAACTATAATTTTATTTTGGCCTAAGCTGTAGATATTTCTGGTCTCATGGTTAGGGGCTATAGAACTTATTATCTGTCTTATGTATGCATGGTTACCGGGTTCTATGATGTAGAGTATAAATTTAGTATTTTCTGATACCTGTGAAAAATTTCACCGTCAAAATTATTATATGGTATTCAGTATACAAAATACATGTATAACTATGTTTTGGATACCAGGGGGTCGTCACTGTATTTTATGTTTAAAGATAATGAATATATAAACATGGGTATTCTTCTTATCAGTTAAAGACTGCAGGAAATGGAAATCAGATTTTTGTCAAAATATGCATTATATGATAAACTGAGGTGAAATTTTCCAAGAGAAGCATGATCATGTTTATTCAATATTCATAATATATTCTTAGTATACATGTTATAGACAGAATTAAGTCTCCTGCATGTATTTTTAAAATTCAGATTTTAAAGATTTGAATTTAAAATTACAAAACTATATTTTGTGTTCAGCATGTTATAACATGTAATATAATACAACCATTCTGATTGAAGTCTATGATATGTATAAAGTGCTGATGCTGGGATGTTTAAATGGTCTATTTTATGACATTTATATGCATTCTGTGTACCAGCTGTACTTTAGAACCTACAGCAATGGACACGGTTCAGTGAGGAAGCCGTGTTTGTTTAGTCCTGTCATGGATATAACTTTATTTCATCTGTTTGATAGATAATGAGAGTTATTTGTACTTCTATTCTACCTTATGAATGTTTTACCATTAAATTAAATGCCACTTTTAGTTTATATGGAACATTTCAGTGCACAGTACAAAGATTTTTACTTGAAGTTGTTCCAGTTCATTCATTTGAAACTGTCTAAATAGTACATTTGAAACATCAGGATACCTGAATCACCAGTTAAACAAGACAAAATAACATTTAAAAATATATAAATGAGTTATCGATCCACTGTATATAAATGAGTTTTGATTTACAAGGCACAAAGATTTAACCTTCAAAAAAGGAATTGCTAGGCTGAGAATAAAACTTACAGATAAATCCGGTTTGTCACTGTATTTGGTTTATATAAAAATTTTATTGTTTTTTACATCCTTTTCTACCTTGATGTGTGCAGGTGATGAGGGAATCCCTCTCTGAATTGTCCAAACAACCCGAGGACGGCTGTTACATCCGAGGCCTGTACCTCGAGGGAGCTCGCTGGGATCCCATCAAACAGATGCTGGCCGAGTCCCGACCCAAGGAGTTGTATGTGGATGTCCCAGTTATCTGGCTCATCCCCACCGCTAACAGGAAGAACCCAGACAAGGGAATCTACGAGTGCCCTGTCTACAAAACTCTCACTAGAGCAGGTATGACATCATAACTGTCCCCACCACCAAACTCTCACTAGAGCAGGTATGATATTAAATGACCCATCTATGACATTTAACTGTCCCTTCAAATATATACACTTACCGGTACTACAGCAGGTGACATGAAATCTACAAAGCTTTTTAAAGTTAAATTAAGATGACATTAAAACTGTCATATTTGGGAATCAACGAAGCCATGATTAGTAGTAGTTACAGAGTAAGCAGAAAATGGTAAAAGACATTTTGAAAGATATTGTTAGATTGTACATGTACATTGTATATAAATTCCAGAAATTTTACTTATTTTCTCTCTCCTTTTTTTCATGAAAAAAGTGGTGTGTGGGGAAATTCAGGTCATAAAAATATAAATTTCAAAGCTCATCATACAGATGGATTGAATAGAAAAATCTAGACAATTGATATTTTTTATGTTTTTACATTTTGGAGACAGACCCTGACTTTTTCACCTGTAATTTCCAGGAAGTCATTAATTTACTTTTTTACGGCATGTTAATGTGTTTCTCCTTAAATCAGAATTAATACGATGACATCCTCTAAAGCTGACCCCAAGTAAAGACCTTGAGAAACAATATCCTGGTCTGATGTAACCCGGGCTAACCCCCCCCCCTTTCCTTAAATCTTTGTAGACCCCCCCCCCCCCTTTAAAAAAAAAAGAAAAGAACAAATTCCTTGTGAGAGATTATTTTGACATTTACAGTTCAGTGAATTTTGTGACCCGTCTTTGACATCAGTGTATCAGTCGTTGTGTATACAGCATGTTTCGCCTCAGTACAAATGCGTCTCTCTCGTCAATACCTGATATTCTGTTATGATATTGATGACGATTTTCTCCTGTTTTGGCAGGGCTCTGTTATCGGGCCTCCATCAATGTTTAACCAGCCATCTGTGTAGTTTTATGTCAGACTGATAAATATAATAGCAGCCTATGTAGGGGGGACAGTTAAATTGTTTTGTTAGATCACTCAAGTAAATAAAGGAGACGTACACATAATTACCTTAAAAAAACATTAGAAAACTGAAGAAGTGGCGCAGATACTTAATCGTTACTACCAAAACTCAGTCAAAATTATCAAAAATTAAAAAACTTATTTTACAGTTTAAAAAAAAACAAAACAAAAACATTTTTTTAAAAATATATGTCTATGATAAATTATTAGACTCAGTGACACATTTAGAATGACATGTAACATAATATCAGGACTACTGATCAGTAATAACCCTGGGTATTTTATATTTTTACTGACAATCGACATAAAAAATGATTTCTACTACAGGTTTTGTTTACATTCTGTGTGTATATCTAATGATATTTTCTTTTTTAGGTACACTGTCCACTACCGGTCACTCCACTAACTTTGTGTTTGCAGTGGAACTCCCGACAGACCAACTCCAGAAACACTGGATCAAGCGCGGCGTGGCCATGCTGTGTGCCCTCAACTACTAACCGTGATATATGGACTGTGATATATACTTCTGTGGAGGACAGATTTGTGTGTTTTGTAAGGGATGTGGGATACCAGAAATTGGGGGGATATTTCCTGTGGTTCAGGATTCCTCTTGCTGGGGTCCTGTACCATCTTATTACTATATATCCCATCAAATCTGTGATAAAGACATTTTTGTTTATTTATGTAATTTTCAAACACTCCGTCCAATTTTAAATTATGAATTTATTTTTTCGTTTTTATTTTTTTTTTTTTTAATATTCTCTATTTTTTTGTGTTTTATTTTTAGCTTCATGCTCAAGTTAAAAGTTTGAATGATAATTTCCTAAAATTAAATCTATATAAAAGAAAAATATTTTCAATATTGACCAGTTACAAAAATAGACAAGTAAATTTATTTATCTATTGTTATTTTATGTAAGTATTTATACATGCTGGCCGGTTGTATAAGCTTAGTACTCTACTGAGCATTTTGGTGAAGAGATTTTAATTCATTATAAAGACCATATGGTGTCATGGGCCTGAAAACATTCTCCTCTTTTTCTGTTTTCTATGTAAATCTTCAATTATCGGATAATCAATTTTGGCAACAGCTTTCAAATATTCCAAACCTTTTCAGAAAAACTTATATTTTACTTAATACTTCCTCTGTAATTGAAATTGTTTTTGAATTTAAATGTTGAATGTTTAAAATTATTTTTTTTTTATTTAATGTTTGGAGTAAGAATAAAATTTTGGATTCAAATCTAAAATGTTGTTTTATGTTGAATTAAAAAATGGTGAATGGAAAATAATTGAGTTTGCACTTGCTACAATGTTAATGGATTGCAGTGATTACAATATCTATATACACAGTGATTACAATTTCCATGTACACAGTGATTACAATTTCCATGTACACAGTGATTACAATCTACATGTACACAGTGATTACAATCTACATGTACACAGTAATTACAGTCTACATGTACACAGTGATTACAATTTCCATGTACACAGTGATTACAAACTCCATGTACACAGTGATTACAATCTACATGTACACAGTGATTACAATCTACATGTACACAGTGATTACAATCTACATGTACATAGTGATTACAATCTCCATGTACATAGTGATTACAATCTACATGTACACAGTGATTACAATCTACATGTACACAGTGATTACAATCTACATGTACACAGTGATTACAAACTCCATGTACACAGTGATTACAATCTACATGTACACAGTGATTACAATTTCCATGTACACAGTGATTACAATCTCCATGTACACAGAGATTACAATGTACAAGTAAACAGTGATTACAATGTACATGTACACAGTGATTACAATGTACATGTACACAGTGATTACAATCTACATGTACACAGTAATTACAATCTACATGTACACAGTGATTACAATCTCCATGTACATAGTGATTACAATCTACATGTACACAGTGATTACAATCTACATGTACACAGTGATTACAATCTACATGTACACAGTGATTACAATCTACATGTACACAGTGATTACAATCTCCATGTACATAGTGATTACAATCTACATGTACATAGTGATTACAATCTACATGTACACAGTGATTACAAATTACATGTACATAGTGATTACAATCTACATGTACACAGTGATTACAAACTCCAAGTACACAGTGATTACAATCTACATGCAGTGATTACAATTTACATGTACACTGTGATTACAATCTACATGCAGTGACTATATGTTCTACATGAACAGTGATTACAAACTCCATATACACAGTCATTACAATCTGTATGCACACAGTGATTACAAACTCCATGTACAGAGTGATACAAGCTACATGTACACAATGATTACAATTTCCATGTACAATGACCACAGCAGCTGCATGTGTACATGTATATTGTAATCACTTTGTACATGTAGTTTGTAACCACTGTGTGCATACAGATTGTAATGACTGTGTAAATAGAAATCTTAGACCTTCTAATGGATAAGAATATTTGGAAAATGGTTATAATTTTTCCTCATTATCGCTTGAATTTATGCTTTCAGTGAAACTCTGCTGTTAATATGATTGACCAAGATTTAGTGGCTGGAAATGGAATTTGTTACTAAGCTACTTGTGGAGATGTAAATGGGATTAAAATCAAGAAAAAAATGAAATGACTAGGTCATCTAGAAATACAAATACTCTTTTTTTTATTTTCAACATAATTTTCATTCTTGGACTAAAAGGAAAAGTCTTTAAAGGGCAGTAACTCTTGGCTTTCCATTGTAGAGATACAGAATATAGATACTATAATTTGCTTTATGTATACATTTACAATAAAATAAATTTGAACAGGTATCTATCTAGTTTAATATGTTCTTCAGGTCATGTCTAACCTTAAAAGAAAAAAATGCATATATATGAAAGAGATCTAGAGTTCCAATGGCTTATGCTCTGGAAAAGCCTAGTAAGCTAATCTGCTTTCGAAAGATTAACTTTAATTTAAAGCATTATAAGCTTGAATTTCTTATGGACACAACTTTTTGAAGTCATTTGTATTTTAGCTGTAAATTATGGGAAACAAAGGTGTACTGACTGCTAGTCTGTCTATTCATCCATCCTGAGTATGAAAATTTATAAAACTTGGGGCTAAAACAATCTTGTTAGTAGACATTCTTTTTTATTTTTATTCTAAATCCACAAAAATATAATTCACCACAGACCATCATAGTTTTTAATTATTTTCTTGAAATAAATATAAAAACTTGTGGGTGTGTGAATGAAGGGTATTTACCTTTGCCTCGGATTGGCCAGAAATATGTATGACGTCAAAAGCCCCATTTCGCTCATTATCATGTTTGTATTCATTCGCAGCAAGGGGAGTCCCAATATGTTTGAACCATACCAGTTTTAATCAGGACTTTTCTACATGTCAGCTGATACATTATTGCCATAGAAAAAAAGTTTTAATGTAAAAACAATGTTTATATCACACAGATTCAATTTTAGGAATAAATCAATTATTTATATGCATCTCTAAATTCTTGTGCGGATTGAGATTTAACCGACAGTTATTCGTTCAGTGTGTTTCACGGTGTGAAACAGACAAGATTGCGACAGAAACGGAGAGAACGATTTTTTCGGACTGACCCCTCGGAAAACGACTTATCCCTCGAGGCACACCCTCCCGGGACATCTGACCATGGACATTCTATACGATAGTGACCACAAACTCGGCGAAATGGAAGACTCATCAATGGGAGAGATTCTAGATCACGAAAACTTTCAATCCCCAACTTCACTGGTCAGTAGGCAGATTTTATTATTTACTTCCAGGGTACATAAGAGTTCTAAAAGTGTCAACATTTATATTATTGTTGCATGTTAGTGTCAGAAATCGTAACTTGAAGTGATAAGAGTGGTGAAATTTTGTCGTAAATTGATGTTTGTTTCAAAACATATGTTGCGGGTAGAACGTGCGTTTGATGCGGGTAACGCCCATTTTACACCCGAGTCATGTGTATTGGAGTTGTATAAGTCAAACTTCAGCTGGAAATTGTTTTATTCTCACGATATCTGGTAAAAACAATTTTAAACGATATCATGGGAAAGTTGCGGTCGGCTCACGTGGTTTTCAACGAGGCATAACTGGTATACATATATCGAATTTACTTACTGTAGTGAAATAGGTGCTTAAAGTCTGGTGTTTTAATTGATGTGCCATGGTTCAGAGAAACTCACTTTAATTCACTTGAATAAAAGACTGGCTTTGATAAGGGAGGCATTATTATTTAAACATCATGTTTGTTTTGACAATGTTTATTTTTATGGTATCGAAAACTGCAGAGAACATATCAACAAAAAAATAACATCAATAATATTTTGACGGATTAACAATGTATATCTGCCCTGGGGTAGGGATTTCAAAGGACATAAAAGTGCTATCTGAAAAACAAACATCTTGAGAAATGATGTAATGTGTTAGAAAGATTGATAAAGATCTTAGTCGGGGTTGCCTCACGGATCATATGCAGATTAGTTCAGTTTTAATTTCATTGCTGCGAGTCCTGCACAAAGTGAATTAACAAGGGAAGCATTAATTTCTTATGCGTGCATACTTTATTAAATTTATGTCGACCTGGCTATAAATACTAATAATAAAATAGAATTTCTTCGTTACCCAAAATTGCTGTTGAATAGATGGATGCATTTGGTCATTTTTCCTCAAAAGTACATTCAATTATTTTTAGGAATTCTGACAGTGTAAAATTTTGACCAAAATTGATGAAAAAAGCTTCTATTAAATATGGGCACAAAAATGCTGGATAGGCAAAATCATGCAGTAACTGATTTTAATCAGTGAATATACAAATTAAATCATTAATAGATAATTCATTCATTTTATTTTGAATACATGTATACATCTTTTGCTCAGTACAGACAATATTTATGGTATATGGTCTGTAATTTGTTGCTGTTAGATTTAGTGTTATAGTATTATCACCCAGTTATCACTTAGGACACCCAATTAAATATAAGTACTATAGCCTGTGCAGCAGTGAAATGATTACTGTGGATTGCCCAATTACTGCCCCTACCCCCAGGGTCAATGTGTCAGGTTACATCATCTAATGACCTGAACATTGTCTACTATAAGGATACCTTGCCCGTAACCATCATAACTGTTTATATTGTAGAGAAAGCATTATAGAAACCTCTCAATGCATATCAGTAGCTCTGTTCCTTTTCCCTGATTGTAAGAGTTGTCCCCCTTGAGTGTGATTTGGGATTTTTAATTCTGTGATGTTCCTATACACAGCCCAGTGTTAAGATGCCCAAACGAAAGCGAGAATTTAGCGGCTGCGACCAACTGATCGAGGAATGCATCCGATTGGATCAGAAGGTACTGGGTCTGAGAGGGTTGTTACTAATCTACTAATACCAGGGTCTGGTCTGCTGTGTAGTTAGTAGTCAAAGGCTTTTCTTTCTGTTGCTGGGAAAGGGAAATTTTCAATGTATATGACACCAAATACATTAATATCATTTCCATCACTTTCTTAGGATTGAACTTCCTGAAGTGAAGTAAAATAGGGGCGCATGTCTGATTATTTTATATTCATGAATTACTAAGTGTATATTTGAGACATTTATTTCAATACATGTACATTAGGAGATGATCTTTGGACTGAGCTTTTTGGGATTAATTATTAGATTTTTAGTGCCTTTTTACAACTAACTTGACAGTTTGGGGATAAGTAAAGAAATGGGGATTACAGCAGGGGCATAGGTAATCTTTGTTCTTCCTGCATCAATTACAGGATTACACAAATCTTTATAGCTTTCAGCAGTTTGTGTTGTTTCTAGTTATCTTGTTCAAATCAAGGATTTTAATTTGAATTACAGGCAAGTGCTCTGGGCAATTGATAGTCTGTATAACATTAACAACCAGAGTGGTCTTTCTATGAGCAAGAAAGCTCAACAATTTTGTTTATGATAAAAATTGGAAAAGCTACAAAAACTCTTAGAAGAGCTGTACATCCTGGCAATTGTAAAAATATGTAATATGAACACTGTCATAGCAATATGGAAGCTATATTGTAAATTTTGAAATGATTGCTGTATTTTTTACGGAGTCCTCATCCTACGTGAATTGATTTTCTGATGAAATTTTCGTCCCACGGAGTGATGGTAACATAATCTGATATAATAATACAGAGAAATGAAGACATCTGTCACAAGATCAATGTATGTTAATGTAGAGATGTAGACCTGATGTAACTGTGTGATATTTGTTAAAACTGATGAGACAGAAAATGCAGTTTATTTCAATGAAAAAGTCCCCAGCAGCTTCATCAAATTTGAAAGTAAAATTCCTTCAAGTTGATACCATTTGTTTTATATATATAAACTTTCTGTGGTTAGAATTGCTCTTTATTTACTTTTTTTTTGAAGGATAAGAGTTTGAACTGCATGGAAGTGCATCTTCAAATTTATAAAACATAATTGTGACAATTTCGACACATCCTCAAGTTGTCCTGTGGCTGTACTTTAAAAATTTTGATTGTGAAATTTCTTAACTTTAAAAATTCTGCTTGAAACTTGATTTCAGTTTGTATTTAAAATCGGCGCATACAAAAGTCGTAGGTGCGTGATTAGAGGGACTATTTTAAGATTTAAACCTCGCTAGGGAAAAATTAGCCGCTACCCTGTGACAACTACACATGTTTGGTTATATAAATATATTTTTAAAGTTTCAAAATAAATAGTAGCATGCTCAACAATCATGAAGCTTTAGGCTTGACGTCACAGATGTGTTTTGAAATAGGTGTCAGGTTTAATATTTAGCGTACATTGTCATCCTTGGAAAAGAAACCCTGATTGTTTTCTACACATATAAATGAGAATCTAATCAGAGATGTACATAAAAATGATGGACAGCTAATGGGAAGGAAACATTAGTGTTGTGGAGACAGACATGAAAATCCTGGAAAAACCTCCTTATGTCGTATCCTTGAGATAGGTGTAGATTACATAAGGACAGGAAATAAAAGGCATATCCTCCCCCTCTACTGGTATTGACAGGAGGGATTTAATGGCTGACAAACAGGTTAAATCCTGACCAATTCCTGTCTCAGTCTGCAGAATTTCCTCCGCATGACTAAACAAGTGTAACGGTTTACCTGTACTAATTAGGATGCCGAAGTGGGAGAGAGTGGAAAAGGGGGAGGGTGTTTAATGGCATCCATTAAGAATGTAAACAACAGTAAAGGCCCAGAGATGTGCAGAAAAAGGGTTAGTGATGGGTTATCTACCCTTAGGTGATAAGCTGAATCAGATACTCTACTCAGTCCACTATTCCTCTTGTAACAACTAACATGCATTTTAACCTGATTTCATATTCGACTAAATAATAAGAAATTAGTTCATGAGTTGATCAGATACTATTAAGACATTAAAGAAATTCATATTAATTCCAAACTCTTTCAAAAAACAAAAGTCAAATTTCATAAGTAAAAACATATTTTGATACACTCCCCTAGATATTTCAGCCTCCCTTCACTCTTAATTAATATCGGAGGTGTTTTGATACTCTCCTCAAACCAGAGAAATGAAGATTAGTGATAGAGTCTTTGAACTTTAATCATGGGGGTGTTCAACTTAAGTGGGGGGTTAAATATTTGAGATGAACTTTTTGATTTTGTATGGGTAGTCCATGTGTTACTGGACCTTGCCTTTAGTTGGACTCTGGTATGCTGCAAGCTACATTTAACATGTCAACACTGAACAGGGCCTCAGTCAGGTGGTTGTTTGTTCATCCTTAGTGCGAGTCTCATCATATAGCTGTAAAGCTTGCAGGGTCATTATCTACAGCGGGGATGGTACAGAAAAAGTTGTACTGATATAGTACTGTAGCAAATGTAAATATTTACATTCATTTCAAGCTGTGATATAAATAGAATGTGTGGTAATAAAAAAAAAGTAGATGGACTTGGCATTGTAATCAAGTTAGGACAGAGAGCAATGTGCAAGCAGCAACCCAGGGTACAAGTTCCAATCTTCTTGCATCACTTCCATCAATTTAGCTTTATGACTTCTTTTATGAATAAACACAAGAAAAAAACTTGCTACTGGTTATGTTTTTAAATAACGTGTGTAAGTATAAAGTTAACATACTTCTGGAGGTAGTAAGATGAGGATCTGGAAGGTCATTGTCCGACATCTATGTCATGAAGACAGAACTATCAGATGGGATATGCAAATAAAACATTGGACTTTTTATTACTGGTGGTTTATATGAATATCTTGTTTAGGGATAGTGAGACCAGAAGGCTGTTGTCTGTGTGTGTGAAGACCGTTTGTGTTATCATTGTGTAGTAGCTGGGAGAGGAGCATGTGTCGGACAGACCCAGGGTCACCGATAACACACACAATAGTCGCACAAACAGTCGCACAAAGTCAACAGGAAAATCTACAAACTTACAACCAAAATATTCTCCATATTAATTTACACACAGTAGTCACAGGTCGTGGTCAAATCTACAAATGACTACCAAAATATTCTTCATAATTTGCACACAGTCGCAAGTCTCAGTCAAATCTACAAATGACTACCAAAATATTCTTCATAATTTACACACAGTCTCAAGTCTTCATCAAAGGAAAATCTACTTAAGCTACCACCAAACTATTCTCCATAATCACACTAGAGCAGTGAGGGAATTTCCTTAAATCCTGAGAGAGAAAATTTCCTCACACCCTTAAAGTAGAAATGGACAAAGCCCTCTCCTTCCATCACCTCTTGCACCTCAATATTGGGCATGTGTAAAAACACAAAACATGATTATGCATTGCTATTTTAGTCTATGTGTATTAAAGTAAATAGATATTTGTGGGAGTTTGAGCAGTCTCCAACATTAAATTAGTTGGTAAAGCCTCCGAACGAAACCCATGAACACTTTAAGTTATGTAACAGAGGATTCATAGTGGTGTGTTTTTGTTTAAGTTTGTCAAAAAGAAAAGAAAAACATTGCAAAAAATGTTAAACACCAAATAACAAGATCATGAGTCTTCGTGAGAAACTGAGCACTTGGTTTGTAAAGTGTTTTGCGTAGTAAACTTTCCACATGGCCTTGTCTGGGTTTGATTTTTGTAGGTCACTGACTGAGATATAAATCAGTAAAAACAGCAGCAATTACTACTGGTAAAATAACACACTTATATAGGTGAGTTATTGAAAAGTTCCTAAACAATGCATCATAAGATGCAACATAGTGGCTATACTCTAGAAATCTGATGACTGTTGTTCAATTCAGAAAAAAAAATAAGAAAAGGAAGAAGGGGGTACATTGGAGAGAAGTCATTTTCCCAACAAATGTGTCACAAGCTGTTCACCCTTAGTCAATATAAAAAAGGCCACCAGCTTTCCTATGCTTTACAAGATGTAGGGAATATCAATCATGTTCTATAACTCTATAATCTTCAGCTGTTTACAGATCTGGTTTGTTGATTATTCAAGATAGCCATTTGTTCCTTTGTTAAGATGGTTACCATGGTAATATTCAGTGCTGCATCACTTCTGCTGATGTGGCAAAGGATGGAGAAAAAAAACATGGCTGACGTCCAGTGAAAAAGTTGTAAAGTTTGAAAAGTTATTGAAGTTTAATTGGTCTGATGTGTGTTTTTAGTGAGTGACTGTGAGATAGACAGTCATGGTGGGGACCTCAACTGTTTACACGGGGGACTTTATGTCCTCCCTGGATCTTTTATCTTCTGAAATCCAGCATTTCTTGGTAACTATGTTACTTTACTGGGATTTAACTGACTAATTGTATCATATGTTGTCAGAGGATGTGCACCTCTCCACAGTGATTACAATGACATCAATTTTAATTATTTTAAACCAAAAATGGGAAAAAACATTTTAAAAAAGGAAATTTTGTGTCTTGAAGTTTTAATTAAAAAGAAATTTTCGAATCCAGACTTTTCAAAAGTTATGTCCCTTAGCCGGCATCTTTAGGGAAAAAACCCATAGAATCCTTTCAGTAGCCTTTGTAGTTTTCTGGTTTGTAACTTTGTCATCTGAATAAAAAAAATCCTGTGCATCTTATATATTGATTGTCCCAATCTGGGGCTACACATATATCTAGCGAAAAATTTAAACAGAGTGGATTTCTCAGAGCATGCCCAAATGTTTGGAAGCTTAAAGAGGAGAAATGTCATTTCTTTCCCTTTTGGTTGAATCCGCAAAGGGACACAACTTTTGCACAGTGTGGATTGGAGTATTATACATTTATTGTTCTGTAATAATTTTGTTTTAGAAAAATATGTGTGTATGACATGAGATACGAAAAGCATAGAAAAAGTGGATGGAAAATTGAATTACTCATTAAACATTTTAAACAGGCACAGTACTTTAAGATTTAATGAAAAAAAACTTACAAAAACTGAAAAATAGTAAATTGTCAAAATACATATGGGGACCTTTTAATTATTTTCAACAAAAGAACGCCATGATTTATGGCCCCCTAAATGAACGATTAAGCAGGAGTTTGATATACTAATTTTCATCGTAAATGATTAAATATTCAGTGTTTAAAAAATAAGAGAATTGGTAAATAAATCATAAAGTCTATGAGAAAAAAAATGTAATTCCGTTTACGATCGAGTTTTTCAGAAGGATAATTTTTTGTCAAAATATTGACAGTGTCATATATGTGTATGAAAGCCGTGTTAAATGTCAAAAAGTCTTCAAGGGTGAAAATAATGGCTGAATTGTCAGAACATGGGAGAGAAAGTATAAAATGAATCCTGGAGATGATTGGTCAGAATTGGTCGTTGTTTCTCCCCGTGGAGAAACAAAAGATGAACATTTGAGGACAGGGATGCGATAAAGCTATCAACACACACTCTTCCTGAATGCAAACTACGATAAATTTTTGATAGATATTGATATTTTTTTGTTCAGTTGGTAATAAAATGAAAACACGGGGAGGCCAAAGTTTTGTATGGACCTCTTAATCAATATACACAGGTGTATACAGGTGTATAGGTTCAGTATGTATAATGTCGATTACCCTAGAAGATAAGTATGATATACTCCATGGCAGTTATGTCTCACGGCCAGGTGATTTAAACTTGTAAGGAAACTGCAAGTCAGTTTATTATGATTAGCATTGTAAAAACGGGGGACCGGCCAAAGAGATTTTGTCCAAAGAGTGAAAAAGCTTAACAATGTTTTTTAATAATGTTTGATTGATTGATAATAGGTATTAGATTATATAGTTATAAAAGGGCAAGTTTTAAATTCTTTGTGTGACCCCGTTGTATAACTGCTCAGTACTAAATGGACATAAGTATGTGTCTATCAATGCTATTTAATTCTGATTGGTATATTGAAAAATTTCAACACATTAAGTCAGGATACTACAAGCTTGTACATATATGATAATGATAAATAACTTGATATTGAGATTTTAGAAGACATTTCACATTTTAATTGACCTCTGTATAGGGGAGGCACTGTATTCATTGTCTGAAGGTAATGAAAACGGAGGGGGGCTATGAAAAGTAAAAACATACAAATTCTTTGAGATATATTTTGACATATGTTGTTGGTTATATTTCCAGAGCTCGGATGGATACATGGATAATGATTGGCTGGACAGTTTATTTGAGGATCCGGTTCTGAACGACAAGATGATAACGGATGCTGTACAACCTCCGCGGATTCACTCGGAACACAGTTACTCCATTAACGACAGTGTACCGTCGTCTCCGCTTGGACTCGGGAAACTCGAAGGTAAGGACCCGGGATGATATCCAGACAGAAACGGACCAGAAATGTTTATCGTCAATTACTGCTCGTAATGACAACTCCACCCACTAAGTAGACAAACAGACTTGGATCCACCCAACCATTAAACTTTTACCTTTGTTAATGGGGTAGAACAACTTTCATAAAAAATGTGTAATTGTATATGTGTAAAATTGAAAGGTATAGAAAAATAAGACATTGAAGAGCAAATAAACAGATAAAGAATTATTTAGGTAAATTATATCACATTCCTGTTTAAGTCTCAGAGATGTGCATAATTAGCATTCCTGTTACCTGAAATTTAAACACTATGACCGTCTACTTGATACTTTTCGGGGAAGGAAAACTATTGAATGACAGAAATTAATGTACTGTTCAAATTTATCAGAATATCTGTCCTAATGAGCGTTCTCTTGGAGTCTTGATTAAATTCCTGAATTAAAGAGCCATTGACCTTTATTGTTAGAGCCATCGACCTCTATTGTTTGTGATGTAAGAATTACATGGTACAAAGTCCTATACCACCATATCATTAGGGGAAAAGTTAAGTTGTGTACTCCTTGTAAAAGTTAGTACATAAGTATAAAGATTGAACACCATTCTGATCTGAGAGATCTCTCAAGCTTGTGAATAAATCAGAAGGTCATAATTGATGGAGCTCTGACAGGCTGTTTATAAATTAGATTTATTAATGAGAGTGTAGAACTTGTTGACTGTAGCTTGTACAGAATGTTTTTTTTTTTCTGCTGTCCTGCCATTATAACCAATATCCTGCTGCCTCTGTCAGCCTGAAACTAGGATCAGATAACATTGGACACAGGGTGTCCTAGATATTGTAGAGAATGTACCCTGTAGACCCCCAGGTGTAGGTAAAACATGAGGGACTGGAAATAAAAGCTGTATTTAGAAATGTACCCTGTAGACCTCAAACAGATAAAGAGTTCCTGTTAAAAATTACTGTCTACAAAAATATTAGATATAAAATAGATTAACCCCAAACAGGTACCTTAATCCAGAGTTTCAGTAAATAAAAGCTCTAAAAAGCATTGAATTTAGATCTCTCGGCCCCTTCCAAAAAAAGGTAGATAGTTCCCCAAAAATGTACTAGGTAAATTAGGTATATATGTCTATTTTTGAGATGGGCACTATTTTAGCAACAGATAAGAGAATATAAATATTTTCTAATATCCTGGTTAGCTCCGATTTGGGATTTTTCCTGACTCAGTTGTGTGGCCTTCAGTAGGCAGAAAAGGTTTGATTACCTACCAAGTTTAATTAAAGGTGTTCAAAAGTGAAAGGTGATCAGGAAAATAGATCCATTTATTGCCTGCTGAATGAGCCAATCGATTGATTATTGATCTGTCGGAGTACCTTTACAGCTGATGGTCTATTGTAGTGAACAGAGTTAACCTCAAAGAAAATTAATGAATAAAGATACACACAGATGTTTATAGCTTATAAATTATCAATACCTAGAGACTTGCAAAATTTAAAGCATGCCATGGCCTACTTTGCTAGTCTGGATAACCATTTTTCTATTGATATTATTTAGTACTAAATGTATTTCATAGATGATAATGAAATGTGAAACTTCATAGATAAATAATAAATTCATTCTAATAGATAAAAAAATCTTGAGTCCTTCAAGCCTACCAGTTAATAGGTTAAGAGTTTGTTAATATTCACAGTGCTTTTTTTAAGATAACACTTGGATTTTCAGTAAAGAAATAAAATAATTACACTTGGGGTGGGGTGGGGGATCAAATATTTGGGAAGGTAGACCAGTACTTTGCTTAGGTAATATGTCTGTATTTATCCTTATTTTCAGATGTGGAAATCTCTTAGACTAATTAATAGATAGTCATGTAAAATATTCTGCCAACATTTCAGATTTGGATAGTGAATTTTTTGGAAGCAATCAGGCTTTAGACCTCACCAACAAAACCAACCTGACAACCGGCGGACAGGAAGTGACCATCAAAACTGAGTTACCAGAAGTGGAACCGGTGGACCCGATGTTAACCACAGTGACTACCATGACAACCCGGACACTGACCGTGACAAAACAACCAACCATCATTCTGGCCGCCTCCCCCTCCCAGCTCCAAACCCAGCACTCCATCTCATCACCCATAGTAACCATCAAAACGGAACCCGTGGACCCCTTGTCTGAAGCCATGGAGCAAACAGGTGAGCTACAGATTATACCTGAGCAAACAGGTGAGCTAATGATTATACCTGAGTAAACAGCTGAGCTACAGATTATACCTGAGCAAACAGGTGAGCTAATGATTATACCTGAGCAAACAGGTGAGCTACAGATTATACCTGAGCAAACAGGTGAACTATAGATTATACCCGAGGAGTTTTAATGATTTTCAGACCTTTATTTGAAAATTACTGCTCATTAACACTAGATATTGCAGTATATATACATGAACTTTCACATTTATCCATTAATCACATGATAAAATCTGTAATTCCACTGCTTTACAGAATTTGATGCAGACTTGTGTACAGAGATACAGCATTGTATTAAAAATTGTTTTAATTAATCTTTAAATATGGATTTTCCCTCCTAATTTGTAATTATAAATAGCCCTTAACTTGTGTGTTAGATAGAATGGCTCACTTTTTTACCTGGGAACAGACTTGGACAATAGCTGCATTGTTTTCAGTGGAACATTAATTATGCACATTTTTTTCGATACATTTCTGTAGAATTATGTTAATGAAGCATCTACCATTCATATTGGGCTTTTCTACTGTACTTTTATTCATACATAAACTTGATAAGGTTGATGACTACAGTGTACTAATAAACTTGTCATAACTAGATTTCTATAAATGTCTGTGGTGACGTCTGGAATATTAGACAGTCAGTTTTAAAACCCTCCACAGTAGTACAAATACTATACATAAGTCATCAGGCAATGATACAAGTCACTTTTGTTAAACACTTATATAGCCACAGTGGAGTTGGTACAAATACACTGATTACATACAGCTTTCATATAAATGTAAATATTGGGAAATTATTCACATTTTTCTACTGAAATGAGTCACAAGAATTGTAACAATATACCATAAAAGCTGCACTTGAGTCAGGAAATAGATTCATTTTGCTGAAAATTTAATTGTGACTACAGTAATTTGTACTTAGGTATTATAGTCTCATAAAAAGTTGAAGGTTTCATAAAACTTAGAAACTGATCAGCCAGGGCATTGATACATGAGGCTCTTACACTTATAATGGTAGGGGAAAAAACCCACTGGTATTATAACGTAAGACGACTGTTGCTGATGCCATATCACTCTTAGCATTATATCAGATATAAATGATATCATTCAGTGGTTGATAAAGCATGACCCTTAAAAACAAGATCCAGTATTTTATGGCAGATTTTAATCACTTTTGTTCATGAAACTTTTAACTGTTGATAATTTAAATTGTATCTCAAGAGTACTCTGAGGACACCTGCTATTTCACTAGGGCACCTGTTTTGATACCTGATTATTGTTTTACAGTAAATGTGGACAGCCTGATCATGCCCCCCACACCCCCCAGTAGTGCCTCCAGTGACAGTGAGGGGGGACAGAGTCCTCAGCAATCGGCGCCCTCTAGTCCGGTCCGACAACTGCCACACTCGCGTCATTCTCTCTCCCCCAACAGCAAATCATACTCACAACCATTGTTCACCAGTCCGGTAAGTTATCTCTCCCTAATGACACTCTTCTGTGTCTTGAAACTAACTTCAACAATGTGTTCTAATAACATACACATTTTGGAGAGTTTTCTTTTTACATTATTAATGATTAAATATCTACTCATTTAGTCATTGGTTCTTGTGTATCAGGAAATTTTTTTTTACAATTCATTGTAACTCAAATTCTACTTCATATTGCAGTGAAATAAATTAAATATTATACATGTTGTTGTAGATTCCTCAGTCAGGTCTCCTTATCTTATCTGAAGAGGAAAAAAGGACTCTCATCTCGGAAGGTTACCCCATACCAAATAAACTCCCCCTGACAAAGCAGGAGGAGAAAAACCTGAAAAAGATACGCAGAAAAATTAAAAACAAGGTACAATTCAGACAAGGTGTAGTTAAAGGTATTTGGACACAGATTTGAAGTGAATATTTTCTGTATAATATCACGAATTATATATTTTAAAAGCATTTCACACAAAAATTATATATCTTTTTTTCAAAAGTTCATTCAAATTTTTTGGCAGGTTTGATTGACACAAATCACACATCCTTGCACTTTCACAAATTTTAATTTTATTCTTAATACTTAAAAGTTATCTAGAAATATTAAAACTTTGCTTCAAACAATTTTATTCAGAGTAGAAATGTTACAAAGCAAAATTCCTTCACATGTACCGTCATTCCGAATTAAGTCTTGTGTGCAAATCGATCACACTTGTGTTATGTACCCAGTTTTTGTAAACAGGGCAAGAGCTCTGTTATTGTTGATTGTTAACGATTCACCATGTGTGTTCAATCGTCAAAGTCTGCTCACCACAACTGCATGGACCGAGAATATATATTGTGTTTGTCTTGCTTTCGAACATGTCTACTCTGATTTTTCTGGATTATCGTATTAATATTTTTCATTTATACACAATAAGATTGCCACTTTTCCTAAGTATTAAGAGTAAACTTAAAATCTGTGAAAGTGCAAGGATGTGTCAATCAAACCCGCCAAAAAATTTGAAGTTTTAATACCTTTTAAACGAAATAAGATTTTTTTATTAATTTTTGTGTGAAATGCTATTAAAATATATAAGTCGTAATATTATACAGAAAAAATTACCTTCAAATCTGTGTCCAAGTACCTTTAAAGAGGACAAAACAAGATTAAACATCATTCAAGGAAATCTGAAATACATGGAAAACCTGTAGTTACAGTTACATTTACTGTATTAAAAGTGATTGGAAAATTTTCATAGGAGTGGGTGTTCACAAGATCCAGAAAAAAATAGCTTTGTATTAGTTCTAGGTAGGAAATACATTCTAAGGGAAGTAATCCATGAACACAAATGATATAAAAACATAATGACTTGATAATACAGAGAGGTTTTATTTTTCAGATCTCTGCACAAGAAAGCAGAAGAAAGAAAAAAGAATATTTAGAAGCTTTAGAGAAACGGTACATTTTATTTGAAGTCTTAATTGATAGTCATTCGAAGGAATTGATTTTCTCAGCTTAAAAAGAAATACTGCAGTATTTTCACTTCCTTTCATACTTCTGATCATAATTGTTCTTCTTTATGCACCATCTTACATAAGGGCAAAAATTCATGTAAAATTTTCTCTGTACAATTCTGATATACCGTAAAAACAGTTTTCCTGTTTGTGTCGCTGGGTTCTGATGTAAACTTTCTCTCCTGGCAGGGTGGAAGCTTTCTCTCAGGAGAACAACGATCTGAAGAAGAAAGTGGACTCATTAGAGAACAACAACCGGTCACTGCTCGGTCAGTTACAGAAACTTCAGGCCCTGGTGGGAAAGGTCTCCCGACATGGGGGTACTACGACACAAACAGGAACAGTGCTAATGGTAAGTCTGGGGAGTAGAGAAGGGGGGATCAGACCCTGAGGGGTGAGGTCTCTCGGCACCGGGGGGGGGGGGGGGGGTGTAGAGGCATAGGTCAATAGGTCATGGTAAGTTTAGGGGTAGAGGAAGAGGGAAGGGGGCTGTAGAGATCAATAGGGCTGGATAGTCAAAATGTGAAACATCTTATGTAAATTTCTTTTAGCGTACTTCTGTAAGCCCAACATAAGATGTAGTAAGATGTTCTTGTTTTAGGTGTTGGTGTTACACTTCTGTAAGCCCAACATAAGATGTAGTAAGATGTTCTTGTTTTAGGTGTTGGTGTTACACTTCTGTTAGCCCAACATAAGATGTAGTGAGATGTCTCTGTTTTAGGTGTTGGTGTTATGCTTTGCCGTGTTTTTGGGGAGCTGGACTCCTTCGTCCTTCAACATCGGCTATTCCTCGGGCTCAGCAGCAATGGAGGGAATGTCGTTCTTCGCTAATCCTCGCCTCATGGAGCCGGGGATAAAGATGGGGCCCTCTGTACAAGACGCCAAGGTGGACATCTACTCCACCCCATCTAGTAAGTATGTGTGATTTATTCCTATTTATGTAAAGGGGCTTTTCATTGGTGGAGATGGAGGTTAGAGGTCAGCAGCATGTGGTAATTCCCCTGCGCTTGTTACATCACACGTAAAAGATGCAGCAGTCTACAGGTCTTAAAAATTTGATTTGCTCCACTGCTTTCATAATTAGTGTCTAATTGTGACATAAATATGCTGATCTTTTACACGTGATGTCAGGAATTGTTCACCTTTGTTTGGTCTATCTACGTTTCCTTCTGTGATTTTCTCTGAGAATTCTCAGCCTTGGGTCACACCCTCTCTCTGCATGTTTTTTTTGTTCGTTCTTTAAAGCACAAGTTCTTGAATTTTGATTTAGATATCGTATTTCATTTTGGATTTAGGAATCCAAACGAAACACTACACTTCAAATCTCAGTATCTAAGTACTGGAATTCTAATGATAATAAGTGTAAAAAGAACATTTTTGATCTGCTGTACTTAAAATTCAGCTATAGAAGGTTGGTTGTAACGTTCACTTGTTTTATTTCAGTGAAATCTCGAGTTCTGCTGTCCCTGCGAGAGGAGGAAGACTTGACTTGGTATCACCCGTACGGCCCTCCCACGCCGCGAAGCCAGCAAGAATTCTCGGATCCTGAGAGGGAGGGCATAGAAACAAACCAAAAGGACACAAATCCATCAGAGCCAGTGGTGGTAGGGCCCCTGGAGGTGGTAACTGTAGACCAGAGGCTCCACCAGGCCAACTGCTCCTCCCGAAAACACGCAGGGGATGTCCACCCCGATATCTCCGGTCCTATAGGACTCAGGAATCCGTGTATAGAACGATCCGTGGAGACAGAAACGTCCTAAAGCTTCTCGCGGGCATTACACCACACGACAGACTGTATTAAGTGCTGCTATTTCTATTGTGGATTACTACTACTTTGGGGACTTTATTATCCATTTAGGTTGTTCTCTGCTTTTCATTTCATTTTTTGAGAGATTTTGTCTGTCTCCTTTTTTCAATCTTTTTTTTTAGATTTTTTTTTTTACTTTCATTTTGCCCTTTTTTATGTTCTGGAGGTTTTTTGTGTAAGGACCAGGTTTTCATTATATGCATTGTAAATATAACATTTTTTCTCAATGTGTGTGAGCGATTGTGTATGAGAAGGGAGGTCAATCCTGCTTTATTATTCTTGGGCATGTTTATCGCTTTTTGAATTATCTTCAAGAACTGCAGGGAACATGCGACAAGGTGCTTGTTACTTGTTATGTATTTATTGATAAATATTAATTGTTAAATATGCTTTATTAAATCTCATTAAGTTATTGCATTATATACATGGAGGGTTTTGTGATAATGGGCAAGGTGTGACTGAAAGAAAATTTGAAAGAGAATTTAAACTAAAGTTGTTTTGGTTAAGATTTTAATGTTAGTCAGTTGAGGTAGTTTACATTTGGTTTTAAAGCCTAAGTTTTGGTTCCATATGTCAATAGGAAATCATGAGTGTAATCAATATGTTGTGCTTGGAATTTCAGAGATCACTTACTATATTTTTGTAAGCTTAAACAGTATTAGGAAAAACGTTGTATTCAAACATATCTACTGCATCAAAGTACTAACCTCATAGTCTAACTGGTACATATATCTATATGTATATGCATGAAATGTATTTTTGTTTTTATTCAGATATTTTACAGTAAATGTAAAATGGATTATGTTAATGACAGGCCAAGTGCATTCAATGATCGGAGATGTAAATTTTATTTATCCATTGTTTGTCATGAACATTTTACCGCATTTTAATGACCCTAGTCATGGATTGTATATAGATTATTTATTGTTGGGTTTGACAAGATCTCCAAAAAGGAAATGATTTCATTTTAAATATTGTCAACCTCTGATAAAACAATATTTCAGTTCTTTGTCTTGTCAAAAATGACAACGTGGAAATTCCAGGATTCCACTGTCACTTCTCTGGTTGTGGGTTCATCATTACTTAGAGAAACGGACATTGTAGACTAGCTCTTCTCACAGCCAGGCGTAGACAACTCCTGACTAGCTCTTCAGTGGGGCAGGGGTCGATCACTCCTGACTATTGGGAAGAGACCTTGGGCATAATCTTTGTACATGTATATAAAATGCAACCATGTCATGCAATATAATATTAAATCACATATATATCAATAAAATATATAAAGAGCATCGAAAACTATTGTGTTGAGTTTCTTGAAAAGTTGGGATAAAATCAGAAATCCTTAAGAAGTATGTCAGAATTATCAATTTTTGTTAGGTCACCCAAGTTTACTCAGGTGGCCTATTGCTATCTGTTATGGTTTTTTAAGTGTTTTAAAAAACATTAAAAGAACTATATGCAGTATATAGCATATGTTTGCCGCCACAAAAGTCAAATTTTGAAAACTTCCTGAAATGTGCTGAATTCAATAAATTGTATGAGAAATATAAATTAACAGATCATATTATTGTTTCAAAGTAGTTTATTCACAATTTTTGTTTTTATTATGTCACAAACTAGTCCGATTTTAAATCCTTTTTCAGAAAGAGGACAAAATGGATTTAGCTTTAAAATTTATAGAGCGCAAGTTTGTTAACAATATTTACATATTTCATTGATATTATCATATATATATCGACGAAATATGTACATTTTTCTGTAGAATTCATAAAAAACTGAAAGAATGGAGGCGTACAAGGCGAGGACAATCCCCCACTCTGAAAAAAGACTTTTCTCAATTCTAAAAGTAGTATTTTTTTCAAAATTTTATGGTTTATATCATTTTTTCAAATCAAATTCTGTATTTCATTGTTTAAAAAATTTATTGATAATTTATTTTTCACTCATGTTTCTAAGACATTTGAAAACAAAAAAAAGAAAAAGCTTCACGTATGATTCGAACTCTCTCCTTATCGCAGGTTTGGTTCACAGTACGCTACTTGCCCTGTTCACACGGAAGTTTAAATTTTTGCTTTGCGTTCACACGGAGAATTTAATGCGAATTAGTTTACTTCGCATTAGTTTACTGCGCATTAAATTACTGCATTAGCCTATTGCTTTTTGGGCATGCGTAATGGCAAAATTAAGTCAAATGCGTCATGTCAGTGGTCAAATTGAAGTACTTGTGCTATTTTTGAGTGAAAAACTAAGGAAAAATGTGTCAATCACTAAAATATGTCTCCAGACATGTGACATTATGTCAAATGCATCTGTTTCAGGATAAGGTGACGTGATTTGTAAATGACGTGTTTTGAAAAACATAAAAATTTTTACTTTTTAGTTTACTTCGCATTAAATTAAACTTTTCGTGTGAACAGGGCATTAGTTTATTCATAAGTATTGTCTTTAAGTGTGATTTAAATGAAAGGGAGTAAAAAAAGTTCGATTTTCATATAGAATGAAATCATTTAAAAGTGCAAAAAATATGCTTAACTGTCAACTTTGAAATAAAGATTATCAAATGATAAGTTTTTTTGAAGATGACATTTGAACATGATTTAAGAAAAATATAACATTTCTGTGAATTTTGAGAGAAACATTTTGTCTCATAATTATACGCACATTTTGCATTTTAACGTCATTACTTATGAAAATATTCTGCGTTGCTAATTAAATATTTCTCCGTCAAAGTTTAAAATATCAGTTATTACCGTAAAGCTGCACAGTTTCAATAAGTTTTGGCAGGTATCATCAATGGGTGAAAGGGAGTAAAAAATGTGAAATCCATTTAAAAGTGTAAAATTTAGACATTTTTTTCAACAAATGGTTGTAGAGAAGTATATAAATCATATATTCTAAAGAGCAAAAAGCATTTTTCTGCATATATAAATCATATATACAAAACATGCATTCAATTATGCATATTTATTGCATCTTTATAATAAGGACTTGAAATATCAAAATATAATGTATTTTAGAATTGGCCATATAAAGAAATGTTTACATTTTGTTCTTATTGCACTTAACGTGGCCGGACATCCCCCTTAATTACAACAAGTTTAATTATCATGTATGCTATATCCTGAAAAGGACCCTGATTTGGAATAATAAGCTAGTATGCACTATAGTTATCATATATCAAGCCATCTTAAAAACTTGTCTGTCTGTCTCCCCAGAATTGCATGAAGTGGTAATTTCAATTATATTTTCCCCTTTTGTTTTTAGCGCACCTGAGCTGAAAGCAAAGATCAATAGAGCCCTGCCGGTTTCTGAGCCGAAGTCTACCTGTAACCATGGCAGATTTAGTCCTATCAAACGGGAAAAATTAATTGCCCAGCCTATCATTGTGGATTAGATTTCAGATCCGAAACCCTTGGCTAGCGAAGATGAGAAAAT